TATATTAAATGCTAAATGTCTGATGTTTGCCGATGATCTCAAACTGTACCTTTCTGTAAATGAAGCTAAGGATTGTTTGGCCCTACAACATGATATTGACGCTGTAGTTGAGTGGAGTCTAAAAAACAAGTTATCGTTTAATAATTCCAAATGTAAAACTATCACTTTTTCTCGATCCCGTAATCCGATTACAAATACATATCATCTTGCAGGCGCCCCAATGGAACGTGTTCCCTCAATCAAGGATTTGGGAGTAACAATGGATAACAAATTAAATTTTCATGACCAGATACTTAAAATATGCAAAGACGCTAATAAATGCCTTGGTTTCATCATCAGAATATCTTCACAATTTAAGAACACTCAAGTTATAATACAAATATACAATACTTATGTGCGTAGTAAATTAGAATATAATGCAATAGTCTGGGGTCCACGGGAGTCGTTGTATAATATTATGATAGAAAAAATTCAACGTAAATTCTGTAGATACCTATATAAGCGTCAGTATGGATACTACCCCTTTCTCTATCCTTCACTGTTTGTGTCAGGAATGGTGGGTTTAGATACACTTCAACTCAGACGGGAATCTACACATATAATGCATTATTGTTTGATACTGGCGAATAAGGTAGATAGCCCTGTTGTACGGGAAACAATACATTTTTATGTTCCCGACCAATATATGCGTGCCGTTGGGAGACGACAACATAGACTCCTGTGCTGTCCGCCTACGTGGCGCTCTCCCCAGGCTGACCATAGCCCCACTGCTATAGCAATTAGGCTTATCAATGAGTTCCTTCAGTATAGTCCAGATGCAGATATATTTTTCGACTCCCAAAGCATAATTTTAAAACATATTTATAAATATCTAAATTTTAAAGAGTAATTTTATAGTTCCTAAGTTGATGTAAGGTTGTTTTTGTTTACAAATTTTATGTTGTTTCTTTTTGATGGTCTGAGTTTTACAATTGTAATAGTATTTAGTTTATTTTTGTTAAAATTAGCATAGATATAAGCGATTTGGTGTATACTGTGATGCTTATATTTTATTAATAAAGAATTGAATTGAATTGAATTCTGACGTAATTGACGCATGATTCTTATACATGTTATCGCACCTTTATTCATAAACTGAATTAACTTAGAATTTCAATATTGTGGGAAATCGCATTTAAAGTTTGACATTCATGTACGTGCGAGTTCGTCAAAAAGAGAACGACGATCTCTTATCTCTGCCATTTTCATGGTATCGAGTCGGCTGTTGGATTGTTCGTGTTCTACTGATGAAGTTGATTTGGTATTTGTTAAAAACTCGAAAAACGTAAATTTCGAATTAATTCAGTTTATTATTAAAGGTGCGTTATATCAAATTCAATGTCGCTGTTTACTCGATCATTTGATTTGGTCTTACATCCTGAAAAACAATTATATTACTTTTAAGCGAGTGAAATCACGGGTAAAACCTAGTTTTTAGTAATATAGTCCGTGCTAATTGTACATAGTCGACTTTATTTATACATGGCTTCTTAATTAGAAAGGTCGGGATGATTAATGACAGTAATCAACGAACAACAGCTTCCACAGCTTTAGCGAGTTCTGCCTGTCGCTAATACTGACATCAATACCTCTTGGTTAATTTATTTCACAACAATGAGGTCTTTCAAAACCATTAACTACGGCAAGAACAAGTTATTTTCAAAAATATTTTTCAAATCGTAAGTAAATAAATTCTTTACATGCTGTTTGAATGCGACCTTTGCCTAAAATCGCCTTGTCTTTGGTTTTATTTTTTTAATACTAATATTCTACCACAGTCACACAACGATAGTATGTAACTATAATAATAATAATAATCTACAACATACACACAACGCCATCTAGTCCCAAACTAAGCAGAGCTTGTACTATGGGTACTAGACAACTGATATAAATACATATTATATACTTTTTTTTTGTAAATACATACATATTATACATAGAAACACCCAGACCAAATCAAACATTAAATGATAGTGATAAACTATGATAGTGTCTATCACTTATTTTTAAATTTAGTAGCAAAACCATTTTATTTGGAAGTAGTTTACTAAATTAAGGCATACACAAATACTTAGGTGGCTAGTTTTGTAGTTCTTGATAGAGAAATTATGATCAAGTTAACAATATAAAATTATTATTTGCTTATGGGTGAATACTTTAAAAGGCATTGTTAAATAACAAACACAGCTTTTTAAACATATACTTCCAGAAAATTATTTTAATTCGTCGTTTGTACATATTTATCTACACCTATTAAAGTACTAGTCGCTGGATTTGTATGTGAAAAACTCAAGACAGTGGCTGTTACGAGTCATTTCACCGCTCAGATACCTTACACAGCTTTTTTAGAATAATCTCACCGTTTCACCTCGTACTGCTTACCATTTCATATCTTTAGTCGTAACGCACCCTTAAGCCCATGAGCGTCGGTTTATTAAAGTTGCAGACGCTGAACTTTATATAAGTAAAATTGGAAAATAAATGCGTCTAGCCCAAAATTAAATGTTCTTAATTAGCTATAAAAATAAATTGTCATGTCGTCTGCGGTACCTTAGAGTCTAAAATAGCTTAGCGATCTGTAAGGTGTGTAATTACATAAATGATTCTCAACTCCCATTTATTTGATTAGATCTTATTTAATATGGGACGAAAAACACATGATTTTATTTTCCAATACTGTACTGTCATTATAACTACCTTAGCGCATCTGTTACCTTTACTACCAAACGCCAACATTCAAATTAAAAAAAGACGTGTGGCACTCGGGGACTGCCGCGGTAAAGCTATTGCATAGCATTTTTTATCATCTCATGCAATTATAATTATTTTATTTATGCAGTATTTTTTTTCCTTTGTTTTTTTTTTGATATTAATTCACGTTACACTTTTTGAGCATGGTGACCATTAAGAAAACATTGTTTTTTCTTTTATTAAATAAATGAGAAGTTAATATTGTTCAAAATAATTTTATTATCTTACAATACATGTAGGTTATTCAGGAATATTTATCATTGAAACTATAGGTTTATGGTAACTGAAATAAGAAACATAAGTTTGAGACTTGATATCTTCAAAATACCACGTCACAACCAATGCCACCTAGAGGCGAGTTCCTGAACTAAAGAGACAAGCGTGATATTTCAAAAAAGTCATTACAAGTTCTGCTATTCATCGATAGATGGCAAAACTAAAAAGTATCACCGCTGTGCCGGTCGGTGTTAGGTTATTTTCGTTACGGAATTTCTGGATTCGGTCTCCACGCTCAAGGCCCGCGATAGAAGCTATGCAATAGCTTAAAATGTGTGTCTATTGTGACTCAGAGAGCACGTTAAGGCGTCGGTCCCGGTTGCCATACGAACATCCCTGGAAATCATTACGGGTAGTTAGAGCTCTAAATAGTCCGACAGCAGTCTTTCTACAGAACTTCGAGTTCCTGAAGGTCTGATAGCAGCAGATAAGTTCAGTCGTATCGTAGTAGACATAAAGCCGACCTCAGGCCCAACTTAGTTTAAGAAAAAGAGGCTAGGAGGAAGGTACTAGGTTTATATGGGAGTTTCATTGGTGGCAAGCAGATTTAATTAAGAATACAAAATATAACTTTGCGAAGCCGCAGTGGATACAGCTACTAATATATATAGGATAAACTACGTATCCCAACAATATTTAAAAAAAAACCCGCGAGCCTCACAGGAGTCTCATATCATTTACATCTCACCTACCATCGCCATCTAACGGAAAACTCTAGCACCACGCATGCTCATTAGTCAAATTAAAAAGCGCGTTTCGCGCCCTTCTCACGATTGCAGAAAAGCGAGAGGAAAAATGTAACACATCTAACATCCAATTTGTTTGTTGCTCTTTAAATTTCCCCTTTAATTACTTAACAAGTTATCTTGAATTTTTTTATTCACGCTGTCAAAGAGATGGGTATCGCTAATGTGTGAAACTGTCAACCATTTTTTTTTTTTTAAGCTGCACGAAACCACCAACTACATAAACTTCCTATAAGACAATGCCTATAAGATTTATATTAATATAACGATCTCACGATTTAACTTAAACAATACCTACCTAAATTTTAAGTAGTTTTTAACTTTGTTGTTTTTGGTAACAGTTACTTTACTTATCTTGTTACTTTGAATATCACTTTTTTACATTTGATTTCTTTCTTACTTTTCATTGAATACCTCAGTGGTGCAGTGGTAGCGTATGGTGAGGTCTCGGGTTTGATTCCCGGGTCGGACCAAATATTTGTATGATCTGAAATATTTATTGCGAAGTTTGCCTGTTTTCTATGTATAATATTTATGTATTTACTAAAAAAAGTATTACATATAAGAATTCTATCAGTCAATCTAATGTTCATAGTGGAAGGTCTGCTTAGTTTGAAACTAGATGGCGTTGTGTGTCTGATGTCCGAAAATATAATTATTATTAGTATTTCAATCAATATTCTGATTTCTAGTGACGGTTGACGGCAACAAACATGCTCTTGTTACCAAAGCGGTACGAAGACTATGGTCGGCAAAATATCACCTCTTTCTGCTTTCGGAGATGTAGGCGGAAATGAAAGTTCTGGTTTGTCAATTGTAGATGTCCGGTTCATTTAACATTTGCTCACATATAATTTATCTATAGAACACCAAACAAAATAATAATAATAACAAAATGTGGTGAAAAACAAACTAAAATATACTAATGGGCTCTGGTTTAAATACACTTTATTTAATTTTAAACATTATGTAAAATACATGTCAAAAAAGTTTTCATATTAATAACAATTTTGATAAAAATATTTTTGTACTTATTCATTATATAATCCTAAAACCGCGTAATTTTACGCGTCTAAACAATAGAGCTAAAAAATATTTTTATAAAGTAAGTAAGTATTAATTCTGTAAGAAAAATTTGTTTATACAAGAACATTATACGAATAAAACAGATAGTATTATAGGTTATTACAACTTATTCTTTATATTGCTTTTAAGTAAATCAAGTCCTATTTCAACAGCATGCTGAGCCGTGCCCGGTGCTGTCATAACACCGTAACCACCGTGCCCATAGCAATGGACGACTTTCACCCCATTTATAATCTCCGCCTCAACACGAACTGGAGTTCTGTGAGGACGCAAACCTACTTTGTGAGAGACCACCTCAGCGTCCTTCAAACTTGGCAACATATCATAACAGCGCTCCATAATCGCAGCTGCATCAAATCGACAGTAGTTTAAATTGTAACTGTCGTACTGCCTAACCCCACCTAACGTAACAATACCATCGAATCCTGGGATGATATACGTGTCATAGTCACCATAAAAGGCCGTTTTAACCCACGGCGCTTTAACCTTGAGCACTTGACCCCTAATAGGCACTAAATCATGATCATTGCACAAATATTTCGCACCCAAACCAGCGCAATTAAAAACTAAATCAAAGTTACCAAATTTGGATAGTGATGCGAAATTTTCGATTTTACCATTTACTAGCTTGGCACCTTTTCCAACAATCAAGTCAGCCGTATATGGTAAATAGCGACCGCATTCGATTAACAAAGTCGAAAAATACGATCCATATTTTGTACCCTTAGGGGCGAGTTTGTATTCCGATTCGTTTATAGTTCTGTAAATGGGCAACAAATCGTCGATAAGATAATTTCTGGTGACATGTTCATTTTCCTTAGAAAATATATAAGCTGATACACTCTTTACTCCACTTTTGGTAGCTTCAGGAGTCTTCAATATATCATTCCAATATCTCCACGAACCATGAATCCACTTTTTCGTAGTTTCAACTGTCGGACCTTTAAAAGATGTACCTGGACGAAATATTCCTGCGGCTACGTGACTTGTAGTTTCCTCGTAGAACTTATCGGCGAAGACAGTGACATTGGAGCCAACGAATTGTTCCTGCACCAACTTAGCCACCGTCAGACCCACCACTCCAGCCCCAATTACGGCTATATTTGGTTGATTGCTCATTTTTGCCTCACTTACTTTTCTGTAAGAATAATACGAGTACTTTAAATCAGAACAAACTTTCAAGTTTTTAAATTATCGACTTTGACCTGGACTTATCAGAGGCGTATTTGTATATTTACAGCACTCGAATGACAATAAGTGTTATCTGACTATTGACTATAATAAAACAGATAGCCGTATGCTGTAATGATAAGACCGAACAAAATAAAAGAGCATTATAGTAATAAAACATAGGGAGGTACAATATAATTATATGACGGGCTGTTGGTCTAGTGGTTAGTGACCCTGACTGCTAAGCCGTCAGGAGGTCGTGGGTTCGGGCACGCCGTCATCGCGGCGGTAAGACCCGTTATGGAGGATTGGCTCGAGAGGCATCACGGGACCCTCTCATACCAACTGACGCAGGTGATCACTGGGAAACGATGTTTCGGGGATCACCTGTGTCTGATCCAATCCAACACCACTGCGATGGTCGGACCGTGGACACGGCGCTCCACACACTGGCAGAATGCCCGGTGTGGGTGCAGCAGAGGTGAGACTTCGTGGCGGCCATCGGAGTGGGAGTTCTCTCGCTCGATAACCTGATTGCGGCTATCGTGCGGAGCGGGAGTGCGTGGAACTCTGCCGTCTCCTTCTGCGAGCAAGTTATGCTTGCGAAGGTCGCAGAACGACCTCCGTCCTCCATAAGCGCAGGGCTGGGGGTGACAGGTGAGGCCATCTGTCACCTTAGCAGAAGCAGGCCGGGGTGGTGGCGGGCGCGTTGCGAAGCGCGCGTGCCCTTCCGGGAGCACAGAGAGAACATGGGGGTTCCGACACAGGGGGTCGTCTACCCGCCGAAGATGGCCCGAGGTACGTCGGGGCACCAGGGATTTCCTTTCTAGGGTACACCTGGTTCCCCGACTACTGGTACCTAAGACGGCGTTCGGTTTTAGTCAGTTCGAGTCCGACATTGCCACCGGTAAGTGGTGTCTGAGGGGATTTCCGCACAGAAAAAAGAAAAGGAGGTCGTGGGTTCGATTCTCACCCAGGACAAATAAGCGCGTAGAGTAGAGTAATAAATTAAGCAAGTTGATTTAAAATAAACTCAGACTAGGATAGACAGGATTTGGTTTAAATTGTCAATATATATATATATATATATGTCGACATCTGGAGTCGCTCGCAGTAAACCATAAATGAGTTCCACAAGCGTCATGATGGCGGAGTTACAGGGAGTCGACGCTATCGGTGCCCTGTCATGCATACAACCGCTCAAAGAAATAAACGCACTCATTGACGGGTTGAATGGATTGAAGGGTTATCTGCTTTGTTGATTAGCAAAAGGTGAAAGTGCATTTTATGTAGAAAGTTTTGCTTCAGCTTTAGGCGCTCCAGACCGGCCATCCCAGAGATAAATAGGGAGAAATAGATTTGTCAAATATGGGTTGTATTCTCTCGATCTGTACAGACACCATGATTATAAACTATCAGAATTTCCCCATAATTTCACCTGCATTTTCAGCCCTAGCTCAGCACTTCATTACGTTTTGTGTAATAAGCAATGTATGAAAAAAAAATTTTTTGTGTGTATTTATTTTCTATCCGGAGCGGAGATAAATCTAACAAATCAAAGTTTACAAAAATCGGTTCAGCCGATCTTGAGTTATGAATAGTGTAACTAACCCGACTTTGCTTTATAAAATAAGATTAACGCGTTCATTGGTTTGACATACGAACGATTATACAGATTAGAAAGCATATATTATCATCGGTCTATACGTAAGAAATGTGCTACCAAAAATAGTAGTTACGAAGTGTTATATCTAGACCAACGAATCACCGCCAACCTATGAAAACTTCTTATACCGAAAAGAGCATAAATTAAACAAAAAGTTAATAGTAAACTTAGCTTAACAAAAGTTAGTTAACTTATTAGTACCTGAAAGACCGAGCTTTGCTTCGGTTTTTTTGGTAAATTTTCTAAAAATGAAACCTAGCTCCCTAAACCCGCTGTATACTGAATTTCATGAAAATTGTTGGAGCTGTTTCCGAGATTCAGATTTTATATTATATATATACATATATACAATAATTGCTCCTTTATTAGTTACCTTATTATTAACTTACTTTTTTATTGTTCACAGAACCAAGACCTCCTCGAAAAAATTATAATCAGTTGTCGTCAAATGAAAAACTTGATAACAGACAGACAGATAATATTCACATCGAGGAAGCAGAGGAGGAGTCGGACGCAAGCAGCACTGACTTAGACGAACGCGATACTCGGGGCGTCTGCCCGCCTTGTGCGCATGACCGGTACAACAACAATGTACGTCGACACACTCATGACGACTTCAGTGACGACACAGATTATGGTAAGTAAAATTGGATTGTCTTATTTTTAGTATCTATTGAAATATTATTCTGAAGTCATTGAACTAAATACATACAAAAAATATATGCGAATAGATTAATATATTTGAGCATGCGCGTCACTAGCCAGTTTTACATGGTTTACTAAAAACAACATTCTTTGTCTATGGTTTCAAATTCAGCTGTCAAACTTCACATAAACTGACAATTGACATGACATTTGTTGTCCAACATTGAAAGTGGGCCGAGTATCTAAAATTACTCATTTCGTAACGATATTTAGTAAATTGTGATATCCTTTTTTATAATAAAACGAATTCAACGTAAAGAAAAAGTTTTGATCAACAATGGCGAATTTAAAGACGGACTTGGATCAATATTTGCTCAAGAATGAAACGAGACGAAGTTACAATTTTAGTTTACCATCGTTTTCAACGCCTAGTTTTCTGAGCAGGAGTACTGATGAAAGTCCCACTTCAAGCACTACTCCTTCGTGGTTTGAGAATGTACAAAAGGAATACTTCACATTGGTAAGTAAGAAAACATTTTATAGAGTGATTCATCATGCATCATAGACTTTGTTATACGAGTCTTACGACATTTGCGTTGTTGAAACATATTAATCCATGATGATGTTATACGCGTCTAGAGATAATTATTGTTATCATACAGGTTAACCACTCGGAATTCAAGAACAAAAAGTATGGAACAAAACACAAACAAAATAGGTTTTGAACCAATTTCTAGATTATAAGTGAACTTAACTATTGTAGTCAGTCATCATCATCAACAGCCTATACTAGTCCACTGCTGGACATAGGCCTCTCCCTAGAAAGGAGGTTTTGGCCTACTATACCACGCTGGCCAGACGGGTTGGTAAAGGGTTTGTGTTAAGTTTTCCTTCTTTTCGCAGTGCCCTTAGTCGGCTCTTACAACACCCACGGGATGAATTGGGGTAGTGACAATCTGTATTCTTAATCCGTCACTACACAGATTGTAGTCAGTCTATTATGCAGTATACCTAATTGATTTTATTATATTTTGTAAAATATGTAGTTTATAACAAAGAAAATATATAAAAATGATTAGACTACAGTATGTGGCATGCCTTTTGTTGTCAAACTTAGTTACAATTTAATTAAAAAGCTGCCTGTAATAGATTGTATAGACAATTAAAGTTGCTTTTTTACTCATAATTTAAAATATTTCCAATTATTTGTAGGTCCTCGGTAAAGAGTCCTCTATCTATCTGTTTGTATTTCAGAGCCGAACACAGCGATTTATGGGATTTGGAATATGTCTCTTCCTCGGAGTCCTCTGTTTCATTTTATCATTCTTATATTTACCAGTAATAGTACTAAAATCAATGAAGTTTTCATTACTGTTCACACTAGGAAGCATTTTCTTCATTTTAAGGTAAGTTAACAGCTGAGAAGATTTAATCATAAGACTCCCAATTGAAACTAAAAAAAGGGAGTATATGTTTTTTTTTAAATAGTACTTAGGTAGTAGACTTAATGGTTATTGATACAATCACTGAGCAAGAGTTTGGGTTCAAGTCTCAAAAAAGACAAACAATTGAGTGATCAGCATGAACACTTGTTCTGTTTACATAATTACATGATGATGGCGTAGTGGTTTGTGTAACGGACTGTTATTCCAAAGGATGTGGTATTTGATTTGTGTGTTTCTATGTATTATATGTATGTATTTACAAAAAAAAAGTACAAGTAGTAAGTACCCACAGTACAAGCGCTGTTTAGTTTTGGAACTAGATGGTGTTGTGTGATTCTGGTAGAATATTATATTAATATATTTTATCACTCGGTGAAATGTAATAAAAGAATTCCTTAACAACATTTGTCTAAGAGCCCATGGACGATGGCCATCTAACAGTATGTGTGCCCATGTGTTGCATAGATCTCCCTCTCATTGGTTTATTTTGTATACTAAGCCAAAGGACAGTTAGTCTTAACCTCGGCATCAAGTAATTTAAATTCTTCATAACAATATTAAATACTAACCATGATACCACAGTTTCAGTTTCCTGTATGGACCATGGAGTCATCTTAAGTCAATGTTCAGCAAAGAGCGAGCCCTCACCACCACCTTGTACATGCTGACGCTTATAGCCACATTATACTGTGCATTATACTTGAGAAGCACACCATGGACAGTAGTGTGTGCTATACTACAAGTTATAACCCTATTTTGGATGTTAATGGGTTCTATACCCGGAGGATCAACTGGAGCGAGATATTTCGGCAGCATGTTCAAATCATCTGTCTCTAACACTTTGCCGATATAACAATTTGTGTGTTAATGGACTGCAACTTAGTTTTTTTTATATTTGTATAAATAATTATATTAAGGTTTTTTTATTAAGATTGTTATTTTTATACCCATAGGTTAAAAAGTGGTTTGAGGTTTGAATGGTAAATAAAATAGTCGGTTAACTTACAACTTGCATAATTTAATTGTGAAAGTGAATACTTTTTGGTGGGGTTGGCAATTTTCGGCATATGTCATGATGACAAGTGATCCATTTTACCGCTCAAATTGGAGTCATTGTTTTGGTTTATTTTATAGGCTTAGAACCATTTTACATCTTACCACAAGAACTTAAAAAAACTTGAATTGGTTGAATGGTTATACATTACAGGAATTGTGTTTAATATATTTGGTTAATAAAATACTCTGTCTTAGTCTACCACAGTATTTTGTCTATGAAATAAATTGTAGCTAAAACATTTGAAAACAATCTTCAAATGTGAAGAAATTCTTTACCGTGAAATTCTACCGTGGTAGCAACCCTATTCATGTGCCGTTACTTTGAAATTAGCAGTAATTATCATATTTAACTACTGTTAGCATTGCCTGTTAAATATTGAACTGCCCCAAATAACGTGCATTCCGCATCATTGTAAAACCTGATTGAACTAGTTTTTCAAGTAAGTATACGAACCTATGAATGTAGACACACAAAATGTTGGCAGCACGCAAGTATTTTACACAATAGGTGTTATTTTGTAATGGGTTAAGTAGGTACTGATAGTTATATTTCATTTATGAGTTGTATTATTTATATTAATTTACAATAATGTCGATTTTAAGTTTATATAGTAATGCTTGCCTTAAATTCTAAGTCCTGTTCTTTGTTCTGCTTTATTGGTTCTCAATTTAGTGATGGAAATTATTGGTACGTTTTAATCATAATCATATGATGAAATGATTATTCAATGCGATTTTACCAGTGATAAATCACATATCACAGACTACGATTTTGGTTTTCGGTTTAGCCCTTTCGCAAGTCTGGTGCTAGCTTAATCATAATCATAAGCCGCCGTGGGTATTGTAAATTAGTCAAAATGTGATTATATGATTTATAGCAGGTGATTGTGATTTTATTACATCCCTAGTTCTCATTGCATTTATATTTTTTAGTATGTATACATACATATCTTTTCGGTGTGTCAAATTTAGAATGATTTGAATCCCAAATTACGAGTTGCCTGACTAAATAATCTTACTACGTATATATACTTATTACAAATGTTTATTAGAATGTACATTACAGGTAAGTCTAAAATAAACGTTTTATGCAAATACTACATTATCAATCAAATTCTGCTCAAATTCTTAACGTGTACTACGTATGTAGTGTAAAATATATATATTTTGTAAAGCAATTTATTGGAATAAACATACGATTGCCGATTTTTGTTTCATTTTTTGACACTGACAACCTAATTGAAATGACCACCGGTTTTCTTGCAGACAAAAGAATGATGGAGAGTAGTAGGTATAATGAATAAAAGTTAAATTATAATCAATACACAAAAACTGATGAATAATGACAATAATAATATTTCTAATGCATAATTTTTTTAAATATAATGTTAAATTTGCAGGCTATTTTCATGGCTAAATGGGCCTGTTCGCATTATATTAAACCTTTATTATCACCCCATGAATAGCAAAATATAAAATTTGAATTTGAAGCATTAAGGCCATTATCGTCGGTACATGCTGCGACTTAAAATCTGTAAATGCTGGTGTCCCGCAAAGCCGTGTGCTATCTATCACCACACTGTTTCTTCTGTATGTCAATGATATGTTGCAAACTAGTAGCATCAATTGCTACGCAAATTGTCTGAATTGAAACTTCCTTAGCGAAGGTTTCAGACTAGGGTATACTATATCTAGTCCATTTTAACCCAAAAAAGACATGTTTGCGTGTTCACCTTAAAAAAACTGACTAACTGCCTGAGCCAGTATCGGAATCCTAGGCATTGACACATCGAGCGAAATTTAATTTCGGGGTAAGGTCAAATTGGCCTCGAAGAAGCTCGGCGTGCTGCAGTATTTCAGACCGGCCCACTGCCTTTAACCCTGTAAAGCGCAGCCCAGTACCAGCTTCTCCCACTGGACCGCATCCGACAAAGAAGGACTCGAATCGTCGATAGCCAAGACATCGGCTCGATCCCTTGGCGTTACGTAGAGATGCAGCTTAGTTTGCATTCTCTTTCGTATACTAACTTTTGCCAGTGGCTTCGCCCGCGTGTATGTCGGTTATCGCGGTAGCCTATGTCCTTTCTCAAGAATCAAACTATCCCAATACCAAATTTCATCTGAATGAGTTCAGCGGTTATTGATTCCCCATACAAACTTTCAACCCCTTAAAAGCATGATTTCTGGATAAAAATTATCCTATGTCCTTTCCCGGGACTGTGGCAAAATTTCATCTTAATCGGTTTAGCGGTTTAAGCGTGAAAAGGTGACAGACAGACACACTTTCGCATTTATACGGACCTTATGACGGATGGATATGATCTACAAGAAAAGAGCGTACTCCTTCCTTAAAGGCCAGCAACGCGTTTGCGACCCCAAAGTAGCAGGCGTTCAAGGACGCCGGTAGTCACTTTCTCGTCAAGTGACTCGTCAGCTCGTTTGCCCCCTCTGCCATAGAAAGATATTTAAATAAGATTTGTAGAACTTTGTATTGATAATTTAGACGTACCTATTCGGGACGAATGGGGATAAAAATATATACAGGCTGTTATAAACGTACCAGAGCAGCAGAATAATTCGCTTGGGATGCATTTTTTTTGATACATTTAACACAGAAGTTAAAGGAATTTTCCCTGGCTATCCATTGGTGACCTTGAAATTGACCTTGACCGCAACCTTGATGGTTTTCTCAAGGGTCAAGAGCAATTTTCAAATGGGATTGCATGTTTTTGAGCCCGGAATCGAAGAGAGGACCACATTACAATTGGATATGACCTTCAGTATGCAAATTTTGACCTCTAAAGGTCGCCAATCCAGAGACAAACTTATAAAACCACACGACATATCTTCGCAGTTTATTGACACACAAATTTCATTTAAACATACACAATTACTTCACGTCATACACAATTTTTTTTTCTTTTACTCCATAGGATAAAAATTTACAAGTTTTTCGTGAATAACTCCCCCAATGATTGGATTCAAACATTTTTACTTACTACAGGCAATTACACGTCACACACTAAATATCTGTTAAACTCAAATAATGAAATTCGAACTTTTTCCGCTGGGGCAACGCACACGCGAGGTAGGCCCTGGCGACGGGTGCGGGACGATCTAGTAGACGGCTTCCAAAAAGACTGGTCCGAACTAGCACACGACAGAGAGATGTGGAAGAGAGAGAGGGAGTCTTCTGCCCTTTTTTTTTGTTTTTCCGTTCGGAAATCCCCTCGGATACCACCGGTGGCATGTCGGACTCGAACCGACTAAAACCGCACGCCGTCTCGGGTACTAATAGCCGGGGAACCAGGTATACCCTAGAAAGGAAGTCCCTGGTGGGAGTCTTCTGCCCTGAAGTGGGACAACATAGTAATAAACTATTTCCCATCTAACTACTTCGCCTTACCTCATTAACTGGCAATACAGTAAAAACACGGTAAATATGCATAGAGAAAAAGTATCGTTAGCCCTGTGATATGGAAAAAACCGTTAATGTAAACTGCTCGAGTGTTTTTTCCTTTACATTCATTACCTTTTTTAATTGTATTACAGATGAAGCTCTAACTTGCAACGTGTGCGACAGATCATTTCCAACGCGTCGCCTTCTTGGAGATCATCAACAAAAGAAACGACATTTCGGGTGAGTTTCTCAATCAGAATCTTACAACAACAACAACAATCTAAAAACAAGTATACCTATATACTTAACCATCACGTGCAAGGTATACATTTATAAGAGGATTTTGTATGAATTTTCAACAGGCGAGATAATAGGTACTTCAATTACAAATTGTCACACATAGATCAAAGCAGACATAAGATAAAAAAGTAGTACATAGCTACTCACTGATTAAAAAAACAAGATCAGTGACAGGTTCTTTTGCCGCCGATAAGCCAAAAACTCCAATAATATAAGACAAGGCTTTTAAAACAGGCAAAAAAAAAACAAATACGCACTTTTAGATGATTGACATACTTAAATAATCTAAATTACGCACGTTACAATATTACGTCATATAACCTCATCTAACGCGTTAATTTGTTTTGTTTTGACAAAGGGAAGTCGACAGTGAGACAAATCCGTCAGTCAAAAAAAAAGCGTTGAAAACAAACCGGTAATTTGATAAGTGTTGAGATATTTAGTTGGCTATAGCATTTTACGATAGAAAGTTAAACTAAATTATGAAAACATTTTCCTTTTAAATATCCAAATGTGGTTTAAATATTTGCGAAAATGTTTCAAAAATATAGTTTTGTGCATGTTGTCCTGTTGCCCTGAAAAATATTTTTTGGATCAATCGAAAATGCCTAGTGGTCAATGACAATAATATACCGGCTAAAAATAGGACCAATCTCATAATATATACCTACATTCTCAATTTTTTAAGATTTTAAATTGTCTTAAATGCATTTAAAAAAATATACAGATTTTTTTAAGTCATAGTCAGATTTTTTTATTGTACATTCTTTTAAAAAGTTAAGACGCGCGAAAGTAGCGGTATTATTTATTAATTCATGACCTAATTGAGAACTCATTTAATTAATTATGAGTATAGAAAATCTAATTTAGTGGCTACCTAGAAATTATTTTTGTAAGTAGGATTTCCTTAGTTACAATTTTCATTTTTATTCAGAAGAAATAAGTTAACTACATAGGCATGTACCTACCACAACTGTTTTTATTTGATAGAAAAAGTATGGCCCACAGCCATAAATCAATGTTCCTTACTTTCGACTTCATCCAGCCTACCTATTCAAATATTAAATGATCTAGGAATCACATAACTACATAATTTGAATTATTTTTTTGGCTTAGTTATCACTTAAAATACTTACTTATCGTTTACAGATGCAGCGCTTGTGATAGCCTGTTCCCCTCACTGATGGCACTAGAGCACCACAAGGAGGAGTTCCAGCACTGGAGCGACTCTTCGTACTGCTCACATTCGGAATCTGACGACAGTGACCTCGAGACCTGTCACGAGGACAAGCATAGACTACTCTAATGCCATCACCTCATTATTGCCGGGGAAAAGCCTACCAAACTGGGCACTTTTGTGTGAAAATTCTCTATACTGTTTCTGGACTATATCAATTTTATATATGACATGTGCAATTTATAAAACGCGACAAAGAGTAGCGATGAGTTTCTACCTTTCATTATAACACACATCGCCAGGTGTCAATTTGTAAAAGATTCTTCTCAGGCTAAGCTAGTCAAGGTTATAGTGCTCGAAAGATAATTTGTGTACCCCTGCTATATTATCTTTATGGAAATGTATACGCAGAATATAAAGCTGTAAAAAAATATATTCAATGTGCGTCCTTCGTATATTGTTAATATATTGGACTGTATTTTTGCAACAATGAGCCAGTTTATGAATTGTCTACCTGTTTCAAACTAAAATCTGGTCGTCACGGTATGTTGTACCTGAAACTTACCGATACGCAGTATAAAGCTATGTCAGAAAAACATTCGATACTGTAGCTATATAGATACTAACCAAAACGGCAGAAAAATTATACAAAATGTGTGTTGTGTCATCCAGTCCTCTCTCCAACACAAGTGCTGATTGACTAATAGTCGGGATAATTCCGATAGTTTCTATTCAGTTATAAACTAGCACGAGGCAGGATGTACAAACATTTTTTTGTAAATGAACGATGACAAGTCGTCTCTCTACTCTCTACGTAATTCTGAAACTGAAAGTGTGTACTTAATAGAAAAGCGATTTAAAATTTCTTTTTTGCATGTAAATATGTAATTATTATATCTTATTATTAAAACTAAGACTTTGAACAAGGTAGGGCTACAAATCCTTGAAGCCTACTTAATTATGTTAGTGCCATAATTTTAGTACGATGGTAAATGTACCATTATATTAAACTTAAAACAATTAAATAATCAGCACTTTCAGTTTCGAGATTTTACATAGGGATGATCGAGATCATTTAAAAAATGTTTTTAACTTCATAGTATATGTATTTTACATGATACCTATACCAATCATACCAAAAATTCACACTGATGGCACTAGATCCACTGCTACTGACCCACCAAGCAAACCCACCGAGAGTTTCCTTTCCACAAATAATGACACCAATCCAAATGATACTTCCAGCAAAAACCACTTTAATCATGGTTCTTTAAAATTACTATTAATGTAACAGCTTCAGTCAGGGAATATTCGGTCCTAACGTTTATTCATTGTTTATTACCAACTAAGTGAATGGCATTCAACTCATCATTGCTAGATCGTTAATCAAAATCTAACAGCGGATTAGTGTCATCAATTGTGAAAATATCATCGTTGGATTAGAATGGAATTCATCAATAATATGTCTATTTTCCTTACGTCTGCCTCGAAGAATTACCGTAATTGTTGTGGCATTAATTTTTGAGGTTACCAAGAGCTTACAACTTTATTAAAAAAAAAAAAACAGCTGGATCGAGTCGTATTGACTTTGGTGTCTTAGACACATTTCAAGCCTAATTAAAAGTAGGTAGTATGTACAGCGAATGTTACACAGTTTACTTTGCCAATAAAAAAAAATTCAATTGATACTTTCATAAAAAATACCAATAAAGGTATATAAACATGATTTAATAAAGCAAAATTGGATCAAGTAAAAGAAGGTAAAGGAAAATTAAAAAAAAAAAGAGATTAAAAAAAACATGTTTACAAATCAGATTTCTTTTCAATCAGCAACAGATCACGCGGGTGTACGAACGAAATATCACTTAGCCAATAAACCAAACAACATTAATGTACTCCGACATGTTACTGTAGTAATAAAAATTAAGTATTAGCAAATATATATTCCAAAATAATCAAGACATAGTGACACAATTATCGCAATACATTCACGTATGCTTTACATCGATATTGTCAAGTTACATCATGACTTTATTTGAAAAGAAAAGTACTATATGCCAAGTATATAATAAAAATAAGCCTAAATGATACAATTTGAGAGACATATCATTGTGTACCAGCCTAATGTAGTTATGAGGTTAATATTGTACTATTACAATGTACAAGAAATGCAAATAAAATGCTTTGTATGACTAAAATGTACAATTCCTATTCGTGTTGATACAAATTTCACATCCGTACAATTGTTTCACATCTCAGCAAAGGTTTAAACAGCCTCACAAAAAAGAAATCAACTCAAATCAGGGTTGGCAAGATGATAAAAAGCTATATTGTTTGAAATAATTTATTTATAATAATTTTATAACTATGAATTTGGTAATATCAATACCATAGTGTCAACATTTGTGTTCCCAAATTCATACTTCGTCTCATTTAATAGTTGTATCATTTAATACACAATAAGTCCGCAACCATTAATTAGCCAACCGTACATTGGCCGTTTCTAGTTCACAATTGTTTTACAAATCATATAAGTTAAGGTTTCGATATTGTTGAAAGATAATTTTAAGCGCATTTATATACGATAACTGTTCGTATCAGCATTTCATTCGCTTTAAGTGTGTCGTCGTCCTCTGTTTCTGTCGTATCCATTGTAAATACTACTTCTAGTGATATCCCGGCAATAATGCATATCACGGTACTGTTTATTGACTGATATTCTAGTCTAGATTTGTAAATAGTTATTAATTATAAGCATGTATCAGGAAAAACTTAATGTATTACTTTCTGGTGATGACGAGATGTCAATTCAAACTTCAATAAACAGCGAAATGAAATGAAAAAATTGAAAAAATTATAGACGAAATAAGTCGAAAACGTATCGCCAGAAAGTAATGTCACCAATCACATAGAATTTTAAATCGTTAGTGTCACATTGAAATAAACGTTTATCCCGATCCCCTTCCTAGGTCCCTTCGGTCTATAGTCCTATAGTCATAACTGTAACGTAACATTCCTACCGGTCGTACTATTTTTATAAAGTATTAAATAATGTATTTAACATCGTAACGTGTAACGGTTAAAGTGTAAGAGCGCCGAGGCGCGAAACGAACTATTCGTACAAATAAAAATACGATTGAAAATATGTACAGAAATGTTTATTTTATAGGAAATCACATAACCACAGAGTACAGGCTACGAACACGTATGTACTGCGCGCTATGTCCGATCTCCCATAAAGGTACCGAAAGGCCGCGATCGGCGCGTATCGTCCGGGGAGCGACGTACACATGTTTAATTTTTCATATATCGAGTAATCAGGAATACAAATCACGAATCTCTTACAAAAGCATAATACGAGTGAGTCTAGCTATGGCGGGCGCCGGCGGGCGGGCCTGCCTGCAGCTACGTTACGTCACGGGCCGGCCGGCCGCCGCGCCTCAGGCCGTGCCGTTCAGCAGCGGCGCCTTGCGCGCCGGCGAGCGTCGCTTGGCCCCGCGCGCCGCGCCCTCGCCCGCGCCCGCGCCCGCCCCCGCCGCCGCGCCCGTCCCCGCTGTCGCCACCGCCGTCGCCGCCGCCGGCGCTACGGCCGCGCCCGCCGCCGCCGGCGCCGCGGCTCCGCCCGCTCCGTTCTTCCACCCGCCTCCTGCAACACAGCGGACCCACCGTCAACCTCCGGGGCGCACTCGCCACGACTCATCTGAAAATCTTACGCCGCGTCGACTCGAACGTACGGTTCTACTGTGCATGCATTACGGGTTACCACTAAATACTTCACTAAAATAAATAATAAAATAGACTAAAAGGATACACCTCGCCGAGTATCTCGTTCTGCGAGCTCCATATATACACTCGAATGCTTTATATATTATAAAAAAAAGCTCGACGCCGATCGAGAGGATATGTAGGATGTGTTAGGCGGGATGCACGATAAAGTATCCAGTGAGTGAAGTTACGACAGCGACACGTAAATACTAGTGTTTCGGCGGCCGATCGATGACCGATGCGATTTAAAGACGAAGCGTCAGCGTTTTTATTGAAACTAAAATAAAATTAAAACTATCTTTAGCTAGCGAACGAATCAAAACGTACTGTCGCTCCTAAAATTCTACTCTTACACACGAGTTACGGATAACTTTAAAACAGGTTTAAATAACTCTTGTGAGCTAACAAAAGTATACTGCTGACTGACCGTACATTTATAAAAACTATTCTCTAGATGAATTATATGAAAATGTAAGTTGCGGATACATTAAAAACGAAAGTTATTTTAGTATTAATAAAAGTTTAAGGCAAATTAAAAATTTTAGACAAAAATCAAGGTTACACAAGGCATAAAATTGTACGTTACCTATATTTCGGGGGAGGGCTGTTACGAAAGATCCTAAAGTGATAAAGGGTGAATAAAGCACTTATAGTTGTGTGGCTCTAGCTGATAGCCGACAGAGCGAGTGCAGTTGCCAAAGTTGGGCATACTGAGGTAGGAAAGAGCGCGAGTGTGTGCGGTGGGGTGCGGTGAGGTGTGGTGTGAGTGTGCGCGAGGCGCAGGGCGTGGCGTACCTTGCCTCCTCCTCCGGCGGCGCCTGGCTCCGGCCGCCTCGCCCGCGCCGCGTCCCTCGTCTGACGTGGCGGACTCTGAACAACACATGCCAACTGCCTACATTGCCCCACCGAGGCGCCAGGCGCCCAACGTAGCGATAACGTAGCGGTCTTTAGGGGGGACTAGTCGTTTGCTATTGCGCCGACCTCTTTGGAAAGTAAACGTATGCGAGATGTAACTTTCGTTCGCTTGTGCCTACTTCCAAATAAACGTACAGGAGATAGATGTTACTTCTACGTATGATTATTGATGAAGCGCATCGGGTCCTTTACGGAGAAGGACGAATAGGACAGTAGATCTCTCGGTACCATAGTTCCAGTCTTACAGACCGACTATAGGATGCACAGTGGGGCGCCTTCGCTTTTAAATAATTCAATATCCCGTTGCTATGGCGCCGACCTCTTTATATAGTAAAGATGGAAAATATAATTTCTAAATGAAATAACCGAAATTTTCTCTAAAAGAGAAGGACGAACAGGATATGTAGGACGATCTACAAATAAATATATATTGATTGTTTTAAAAGGATATATATACAAAGAAAACTCGACTCGTCAATATCACACGAGTCGGCTAAATGAACATCCTTTTAGTAGAGGAGACGCGATATAGAACATTTCATAGAATACCCGTAAGTTATGACAACGGTCACAATATTTGTAAAGTTTACTAAAAAACCAAGAAGTAGGCAACTAAACTACGACACTGAAGGGTAACCACGGCTTGTACACTACCCTCATATGAGGAACAATGAGACGAAAAGGTGTAATTACTAGACTTCAGAAACTTCTTTGACAAAAACACCATAGAATATTAAAATTAATATACAAAAGGTGCTTTCGTCAAAGAAACAGAACCAACAAATAAGCTCACCATTTTACCCAATTCGTCCCTTGTATTCGACTGTGCCATTGGTTAGCCGTCACCAAGGTTTTAGTAACCAACCGTCTAGATAAGCGAGATAAGACCCGGAAATAGCAAACAACTATTCACCCCACGCATCTAACTTGTAAAGAAAATAATACTTCCCATTCATCCTTCTACAATGTATGTACTAATTAAAATGTAAAACGGGGTGCAGAGAAATAAACATAAATAAAGATTATAATGCATATATAAACTTATGAAATATAAAAAAACACTACTAAACTACATTTTAACTAGCACATTCAGTAACATTTTCAGATTTTGTCGTGATGTGGCTGTATAATTGATAGCAAAAATAATAATTAGCTCGATAGACAGTCAACAAACTGTGATAAATGACAAGTTATCGGCAAAATAAAAAGCAGTTCAGATGGTAAATGTATGCAAACAATTTCAAACATTTCTAAATAGGAAGGTAATATTAAGAAGCGTTGGTAAATATATGAACATGCATGCAGTACATGAGTTTCATTTACAACGTAAAGAGTCAATATCGCAAATTAGACATAGGTTTTCTGCTGTTAAACAGACCAATAATTTAACCAAGTCATCAGACACTGATGGCTGTTCACCCACATACATATAGTCATACCTATATCGTCAAAAAGCCTACATGAACGTGTGAATTGAGTTAATTTCATCTGCAAGGGCCCTGGTTTATCTTTATATTTTTACACCAGGATAAAAGATTCGAGTTAAAGAAAGATTTCCTAGATTTCCTAGATGTAAATTTCTCATGATCAAAAACAGAGGAATATTTTTGTAGTGTTGATATTCTTTTTAATATATTTTCTGGTTTATATGTGTTGGTGAAAAGGGAGATGTCAAATGGTGTACATGCAAGCTGAATTATTTAAAAAGCTTTACATATTTGTTGTCGACTGTCTATCATTTTAAAAATTGACTGTTGAAATGAAATCGTTCTTTGTTCATCTGGTCTTAAATAATACTGAGACACAACCTTATGAACCAACTCAGTTGGTCAATCACCTTTATATTTTAGGTTCTTGGAAGACTTAACATGGATACAAGCAGTTCATTTTTGATTTTCATATAGAAATATCGAACCATAATGTGACAGGCACTTAGTGCTCTCTTGAAACTACAGTGATACTCGTGCGGTCAAGAAAGCACCACATGTTTTATTCATGCATTGTAAAATAGCTTCAGTTCACACATAGTTCATTTCTAAGAATTATAGTATTATCTTAAGACCAGAATCACTAAATTTAAATTGATTAACCTTATTTATGGAATAGGAAAGAACCTGTAGAATAAAACGAAGTACGAATTATGAGTTCATGAGTATTATTTCCCAACACTAGCAACATCTATGAACCTCGTAAAGTTTGGATCTTAAACATATGGCTCCTTTACTTAATACACCTCATATATATATTGTACATCACTACATAATAATAATTAAAAGAAATACGAATGTTTCTATTTTTTCTTACACTCTGATAACAAAATCACAGCATAACGTTTATTTATAAAACACTTATTAAACAACAGTTATATTATTATATATTCTAAAACACTATATTTAATTACATACTTGATATTATTGAAATAGAACAAAGACAATCTTTGTTTTTTCTATTCTCTAAATGAAACAATTACTTAATAAACTTAAATTATTATCAAAGTCTCACTTAATTATTCAATAAAAAGTTTTGAAAAGATAAAACATTAATATTATATATACTTGGGTCTCTATGTTAAACCTAAACAATAGTCGTAAATCAAACAATAAAATGAAAACTCAACTGTACAGAAATTTCGGTAAACAGTCCTAACTACCAAGTAAGCTAGTAGGAGCGAGGTGTGATGAAAAATCAATGAGGTTCACAGATGTCAGCAGCTCGTGTCGGGGAGGGGGGAAGGGCTAATTGGGGGCGTACCTCTGTCTGCGCTGGACACGTCCTGACTGTCCAGCACGGAGCTTTCATCATCTGTTTGCCTTCGTCGGTCTTCACGTCGTCTGCCACTCTGCAAATTCAAATAGAGGAGATTAAGATAATCAACCTGATGTTACAAAAATCAACATTTACGTTTATATTTTTATGGAGAGGTTGTATAATAATGTTTATATTGGGGATCGCTACACATGCCTTTCCGATATCTTTACCAGAGAAAGGTTTTGGGGGGTTAGATGAGAATCTCTAGTAACTTGTACATGTGAGTAGAGCAAACATAAATTAAAAACGTGTCTCGAGAGACACAGGAGAATAATTTTGCAGTAAATTAGCACTCGGCATTTATTAAAATAACCGATAAGCTGACGTTTCCGCCATAACTATAGCCGTTATTGTTAATTATAAAGGCTTATCGACTTGCAGCAATGAAAAAGTATTTTTCGGAGTTTACTCCTTAAGAATCTATTTTCGTATAAGGCGTCCGGAATAAAAAAAAATGAAGAGTAAAATTTAGTGGTCGAATGACTTCGTTACGTTTTTATGTGCAACTTATTTTGCGCACCTTTCACATGTGTGTGCATAACTCGTATATTGTGTGCAGCCGAATCATTCTTAAGAAGTAACTCCAGTTGTGATTTCTTTTGTTTGTTAACTCATCATCACGATGGGCCTGTAGGTCTACCACTGCTAAGTCGGGGGCCCACTCGGGACAGTAGTAGTCGCCCGGTAGTAACACGTCAGCGCGGTGACGTAGCAGTGAGGGGTGTACGTACGTCACGGTGGGGGGTCGTCTACTCGTCTATAGACGGCCCGAGGTATGTCGGGGCACCGGGGACGTCCTTTCTAGGGTATACCTGGTTCCCCGGCTAGTAATACCTGAGACGGCGTGCGGTTTTAGTCGGTTCGAGTCCGACATGGTATCCGAGGGGATTTCCGCACGGAAAAAAATAAGGTGTGTACGTACGTTGGCGCGCGCGTCGCTGTTGTTGGTGCGGGGGGCGCGCTGCGGCGGGGCGTGCGCGCGCCCGTTCTCCAGCACGCGCCGCTCGCCGCGCTCCTCGCCGCCGCGCCGCTCGCTCGACCTGCAACCCACGCGCTATACCACTGCACTTACATACACCCACCCACCCTAACGATCTACTGCATATTTCATCATTACATTGTTATCTGTTCATTCAAAACAGTGAGCGTAAGTTTATTTGCCCTTTCTTCTCATGAGGCTCGACCTTGGAAATGGACACAGGAATATAAGAGATTTTCGATACGTAAATATTTTGTTTGCTATACTGTGTATGAATCTATGACTTTAAAGTCTACACAAGAAACCATTTTTTTAAATAGAGATTTAAATACACAGAGTCAATAGGAGAAGGGGCTTGCTCCCGCACTGCACTAAAAGCAACGAACCATCACTACAATCGAACCAGTCAAAAGCGTAACTCTCCCACAATGTATTATAATTGCGATAATTAAAATATGATGAAAAACTAAACAAAAAGCATCTCTAACCAAACGATATACGAGAATCAATACCTGTTAGTCCTTGGCGGCCTGCCGCCACGTCCACGATAACCCGTACTATCACTTCGCTCTTCACCTAATTCTGGAGTCATTCTTCGTCCGCCCGCTGAAAAAGACATTTTATCATCACGTTAGCAATCTATAACGCTGAGACGTCCCCGTGGAGTATAAATGGTGAAGTGGATAGGTATACAATAGACACTAAGATTAACACATACAAGTGATGCATAAAAAAACAAACAAAAAGTAATATCACGAAACATTGATATTTCTTTGATCAAATAACATAATATTCTTGTACATGTCTTTTTATTTATTTATCTTTCTCTTTCTTTACAGTTCTACAAGCACAAAAGTAGGATTACAATAGATACTGGGGTGGACGCGACCGATGGTAATACGGTAATACGATGGATAAGGTTACAATAGACAGAGTGGTGGGCACGTACTAGTGGGGTACCGGTGGTGGGGCGGGCGCGTCCGGCGGGGGCGCGAAGGTGGCTGGCCTCGCGGCGGCGGGTAGGTGGACGTGCCGCCCATCACCACGCGCAGCTGCTGGTCAATTTCCAGCTTCTCCTGGCGCAACTGCTCTACTTCCTGCCGATATAACACTATCTCTCACACTCTCATTCTATACAATTTTCGTACCTACCTTAATCTGTCATAGTATACATGTATACATACATATACTGAACCCCTATAATATTTAATGTAACCATTTACTAACTTTTAAGGTAATATTAAATCAGAAAACAATTTTTAAATTAACTTCGCTTTCTGCCTTTACATATACTTATAATTCTAAATTTTACTCTCGACTTTGCCAAATTGCAAAAAGAATTCTGTATTAGTCTTTGTATTCAACAATTAGTAGTAAAACATATATACTCTGCATTGTAAACTGAAATACCAATGTTTCAATAATAAAACTAGTAATAATTATATATTTTATTCGTATTATTTAAATAGTAAGCAGTAGCATAGACTAGACCAGGGATTCCCAAGGTCGAGATAAACGAAAACTGATTTTGAGGGTCGACAAGGTATAAAAATCGAACCTTATTCATTCATATTTGAAACTTTCAACATACTGTTGTGGTACATGAACCAACTTATTATAAGAATAACTGATATTTTAGTAGGAAGTATCATTGTAGTTCTTTTAAAAAACTCAAGTCGATAAGCGTGCAGTAATTTGGCTCAGGTGCAGAAATCCTCACCAGGGACTGCCTTTATATGGTATACCTGGTTCCCCGGCTATTAGTACCCGAGACGGCGTGCGGTTTCAGTCGGTTCGAGTCCGACATGCCACCGACAGGTATCCGAGGGGATTTCCGCACGGAAAAAACAAAGAAAAAAAAAGGTGCAGAAATCCCCAGATTATTTGTTTTTCATATATTGCTGGTTTTTATAACATGATTTATCAAATAGTTTTTAAGGTCAAAGAGAGGATAAAAGAGTATTGCTATAGATTAGATCTTGGATAACAAAATAGATATTTCAATTGAATGGTATTTTATATGAGTAGCGGTCCAGATGCTAATGATATTATAGCTATCCAATTCAACATAGATTTTCAACTGGTTGGTTAAGAAGTTACTGCGCCAAGTAATTTAATCGAGCAGTGGTGGCAGAGCCCATAGGGCTCGAATGGTGGGTTCGATTTTTTTCCCTTTTTCAAATGGTTGAAATTGTCGAGTGTGATACACCATATTCTTTTGCCTTGCCTTGCTTTGATTAATACGCGATTTGTCCTCGATATTAATTTGTTTTCTTTTTCTCTGCGACATGTTAAAAGTTTTACAAAACATTCGACAGTATGTTTTGGTGCGTCTTGTGTACAGATAGGTAACAAACTGACTGAAGAGATAAGAAGAAGCGGGCTTTGATTATACTGCATGCAAGTGTATTTTGTTTTTAAGTATTACAAAAGACCCTAAACTCGACACGTTGTTGTTTACTTTTGCGATCTAGCCATTGACCATTATACTGTGCTCCAGATGTTGATACCATTATCTATTCAAATTGTTTACAATACAGCTGGTCGTTCTAACAGATATAATTCTATGAGATATTAGTGAAATGTAGTCGCTTAATGAGGTACGTCGTAAAAACCAATAGTTTTAATAAGGCGGTCTTATAGTATTCTGCCAGGACCTTGGATTTTAGTCGATATAACCGGTATGTTGTTTTAAGCGATGTCATCATAAACGGTTTTAAGTGTTATGTTGGTTGGTGTACGCTTCAAGAACTTAAAAAGTTCTGCTCAATATTTGACACGATATACAACACGCTTAAAGATGGTTTTTATATATTTTTTCGCGTTAGTTTTGTTCCAAAGCGAAGCATGGGAGGGTACAGCTAGTAGGTATATATGACGACGTGGTTTGTGTAACGAACTGCTATTCCAAAGGTTGCTGGTTCGATTCCCGCTCAAGTCAAGCGTTTGTGTGCATGAACATTTAATGTTTGATTTGGTCTGGGTGTTTCTATGTATAATATGTAAGTATGTATTTACAAAAAAATATATATATATATGTATTTATATTTGTCTAGTACCTATAGTACAAGCTCTGCTTAGTTTGGGACTAGATGGCGTTGTGTGAATGTGGTAGAATATTATTATTATTATATATTTAAATTGAAAGTGATGGCGCTCAAACGTGTGAAGGAGGCAGCAAGGTCAGGTGTACCTTGAGGTGCGCCACGTGGTACTCGACGAGCACCTTGGCGTTGGCGATGTTCTCCTTGGTGCCGACGAACACGAAGGGCATGACGCCCTCCTCGCGCGGCGCCGACGGTTGCGGCTCGTTGTCGCCCTCCACCTTCACCTGCAACACACGACCGTCATACTCTACTGTATTCAATTCAAATAAATTCAAATACTCGAGTCAAATTTAACTACCCATTTAATTACTTTAGAATAGAAGAGAATATTCTTTATTGTACACCTATTACAATATGTTAGATAAATATTATAGACGGATTAGCTGACCCGGCAAACGTTGTTTTGCCATATACATTATTTCTAGGAAATATTAAAAAACGTCGTCATTTAGGGATATGAAAAATAGATGTTGGCCGATTCTCAGACCTACCCGATGTGCACACAAAATTTCATAAAAATCGGTCCAGCCGTTCGGAGGAGTAAGGTAACTAACATTGTGACACGAGAATTTTATATATAAGATATGTAAAATGGGCGACCTTATCGCTAAAAACAATCTCTTACATGCAACCTTTGGATGGACAAATCAACAGTAGATGAGAAGAAACAATGGGTAGTCTGGGTGTATTGAAGCTACAGTGATGTAAAAATAAATATATAAAGTAATATACTAACTATACATACACACACATACATGTACATGCATAAATAATATATACTTTATCAACCTCATTAGAGAAAATACAATAAAAAGGTGTTTCTACTCAATTGATTATCGTGACGACTGTGATAACCTGTATACGACTACGTACGGACAAAGAAATCAGATCATCCAGAAAAAAATAAGTGTAGAGAGTATACTCACACGCACGACCCCACTCTTGTCGACGATCTCCTGTATGACCTTCCCATTCTTGCCGATAACCTTCCCGACGAAGGCGCGCGGCACCTTGATGGACTCCTCCGCGTACTCCAGCAGCGACCGCGCCGCCCGCACCGCGTCCGCCGACTACACACCACACAGTTTTATACTACTCTACTGAGTCAACAACACTTTTAAAAGTACAACAGTATTCAACCTTTTTTTAACACAAAATAATTAGAACTTCCATACATCTCCATGTATCTATCCACATATCTCTCACGTCCTACCTTTAAGTGGCGTGATGCTTAACTTTAAAATTCATATGTTTATAAATACATTGTAATAGTGTACTCGCCGTTGGTGGCCTAATAAATAAATAAAATAAAAATAAAATATTTGTATTCAGAATAGGTTACAAATTTAACATACAACTGGAGTTCACCTAAGAATAAATGTCAATGTAGATTTAGATAGATCTTTCATAAAGTTACCAGCTGTGGATGCTCTTTCACATCACATCACATCCACAGCCTTTAATAGTCCACTGCTGGACATGAGCCTCTACTTAGAAAGGAGGTTTTGGCCTACTATACCACGCTGGCCAGACGGGTTGGTATAAGGTTTGTGTCAAGTTTTCCTTCTCTCTGCAGTGCTATTGTTCTGAGTAGTTTTCTCCCTTAGTCGCCTCTTACGACACCCTCGGGATAAATAGGGGTGGTGACACTCGGTATTTTTAATCCGTCACCACACTGATTAAGCTGGATGCTCTTTTCGTGACTATTTTTCAATATAATAAAATTATATTTATTTCTAAAAGTAAATCTTTTCAGATATTTTTACAAGTCAGATAGATCTATGTATCTCATCTACACACTCACGAATCACTCAGTCATGAATAGTTGTTTAAAAAGTCAAAAATAAACGGTCAAATTACCAAGTAGATCTTTAACTGACCTCTCCACAAATCTTGAATGTGCAAGACACCTCCTCCAGCTCAATGTTGGTGACCCCCGACACCTTGCGCGCCTGCTGGATGTTGGCCCCGTGCGTGCCGATCGCGAGCCCCATGAGGTCTTCGCGCACTGAGAACTCGTCTGTGTAACTGAAATACAATATTTACATCAAAAACAAATGCAACACTCTATTTTCCTACTACTGCTTCAGCCTATTGCCGTCCACTGCTGAATGGCTGCCCCTAGCTCCTCTCTCTCAACTCTCCCAGAATTAAGAAGCAGGAGTTAGTTGCAGCCAAATATTATTTGCCTATATGTTAAAATATTTTTAGAGGAATGTTTGAAATATTCATCTCTACATAATTGTTAAAGATTGATCAACTTTCTTAATAACTGTATTTCTTGTTTAACACAATTATAACTATTTTTAAATGGACAAGTCAGTAAATTATGTACATAAAGCATTTGCAAGTTTTCTTTCTACTGTGCTAAGTGTTGTGGGTTAGATTCCCACATAGAATATTACTTAGTGTGTTCCACAAATTGTTGTCCTGAGTCCGGTTGTTCTGTGTTCGTTTCATGTATTTAAGTCCCCCGCGACACAGTTCTTTAATACTAGTGCGAGAGTTGTCTTTAAAAAAAAAAAGAAGAACGAAATTAAAAACCTCGTTTTCATATTTAAACTATAAATTTAGTGTCTAATATATGCGTAAAAATTTGAATTTGTGTGTTCAAAATAATGTATGCGGTTTAATTTACGTGAATAATACGTTAGAATTTACTAAACAGTAGGGTGCCTATTACTTATGTACGTGGCCTAGTGGACTATAAGATTAGCCAATCTAAACTCTTAAATCTTAAGCTATAAGGTACTTGAATGGAACTGAGAACATGAAGCATGAGCTACTCGCGTCATATTATTTATACCACTGTAGTAAATAAATCGTTAGCAATTGTTTGCGGTGAGTAGGTGCGTTTCACGCAAGAATGCGGCCACCGCGAGCTTCACTCTCTTACATATATGCAAAAAAAAATGATGTGCGGTCACGGTATGTGGAAATGCTAATGACCTAATAAATATGTAGTACCATCGATCGCGCTATAAGATAAGCGACGCTTCCTAAGGAGAATAGAAATTACAAAGATAAAGTGAGGGTCAGGAACAAGTGCCTAACTAAACTCAAACCATCTATTTTTCATAAAATTGTTTGAAATCGTCTTTTATGTTTACTCTGAAGTCATAGATCAATACACACAACAGCAACAATCTGTTTATTCAATGAAACGAACCTTTTGATAAATGTTTACCATAAAATAGTTCTGCAACCCCCTCAGGTGGCAACCCTATCTACACACACTCACCACGGGGACGCGTGACTTAACTCGCGTCTAGGTACATTTGAAGACATTTCACACATTGAAAAAAAGATAACCTATTAAAATGCGTTCCCAGGGTTGAATTTTCATAATTCATTATGTTTACAACAAACTATATAGTTCAACATATTAATAAGAACAAAAACTACCCCAAAAAGCGGTTAAATTGAAAACAAATTTACTCCTTATTTAAATCAGTTCCAAAAAGTATTTAAGCAATTCTATAAATACAGCTCATGACAAATGGCATTAGTAATTTTATAACAAGTTAATATGGTATAAAAAAAATATTTTTGTAGACCAAACATATTTATCACATGCTACATATAACCGACCGACCTTTAATACTTTATATTTATAAAAAAATCATTAAGGGAAGTTTAAACAGATAACATAATTCATAAAGCGTCACGACGCCAAAATTAACAGTATTTATCAAAAAGAGCAACTCGTAAAAATTCATGTTTACACTTTTACTTGTGACGTCATAGACTTGCAATCACTGTTAATAGCGATAGTGTTATCGGGTAATTAGCTAAAGGCTCATTTCACAACAATCTTGTTAATGTTGTGGAGTGTTTATGCATTTGTAAAGAAATATACAAAAAGGGCACTCCCCGTGCAGTAAGTTTCTTTAAAAAATGACAATATTGTATTTTTAATTGTGCCATATTTATAATTTTCTTTCATTAGCTATCCTTTTATACTAATTATTTCTACAAATTAATTTCGATGTTTGACAACTGCGAAAGTCCTGCGACAGCTCAATTTTAAATTTAATGCTTTTTTTACACAAAAGGCCAAAAAATAATAGTCCACCACTGGTCATAGGCCTCTCTTTAGAGAGTAGGTATTGGCCTGTTTGTTTCAAGTTTTCCTTCTCTCTAAATTATTGTTATCCTGCATTGTTTGCTCCATTAGTCGGCTCTTACGACACCCATTGGTTGAATAGGGATGGTGACACTCCATCCGTCACATCATTATTTTATACATCATATAAACCATATTCAAAATTTAACATGTTTTCTTACACTTACCCGCCCTGGTTGTGTATTTTTGTGGATTCTAACTGTCTAGCTGCCTCCTCAGTCCTTTTCAACAATAACAGCTTCTGTGTTAGATTTCTGGAAAGATTGTAAATTATAGGTATACACATAAAAAATTAAATGTACTAAGATGGCTAAATAATTATGGAATAACTCATTATTATTAAAAACAAATACATATATTAAATCACTGTCTAATTTCTCTATCAGTTTCTCCAGTTTCTATAAATTCTTGATTTCATCAGAAATTATTATTGTCTGTATAACATGGCAAAATCCAACAAAACTGTGGAAATGTAGGAAGTGTACTAAGCCTTATACTACCATTTGGCATGGTTTCTCACTACCATTGGCCCTGTAGCTTATGAATAATGTAAGCACTGGTTTGTTTGGCACAGTGAGTCTGCTGTCCCAAAAAAAATGGAACTCAAGTGATGCTCTACACAGGAGATCCAAGTGATGTGCTGAGGTTTATAATGAATTAATATTAGAAAATAATTACATTGATTGAGATTTTTTACGTATCTTCATATTATGATGAGGTTAATATTTTCAGATATTTTTACGTTTTTTTTTTATGTAGAGGGGGCAGACGAGCGGACGGGTCACCTGATGGAAAGTGACTATCGCCGCCCATGAACGTCTGCAACTCAGGAGTCACAAACGCGTTGCCGGCGTTTTAGGAAGGGGTACGCTCTTTTCTTGAACGTTTGAAGGTCGTATCGGTCCGGAAACACCGCAGACGATAACCCGTTCCACAGACTGGTTGTGCGCGGCAATTAATGTCACGAAAAGCGCACAGTAGTGGAGCGCAAACTATCCAGGTGATAAGGATGAAAATATTGGCGGCACAAGTCGGACTTTATAGCTAGAAGGCGCCGACATTTCCTAAGACTCACTCTGGGAAGAAACGCCCAAAACAAATCACATAGGTGCCTTTTTTAGGTCCGTGTTTGTACACAGACTTACACACAACACACCAGACAATGTCAAAAAGAACTATGTGAGTGCAGTATAGGGTCCGGGTTGGTCTTTTGAAGAAAGGACTCTGTTTTAATGAAATTAATTTTAACTTGTTTTTTTGTGTAACAGTCAAAAAGAAAACATCGGCATTACTTGGAATCCATCCTCTTAAATTAAAAAATCAGAATTGACGTTTACAGCACTGTTGTGTTAAAGTGATGATCAAAAATACCATACCTTCTTTTAAGATTTATATCAAAAAAAATCAATAAACGATCGAGCCCCACAGTAAGACCATGATGTTACACATATTGTTGGTCGTGGCCGCGTTCATTGGTCAAACCATATTTGACATATTATTACGGATAGTTACATTTTCATATAAACGTGGGTGACGAAAGTGCCTCTGTCATGTACAGATGTGTTGCACATACGTCATAAAAATATGCCAAAAACTAGTGTCAAATAAACATTTTCAGTTTTAAAGTTTCTTACTTAGGGGCTGGCGATTTTAAGGTCACAAGCAGAAAGGTATTGAGGCATATTACAAAGATTTAAATAATAGTAATCATTACGCACGCCTTACACGCTACTAGCAGAGCCTGTGCTATGGTGAGCAGTCTGCTGATGAACATAGCTATACACATATTAGTGAATAGATAGTTGGGTCTCACCTAAAGTGCATCTCCTGCAGCATCTGCGCGCGCTTGTGCGAGGCCTCGCAGCGCGACACGACGGCGAGCGCGCCGCGCTCCGGCACGTACCACACCAGCGCCGCGCCGATCGCCTTCTGGAACTCCTTGTGCGCGTTCTCCACCTTCGCGCTGTGGATGTCGTGAACGCTGCAATCAACACCACGTTAGCTCTCTCTCACAGCTCTTTACATATAGGGGGCAGCAAACGAGCAGACGGGTACTCTGATGGTAAGTGACTACCACTGCTTATTTAGACATTTTTTTTCCTTTTTAAAAAGACAACTCCCGCACTAGGAATAAATCCTGTGACTTTACAAACATACGTGAAATGGACACAAAGGACACCCAGACACATAACAACAATTTGTGGATCACACAATGTGTTGTCCCATGTGGGGATCGAACCCACAACACTCAGCGCAGTAGGAAGCAGCAAGGTGACCGCTTAAACCCATACGCCATCCGTGCAGACATAGTGCTTAATTATGTGTATTAGGTAAATTTTTTTCACACACACGGCCGTCTGATCCCAAACTAGGCAGAGCTTGTACTATGGTATAATGGTAACCAGACCGCTGATAAACATACTTATATATTTCTAAATACATACATATTATAGATAAATTACACCCAGACACAGAACAGATGACCGTGCTCATCACACAATATTTGTCCTGGGTGGGAATCGAACCCACGACCTCCGGTTTAGCAGTCAGGGTCACTAACCACCAGACCAACAGGCCCGTCCAAATGTCAACAAAAACTCCATATCGAACCTTCTAGTTAATACACTAACTTTCTAAATTAAACTACATTTATTGAACAAAAAACATTAATATAACTATCAGGATAATATTGTTTTCAAGTTTCAGTGGATATAGTGAACCACCATTTAAGCATCATCTAAAATGAGCAGAAATGTATTATTTTCTTAGGTTAAGTTGCAAGTAAAAAAAGTTTTTTCTTGGCAAACGTAGTGTAGGACGCCAACAGGCCAGGTGGAGTCACGTTACATGGGGTTCCCATACGGGGGGGGGGTCGTCTACTCGTCTGTAGATGACCCGAGGTATGTCGCGTTCCCCGGCTATTAGTACCCGAGACGGCGTGCGGTTTTAGTCCATGCACCGACAGGTGGTATCCGAGGGGATTTCCGCACGGGAAAAAAAAAAAAAAAAAGGTGGAGTCACGTGCGCAAGATGGCTGGCAGGAGCTGGATGAGAGAAGCCCAAAATCGATCTAAGTTGCGTGCAATGGGAGAGTCCTATGTCCAGCAGTGGACTGCAATAGGCTGATGATGATGATGAAAAAGGGTTTTATAATATACATGTTGTGGCCACAAATTAAACTTGGCCAATCATCATTAAAACAATTTACAAGAGCAAATATTAGATAAGAAATAGTCTCACATAATGTTTAGAGTTTAATATTAGGTTAAAACCTAGTGAATATGTATTACAAAGCAATTTTAAATATTAACAACGGAACTATTTCAAAATAAAAGTAAATATAATTGATTTTGTTATTATCATAAAGGAAATTAATGCATGCAATGTAATATAAAAAAAAATGATATAAAAATAAAAGCTTCCTAATAAATTAAATCAACATATACAAGGTCTATTTTTTTAAATTTATTTTGTGATATCTGTGTAAACTGCCTTTTTTAAACAGAACATTTCCTTTTAAAATCATTGTTTTTTCTCTTAGAATGTTATCAATACTATATTCTTTAAGCTTTACGTATTGTCTAATTTGTAAGCAGATTTAGTAAAAGGCAGATTAGCTATTTGTAACAGAAGTTATTAATTAAGATAATTCTTAATAAAACCAATGGTGATGTGGTTTAGTTGGAATAACACTAAGGTACAGTTGTACATAGGCAAAGCAGATTTTATTTACATCCCTTCTGTGAAATAAGTGCTTCCCTACAAAAGAATGCAGTAAATCTAGCCAGGGCAGGAATTAAGCTCCAAAAGACTTTAATTAAGGTTTAAAAGAGCAGAAAAATTGTTTAGAAAAGTAAGGATATGATCCAAAATGAGAAGAGTAATGTCTTAATAGGTGTAAATATTGTCCAAAATGCCAGGAATATTGACCATATTAACCAAATTAAGAGTAAATTTTATGTATATATCATTGTTATGGTTAAACAATGAAAATACAGCACTTACAAGGGTCAATGACCTCTAACTGTAATTCCCTATCAAGTTACCTAATTATAATATAATATTCACAGTAAAAAATAATTTCGATACTTACTATTCCTTGAGGTGATCAGGTACAGTTATTTCAAACTTATGGAAGGTGTTCTTGTCAATGGGTGTTTTAGAGGTCTTCACCCGGAGACGGTCCTTTGGCACTATTTCTGTGTAGCAATTGTCCCATTCTAGGTACTCTATCACTAGAAAATCGCCCCTCATCATCTGGAAAAATGCAAGTGTTCCGATAATTTTAAGGAATTTATATTAATAATATTTTTACACAAAGTCAATAACTTAAGTTTTATTTTTACTTTTTAAAGAAATAATTTAGAATGTAAAGAATCAGGAAAGAAAACTCGAGCTCTTCAAGGACAATTGGCGCGAAAAATCTCGAACATAGTAACACAATAGGTCATTAACCTCACTCAATGTTATTTTAACAAAATTATTATTTCAAAGCCTAGATTTTTGGTTTAAGTTTTTAATCATTGAATAAAACAAACAAATACAAAACAAACTTTGTGATAATGGTGACTCCTTATGATAATGTTATTATCTCTGATGGTGTCAAAAAGCATACCCCACAGATAAACACCCCCTCTTATAAACACAAAACATAAATAAACCATCTAAAAATAGAAATGCATTCAGCCCTGTAATTTGTCCAACAACTTCAGATGAATTTTTTTAACTAAAGTTAGTTGCACACCATCTACTTTAGGAGGTATTCTGTGCATTCGAAAATACGCAATGCGACATTTACGCGACATTATAATTTTTGGTGTTCATTCATATAAAGTTTGGTGGATTAAATGTACTTTCATGGCTATTATAATATTTTTGTGTATAATTATTTGCTCTTACAACTCCCACACAAGACTTGGGATACCAACACTTCTTGACATCCCACCCAGCGAGCCACACTCGGTTTAGAAAAAAATTACTTCCTACCACACTGTTTCTATTGATTTAATAATCTAAATTTAGACAACACTGATTTATTTACAGGTAGTATTAGATCCAATAGGAGTGCACTCACTAAAGGTTTTATAAACAGTTTAATTATCTTGGCATATCTATTTATTTCACGTATATCTTTGTACGAGTAGTTTAGGCATTGGCTTTAAATGTAGAAGCTTCTAATCTCTTTCTCTCTCTGCATCTGCTACTACAATTTTCATTCTAATATCATTTAAGCCGTAAGCCTCCCAATATCTCACAATCAATTTAATGTGGATTTTTTAAGGTTATGTGACAACTATATTCATATTAACTGTAGTTTCATTATCAAACTAATGAATTTTAAAGCCATCAATGCACCAGGTAACCCTTCAAAATATTACTAGTATCCATAACATAAAAAATGATAGTTTAGAGATCATTGACTAATCTATGTCTTACTTCTTTAAAATAATAAACAAACTTAACATAAACACAATATTTCTATTAATTCTAACTTTTAGTTGTGTACTGGCACCACAACAGTAAATCGTCAAAATGTTCAAAAGAATTTCATGTTTCCATTCATGATGTACAAATAACATTGAACCACCCTTAGGACTAGTATATATGAACTATCCCATTGCTGCAGTTTGAACAGCTCATGTAGTTACTACCCCACCCTCAAGAGCCATACTGTGATGTTTTACAGGCCAAATATACATTATTCAAATAAATCAAACCGATAGCTCCAGAAATTAACATGTTAATATGATCAAACAAATCTATTATATTAGCATAGTTATGATTACACCCATTTAAAAAATATATACAAATATTCTTAATAATAAAAGTGCTTATAAGTATGAGGCACGATTTTTGTTTTCATTACCCATATTTATTTGATACATTACGTTACACATATTTAAAATTTTCTAGAAAGATAAAATATTTGTAATTATCATTTCAAAAAAGTAAAAAAGAAATCATAACAAACCATTTAACGAAAAAGAAAAGTATTAAACATTGTAAATCATTCTACAGCTAACAGTTCTGCGTGAGTGAAAGTTTAATTTTAAAGTAGGCAAAAACGGTGCATACTCCGATGATTATAAACTTCACTGTTATTATATTCTTTGTTATAATAATATAAAAAAAAAAAAACAAAAGTTTCTTGCCCCTATCATTCAACCAATCTGCTGCAATTCAAAATAAACATTGTAATCAATCATCCAATGATAGATGATCATGATTTGAATTTGAATGATTTTGTTAGATATCTGTCAATGTTGTTGATTAAATTGAAACAGACACAGAAGCATAAATATAATACAAAATAATAAGGTAGGATTTTATTTGTGAATAAACAACCTAAAATGTTGCTTTCATTTTACTATAGATAGCTTAATGATAATTAGTAACAGACTCAAGAAAGAGAAGGGTCAAAGGAGTTTAGGCTCAATGTCAAACAAACCTCTTTGTACAATATTTGAGGGGCACACATAACAAAGACCAAGACAGCATTAAGATTCCTATGATATTTACAACATATCATCATGATATTCCAATTTATAAATATTGTGAGGGTAGTGAAAATATTACATATTCTAGAATATCAATACATTTGGAATTATTGTGATATATGTATGTGTAATTCAATACCTTAATATTAGCTGTCCACCACCCACATGCTTCCTTCTCATTGGACCTTGCATATACCTCCACCTCCTGGTTTTCCACGAAGTCTGTCTGTTTCCCGGTATCTTTAGGTGGTAAGAACACTTGGGAGAACGGGAATTTTGACTCCGGCTGCCAGCTACAAAACAAAAAATAATGTAAATAAAAATAACTGCACAACGCCATTTCGCCATATATTTATTTAGATTCAGAACTAAGAATTTTGGAACTTACTCATTTTCAAAGGCTACGAGAACCTCGTTGTCGAGCACGTCGGTGACAATGGCCTAAAAATAAAGAGATTTTTAGAACATTCCAACGATACAAAAACTTGGTGATGCGCTAGAAATAAGATATCTAGGTCATTTATGTGTATATGCGTAATTTTAAAAAGGCATTAGGTGCCGTTCCAATTTCATAACACTGACACTGCGGTTAAAAATACTTTATGCAGCATAATTATTACAACACATGGAAAAATCACGCCCTGACAGGCGGACATGGCGTCCATTCCAGCCGTGATGATCTTCCCGGAAAAATATTTTTGTAAGTATATGTATTACAGAGGTACTGATCATTGGAAATAATTATCTAAAAATAACACTATTAAAAATAGTTCTTGTTATACGCAATTTGATCGTACTTCACAATTTACAAACCTTATAATAAGCACCATTATCACCGTACACCTCGACCGACAAATCCTCCATTTTGGTTTGAAAGCGTATTTGGCGTTTTCGGAGCGAGAACGAATGTTCGGCGAGAACTGGCTGGCCAATCGTTATCAAGTATTCCTGCATAGACATTAATAGTTAGCTTTTTTTAAAAAGTACAATTGTGCTATGGTTAACCAAGTGACTCATCGACATTTTTGAATTTGGAACTCCCCAATAAAAAAATCAGTGGAGTCATGAGTAGAATTAGTAGACTATCGTGAATTTCTGAAAAGAAACCCTTCGAAAGGAACTGTTCCAATCCAACTTACTGATGTTTTTTTATGTCATACAGGCTTTTGGACTAAACGTCATAATTTCACACTAAGTAGAGAACAATCATGCATCACAGACAATTTTTTTGTAATTGATCCATAAATGTAATGTAGGGTAGTCATGGCAACAAAAGAACTGCTAAGTCAGTCAGTTAATATCAAATTAACTGACTGACTTAGCAGTTACTTAAAATAGAAAAACATATACATATTTTACAAAGCAACATTGAAACTGCATCCTGCAATAGAAATTAGTTACGTCATCCGTGCAACACAAAGTTTTCGGGGGATTCCCCGTTGTAATACGAGGAATTTGATTAATTGACAACATTTTTGATAATTTTTCACAAGATAGGGCAGAGAATGTAAACAAGCCAAAATAGTATTGAACTTAAGCAAAGATTTTTCAAAAATATTGGTACGTAGAGTCAAAAATAATATGATATATAATATTTAAAAATTGTCTGCCAGAATCTAATTAAAAAATTCGTTAACTATTTAATACTATCTCTATCAGGATAATTATTTGCCGATTTGGAACTTGGCGCTAAAGTATCGTTTATTTAGCTAAAAAATACCTATCAAATGATGTAACATACATAGCTATTGAAGGATGGAACCAGGACCTTCATTCTCCTTCAGGAATAAAAGCTAAAATTTGGTTACAATCGCACTACATAATAGAAATGGGCATAAATGGAAATTAGATTAAATTTAATTAATTGAGAATTCTTATGTCTTAGCAGGTTAATTGCTAATGCTAATTTTATTTGCTAATTTTGCAATTTCGTACGAGGAGAGCAAATGAAAAATGATCGTAAATTGTAAACCACTTACTGCATACATGTACTAATTTTACATAAATAACCTATTCTTATTTTATAAAATTAACTCACCGATGTCCGCAGTGATTTTTGAGCTCAAAAGTGGCATTATTACAGAAATAATCCCATATAGGGTTTGTTCGCGATACGCTAACCATCGTTAATTCGTCACTTAACACTATCTATTTACAAAAAATATCTCTATCTATTCACAAAACACCTAGTTATAACGCGCACGTCATGCTCTTGAAAACCTATAAAACCTTAACAGTAGGTACTTATAACAAACACTACTTATCTACCTATTCTATCAACAACTAGGCTATAAATAATTTAACAAAGCACTACGAAAAAACAAAGGCATTCAAAACAATACTCAATCTCTCGGCCACAAGTCGTACTAAACATAATAAAATATTCTAGTATGAATTTCATTTTAATGCATCAAAAAAGACTCGCGCCATTTAATGATTGTGAAAAATAATTGTGTGCAAAATCCTAAATACGTACATTTCTCTTAAAAAAGACAGTAAAATCCTTTGCACCCTCGGAAATAGGCATCAATCGTGTGTTAGAGGCGACTAAAGGACAACTACGCAGACAACAGCACTGCAAAGATAAGGAAAACTTGACACAAACCTTGTACCAACCCGTCTGGCCAGCGTGGTATAGTAGGCCAAAACCTCCTTTCTAAGGAGAGGTCTATGTCCAGCAGTGGACTATTGAAGGCTGTTGATGTGATGTGTGATTTAAATTCAACGTTAACGAACGAATTTCGTGATCATATTAATTCATACTTTCACGAAATTTAACAACTACAAGTAATTTGGTAACTGTTAAATACGAATTCACAAGTAAATATGAGTGTGAAGGCAAGTTAATCCATCACTACTACACACACGTCGAAACACGCATCAGATCAACCAGTGCAGCCAGATTGTACTGCCATGCAAGTGAAGGTACTTTTACCTGCAATTTGACTGCACTAAGAACAACTCATTTGTCACACACTAATAAAATTTCCAATACCGACTACGAACTGATTACAGACTATCATCAGCAGCCTGTTGCCGTCCACTGTTGAATGAGGTCTTCCCCTAAGGAGAACCAACCACCCCAGTCTCGAGCAGTCCACATCCATCCATAGACTATAGTGCCACTAAATCTACGCTTCTCTAATCTGCGAAATGAAATTGATCTGAATGTTCGGACACTTGACGCGATGTATAAATTACAGAGCTTTAAAAATAAAACGAATTTGGATCAAATTGATACTTTGAAATAATTTTAATTTAAAATATTGATCAAATAATTTGTAAACAAATCAACCTTTTTTCACAGAAAATATTGATGTTTTTAAATATTGTATCCCCAAACCTACTTGCTGGTTTCAATAATGACATTATTATTCAAACTGACAAGTGTTACCAGGCCATAAAAATACAAAAAAAATAACAAACTGACAAGAAACTTCATCCTGAGAAAAAAAATTGTAATCACAGCAACGTATTCAAATTCTGCTGTATATTATTTCCTTTTATTTATTATTTGAAGTGATTAATTAGAGGTTGAATATTTGAGATACAGTATTTGTCTGTAATTAATACTTATTGTAAAAAAAAAATATAAATTTGTGTATTTACATTATTTTTAGATGACTGAAAACCGAAGAGTGATATTAGTGACTGGTGGGTCCGGTCTCGTTGGACAAGCGATTAAGACTGTAGTAGAAGAAGAAAAACAACAGCAAACTGCTAATTCTCTGAACGAAACTTGGATATTTTCTGGTTCTAAAGATGGAGACCTTAGGTAAAAAATTTTTTTTAATTGTAGCGGAAGTTTCTCTGAATGTATACGTAAATGACTGATAATATAAACATTATCTCTATATCTAACTAGTAAGATGTGTAGATAAGTAAGTTATATGTGAATTGAAAAGGTGTCAACACGAACCAAACTAAACAGATGCCCGTTGGTCTAAATAAATTCGTAATAAAAGCAAGTAACAATATGATACACTTCTACCACAGCCAAATTTTTCAATTCTTTGTATAACACCTACAGACTAGGCTGCTGACAGAATTTGAATCTTTTGATTTTTTTGCTCTAGATAGGTATAATTGAAATTAAAAATCTAATTTATTTTCAAATTGGACCTGTAGTTCCTGAGATTAGCGCGCTCAACCAAACAAACAAACTCTTCAGCTTAAAATGAGTCTTGTATATTGTTTGAGCTGTCATGACAGTTTATAACTTTAGAGTCCATACAATGAAATTCAAAGCCCCGCTTAAATTTCTTGTAAAAATAGTGTAAAAAAAAATAATTATAAAAAGTAGTGTAAAAAATGGTAAATGTTAAATACTAGCAGACCCACACAACTATGCCTGCAACTCTTAAAACATATTCCTTGAACAAGGAAAATTTAATCATTCATCCCGTTTTTGCAACACTTTTCATTAGTCATAGTGTGAGAGTATATATACCAATAAAATTTTAAAATTAAGAATTTCTTTAAAGTAAAATGAAACATATTGCAATGGCATAAGGAAGATAATACTGTATTTGACAACAAGGTACATAAACTTGTGTTGATCAGTGTCGTTGAAGATAAAATAGAAGCATGTAATTGGTTATTGTGTCATCGGGATCATCACTACCAACTTATTGCATCGTAATTGCCCGCTTTTTTATACATATGGATTATAAAAAAAATGTGATGATGTGATTATAAATTATTGGAACGAAGTTTCTTATCGCGCGTTGTGAAAGGGGGCTAGACGGAAAAAAATCTCAATAAAAGTTGTAACGACACTTTTTATTTTGAATTGACACTTGTCAGTCATTCAGCGCCATCTATCGAATAGATAGGAAATCATTACTTTTCATCTCAGTAAAATTAAATATTGTATTCGACATCATTTCTCAAGGAGATTTTACCATTGTATAAATTGTTTTAATTAGAAACCAACTGAAAAATATATAGGTAATAGCCGCTTTCATAGATGGCGTTGTAATTAAAATCGTGTCGAATCAGTTTTACTCGATCGTCACAACTTCGTTCCTAACGGGTGTCCCACGATACCACACGGCTTTTTGTTTATATTAAATGTTTTATTAACAGTATGTAATGATTACTACGGGCAAACTCATTATAATATGTTTGTCGAGCTTTGACCATTGGCAGTATTGATTTAATTATTTAATATTCAATGACTTCCAGGTTCTAGAAAGTAGTTGGTCAGTTGGTGCAAGACGAAGACAAGGTGTTTTTTATTATTGTACATTAGGTTTACGCTAACTCTAATAATTTGTATAGTGAAATATTTAAGTTTTTTAAACTAATTGTTGTTAATTATTCAATTGCAGTTTTTTTTATTATTAGAAAACTATCATCTTTCGTACTTTCAACTTTTAGTTTTAGCTTTAACCCACATCATCTAGGTTTTGCATCATACATACACAATGTGTAATGAAATGATTTTTCTATACAAAGTTGTGTTTCGTGAATTTTCAAAATCTTTTAATAATTATTGTGCTATTTTGGTTGAGAGAAATCCAACAAATCGAAGATCATAAAAATCTGTCCAGCCATTTTTCAATTATAAATTTATACCATTTATACTAGCTCAAATTTGCTTTATATTAGATCATCTCAGCCGGAAGATGTCCACTGCTAGACATAGGCCTAGATAAATGGCCGAAATATAGCTTTATATATATTGGATTATAATTGATGGAAAAAGGAATTTATGCAGGTTTATATGTCCTGGATATATGTATACTTGTATATATATATATTCTATCACATACACACAACGCCATCTAGTCCCAAACTAAGCAGAGCTTGTAACTATGGGTACTAGACAACTGATATAAATACATATATACTTTTTTTTTGTAAATACTTACATATTATACATAGAAGGACGATGGTAAGAATTTAATCAATGACCAGAAGACAGTGGCCAACCTGTTCGCTAAGCAATTTGTAAAGTCGTATACTGCGGAACCACCAAACACATCAATGCCATGTATTAAGATGCCACGCATTGAAAAATCTATTGAAAATATCACAATTTCCCCAGATATTGTTAGCAAAACCCTCAAAACATTCAGCGATACAACATCAATGGGTCCTGATTCTCTGCCTTCAATAGTATTAAAGCAATGTAGCAATGTGCTTTCTCACCAACTGTCACATATTATGAATGTGTCTCTTAAAACAGGAAAACTACCGCAGGAGTGGAAGGAAGCTCATGTGACGCCAATATATAAAAAGGGTGACAAATACCTTGCAGCCAACTACCGTCCAATCAGCCTTACAAGTATAGCTTGTAAAACTATGGAAAAAATAATAGCAGCAGAAATAAGGCAATTTATCAGTATGGAGAATGTTATTATGGAAGAACAACATGGGTTTGTTCCTAAGAGATCCACTGTCACAAATCTTCTTACTTGCCTTGACAAGTGGACGTGCAACTGGAATAACAATCAACCAACTGATACTATTTACCTGGACTATGAAAAGGCTTTCGATAGGGTTCCCATTAAAAGATTGACAGCAAAGCTCGAGCACATCGGAATACGTGGACAGCTTCTTCAATGGATATCTGACTTCTTAACTAATAGACAATTCAGAGTAAGATTGGGGGACACACTATCAGAAGCTCACAATGTACACAGCGGAGTGCCTCAGGGATCTGTGATCGGACCTGTCTTGTTTGGTATCTTCATTACTGACCTCAGAAGTGCTATTAGATCAGACTTATCTGTGTTTGCTGACGATACCAAAATAATGGGAAACCCCCTCATCAGTCATAGCGTTATACAACAGGACTTGGATCGTATTGTACAGTGGACACGGGACTGGCTCATCCCATTAAATGCAACGAAGTGTACCGTTTTACATATGGGCCGCAACAACCCGAAGTTGAAATACAAGATTGGTTCGGTGGAACTGAAACCTGTAAGTTCCCAAAGAGATCTAGGGGTAACCATCACACATAACCTCAAGTGGGATGTACATATCACAAATATAGTGAAGAGGGCTAATTCCATGCTGTATGTGGTTAGAAAAGCATTTAACATCATAACAAAAGACTTGTTTATAAAGATCTACAAAACATACATCCGCCCGCTCTTGGAGTACACACTTCAAATATGGAATCCATACTTCAAGAAAGACATAGAAATGCTCGAAAAAGTACAACGGAGGGCTACAAAAATGGTTATATCATTAAAAAACATGTCATATGAGGAACGCCTTATTGAACTAGACTTAACTACACTGGAGCAACGCAGGCAACGGGGAGATCTGATTGAAACATATAAAATATTAACTGGACACTACAATGTGAAAGACATCGGAAACCTCTACACTATGAATTCTAATACCCGATTGAGAGGACACCCATTGAAGCTCACCAGGTCTCCGTCTGTTAGCAACCCTAGAAGACACTTTCTACCAAATCGCGTGGTGACCATTTGGAATAGTTTACCGGAAAGTGTAATTAGTGCTGGATCAGTGAACATTTTTAAAAACAGCCTAGACAAACATTTAAAAACAACAAAATGAACACAAGTGCAGTGATATGTACGCATCAGATCTGTGATCTGCTAGTGCATTATAGAATAATAATAAACACCCAGACAAAATCAAACATTCAATAATGTTCATGCACACAAATGTTTGACTTGAGCGGGAATCGAACCGGCGGCCTGCGTCACTAAATATATCATTTTGAAGTAGAGCCTGAATTGTCCTCCATTATCATTTAAATCTTCTTATTGATTTGATATCTTGATATCAAGATTAAATATAAATGATTTGACAATAGCTAGGTATGACGTCACGAAATTGTATTTCATAACAAAAAAGTACCGCGTCTAGATAGTTAGATAGAAAACTCTTTATTTGTACACTGATTTACACATTACATGTCTGACATTTTTACATACCACTGACATTTTGGTCTACTAAGTCACCAGACCAAAATGTCAGACATGTAATGTACAAGGGCGGCCATTCTAACGCTACCATGCATTTACATATTAGAAACTGTCGTTTTTGTGCGCAAAAATGCTTATGTATTTAAAAATCTTAATAGTAAGAGGCGTGATATGGAAATACGCATGCCCAGAAATAAAACAGCCCTGTTAAATAGTAGCGCACTTTGTATGGCTGTTCGATTATACAATCGTTTACCAAAATCTGTACTCGGAATCACAGATAGTGTATTTATATTTAAAAATAAAGTCAAAGAAATATTAGTTGAAAAAGGATATTATTCTGTGAATTTAATTGATAGTGAATTGGTGTTAATGAACAATCTTTAATTTATATAACAGTTATAACTATGTAAACGTAATTTATTAGTGACTTTCCTCAATTCCAATCTTTATATTAATTTAATAGTTATTGTATACTTTTTGCATGCTGCTGTGACAGTAGAATATGATGAAACTGATACTATTGTAAGAACTTTTATACCTACTCATGTTCTGCAAAATAAATAAATAAATAAATATTGCTAAGAGCAATCTCTGTAAAAAATGCAATCTATTATGACGTTTAAAAGAGTTACTGATTTGACTTGTGTGTGTGTGTGTATGAGTGTAGAATGTATGTGGGTGGGTAAAACTGAAATGGGTGAATGGTGTGGGTAGCTTAATGATCTTCTCTTGATTTGGTTTATATGGTATGGTTGCATTTTTATTTATTTATTTTTTCTACTTATACACTATCGTGGAACATTAGGAGGAGAGGAGTCTCCTAACACAGGCTTCTCATTGCCTAACAGGAGACCCCAGCCACCAGATTGTAAGATGTTTAAGAAATTAATAAAGATATTATTATTATTATTACTTGGCAGTCATCTCCCACATTATATCATCTTTAGCATCGTCATCATCTTCCTGTCCATTCCTTCATATTATAATTATGATGGCAGTGGCTTAAAGAGGCCAGGGTCTGTCAACAGGGACGTCAACTGACCATAGGATTATTAAAAAAAGTATGTTTTTTAAATCAAACGAATGTCAAGTCAATAAGTTAAATGAATTCTTTGTACGCCAATGCTTCATTTGCAGCTGCTGTTGTATTGTTTACTTTATCTTTTCAGGAACAAATCCCAAACAGATGCATTGTTCGAGAGACATAAACCCACACATGTTATACATTTAGCAGCTATGGTGGGTGGTCTATTCCACAATATGGCTCACAATTTAAGTTTTTTTGTAAGTTTAAATTATTCTTATTTTTTTTAAATAATACTAGCAAAACCACTCACAAACTCCAGCTAAGCAGTTGCATTAGGAGTGGATTTACTGCCATATTGCACTACCTAGGGTTCGAACCTGAAACCAACCTGTGTATATCACTGTCGATTGCTACTAGTAGTTTAATTTACGTTAATAACGGTTGTAACACCGGTTTTACCCATACTGCGATAGATGGCGTTGTGACGTCTTCCTGAACCGCGTTATGATTTCGTTACACGCGCGACCATAATTATATTATTTGTTTTGTAAAGTAGCCAATAGTTGGAATTTTTATGACATTTTTGAGATCGAAAGTAGATAACAGAGTTTTTTTTAACATCTACTCGTTCGTCACGGACACCGTTCGACGCCACGAATGGCCCGCGCTAAACCCTTTACCAATCACAGCGTCGAATGCATACAAGTGAAATAAACGTATCTTACACTATTCCCTCTGAATTTTAAACGAATTTTTATCACGAGCATTGACCTTCAGGTAATAAATTTGTGTTTTATTTCCAGAGGGATAACATGGCAATAAATGACAATGTCCTGAGCGCTAGTTACAACAATAATGTAAAGAAAGTTGTGTCTTGCCTGTCTACGTGTATATTTCCTGATAAAACTTCATACCCTATTGATGAGACAATGGTAAGTGTCCTACACGAAACTAATAATGATATTTTCGAATTTTGACGACCGAATGGTGTAGTGGTTTGTGTAGAGGACTACTATTCCAACGGTCGCGGGTTCGATTCCCGCTCAAGTCAAACATTTGTGTGCATGAACATTTAATGTTTGATTTGGTCTGGGTGTTTCTATTTATAATAAAAAAAGTATATATGTATTTATATCAGTTGTTTAGTACCCATAGTACAAGCTCTGCTTAGTTTGGGACTAGATGGGGTTGTGTGAATGTGGTACAATATTACAATAATAATATCTTCATACATCTCACACACGGCCGTCTGATTCCAAACTAGACAGAGTCTGTGGTAACCAGACAGTGTGTCTGTATGTCTGTCTATTACTTCTTCACGCTTAAACCGCTGAACCGATTTAGATGTAAATTGGTAGAGAGATCATCCGAGTCCCGGGGAAGGAAATAGGGTAGTTTTTATCCCGGAAATCATCCTTTAAGGGGGTGAAAGTGTATGAAGAATCAATAACCGCTAACATATGCTACTTTTACCGCGATAGCTGACATACACGCGGACAAAAGCTAGTTAAAGATAAATTACACCCAGACGCAGAACAAATGCTTGTGCTTATCACAATTATTCGTCCTGTGTGGGAATCGAACCCATAACCTAAGAGCAGTCAGGGTCACTAACCACTAGACCAGGCCAGAGACTATATAACACAACTAACCTGTAAATCTCAGGATTACTAAAGGTATATTTTTCAAACGAACAGACGAGCTCCCTCAACTCTCTTACTCAAAGGACGCCGGCAACGATTTGAGAATGTTGAGTTGCTGGTGTCCATGGTCTATACCATTGTGGCGACTTCATCATACAATGAAACAATAACATACTTCAGCGCCATCTAACGAAGACACACCGAACTACGGAGTAACTGCTGATTCTGTATCGCGATATGAAAAATTCTCACGCCGTCATAAATACCGCATACGGTCAAAAACGGCAATGTAACTAATCAAACAGCCGAAGCCCGCGAGGTCACCAACTTGTGTAGTGTGCGTAGATTGTTTGCACGTGATTACGTTTGTGCGATACCTACGAGGAATGACCTTAACGTTTGACAGCTAATTGCATAAAACGTTTAATTTGCCAGTAGAGAATTCCAATGATTTTCGACTTAGGATGATGGTATACCATATTTTAGTATTCGTTTCACCGTCCCTTATACCCTGCATACAAGTTCGCAACATCAACCTTTGGGCCGAAGCCCGCCAGTCATGATCGCCTCGCCTGGTCAGAGGCCTCGCTTTGTGTTGGAGGGACATCAGACCCGTTCCTCCACACCATAAAAAAATCCAATCATGAGGGTACACCTTTTTTTACTTTACAGTATAGTAACACGAGCTTCTTTATAATGCAGTTTTAAAATGGATTTTAAATTATTTCAGGTACATAATGGTGCACCGCACACATCTAATTATGGCTACAGCTACGCCAAAAGAATGATAGATGTTTTAAATAGGTAGGTTTATTTTGTTGTAAATTCATCATCATCATCATCATCAGCCTATCGCAGTCCACTGCTGGACATAGGCCCATTGCATTGTTGTAAATTAATTGTGTCAAATTCACTGTATCTGACGTGGCAGGATTACATATTATTGATTGAAATCCTATCCCAGATTTAATCCCAGAAAGCCAATTCTCGTAATAGAAGTTCGGTCAAACATTCAGTTCCGATAATCTCCCGATCTTGCAACTCTCATAAAAGGTATTTTCGTAGTAAATTAGTAAAGTATTACTAAGACTAGCAGGTTACTGTTTTTCGGTCACAATACGGTATAATCACTTTATAGTCAATGTTGGATATTTAATACTTTACGATGAAAATTCCTTCTATGACATTTGTGAGATCGGAATTGAATTTTGACCTAACTTTTGTTACGAGAATTGGCCTTCAGGAATATTTTTACTTCTATCACAGGACGTACATATGGGTACGCAACAATGGTCTCGAGAGAGCTACTGCAGTATCAATCCCTCTTTCTCCCCCAGCTCCTTCGCTCTAACATTTTATCTTACCCTAATGTACTTTCTTCTGTTTTCCCGTCTACAAGTTATTTTCTGTTGTTCCCGTTTTTGTTTCCCGTGGGTTCCCGGTTGTTCCCGCCACCCTCGGACCCATGCAATTCACAGTGAAAACACAAGTGCGTGGCTACCCTCTAAGTGTCCCTAAACTCTTCACCAATCACAACGAAGAAGAATCACAGAGCTAACAACTACCCACAAACCGGTAGTTTTAAGTGCAGAGTGTGCGGTAGAACCTGTCCTTCTAGAATTGACTTACATAGCCACCAAACAAAGTGTGTGCCTACAGGACAGTAACTAAATCTTCTGGAACTAGGCCCTCCGTTGAACCTAGGTTTGGAAACCTTAATAATACTTATAAAATATTGAGTAATCATATTTCAGAGGGTACCATGAGATGCACGGGTGTATGTTTACTTCGGTAATCCCATGCAATGTGTTCGGACCCCACGATAACTACAACTTAGAGTCCAGTCATGTCATTCCGGCGCTTATCAGAAGAATGGACGACGCTATGCAGAAAGGTACCGATAATTATATTTAAAAATTATTTAATTTGGAACCAGCAGTCGCCACTAGCAGCCAGTCTCTGTAGGTTATGAGCGTGGTAAAGGACACTATCGTATCGTATCTGCCTATCCTGGTCGAGAATAAGACGTCGAGAATCTGTGTGTATGCGTCTATGTTACGCATATATACCTTATACCACACCTATGTATGTGTATCAAGAAGTGTATCAAGAATACAGTGTCATCACCCCTATTCATCCCATGGGTGTCGTAAGAGGCGACTAAGGGAGCAAACTACGCAGGACAACAGCACTGCAGAGAGAAGGAAAACTTGACACAAACCCTATACCAACCCGTCTGGCCAGCGTGGTATAGTAGGCCAAAACCTCCTTTCTAAGGAGAGGCTCATGTCCTGCAGTGGACTATTAAAGGCTGTTGATGATGATGATGATGATGATGACACCTATGTATGAATGTACCTGCGATATCCTTCACTAAACCACCCAAAGGTTAATTATGTCCGCCTCGAACAATGTTAAAGGAAAAAGTATAAACCGACCGGATGGCGTAGTGGTTTGTGTAACGGACTGCTATTCCAAAGGTCGCGGGTTCGATTCCCGCTCAAGTCAAACATTTGTGTGCATGAACATTGGATGTTTGATTTGGTGTGGGTGTTTCTATGTATAATATGTATGTATTTACAAAAAAAAAGTATATATGTATTTATATCAGTTGTCTAGTACCCATAGTACAAGCTCTGCTTAGTTTGGGACTAGATGGCGTTGTGTGTATGTGGTAGAATATTATTATTATTAAATATATTTACAAATTGCAGGTGACACAACGTTCACAGTGATGGGCAGTGGCAAGCCTCTGCGTCAGTTCATCTACTCGCTAGACTTAGCCAAGCTGTTTATTTGGGTGCTCAGGAACTATGAGAGCATCGAACCTATTATATTATCAGGTGAAAGACTTAATTTAAAAACAATAGCAATTGTACCCTTTTTTTTTTTCTTTTTTTTTTTCCGTGCGGAAATCCCCTCGGATACCATGTCGGTGGCATGTCGGACTCGAACCGACTAAAAGCGCACGCCGTCTCGGGTACTAATAGCCGGGGAACCAGGTATACCCTAGAAAGGAAGTCCCTGGTGAGCAAATGTACCCTTTAAACAATAATATATGGATTTACTAAGTATCCAAGTCTATGTAATGATCATGTTTTAACACGCTTTATATTAGCTTCACTTGTATGTTTGTAACCGACTCCTTTGGGCGTGATTTTGACTGACTTTAAACGGTCAGAATTCGTTCAAACTTGTTCTAGATATATAGAGGACAACACACTAATTTAAAAAAAAAAATTTGTTTAAAAAAACTAAAAAACACGCTGGGGTGCTTTTTACTATTGACAACAGGCACCCAACGCTTTTTTCAAATTTATTTTCTATTTTTTAGTTTGGTTTTCTATAGAAAGCTTGTTTTTGAATTTTTTAAAACTATATTTTTTTTAATAACCTTATTTTATTTTACATTGTATTTTGTTTTCGTGATGTACCTATATTTGCGTTACAATGACTCACTATACGGATGGCGTAGTGGTCTAAGCCATCACGTCACCACTTCCTACTGCTCTGAGAGTTGTGGTTTCGATACCTAAATGGAACAACATTGTGTGATCCACAAATTGGTGTTCTTTGTATCTGTTTCATGATTGTATGTAAAGTCCCTGCGATACAGGATTCATTCCAAGTGCGGAAGTTGTTTTTTATAATAATGAAGAATTGATGATTCATCTATACAAATAAATAAAATGGGAGTGTCTGTTTGTAATATTAAAATAACCGCTTTTTATTATTAAAAAGCGGTTAAATGCATATGTATGTTTACACGGTACATATGCCAAAATAACTATTTTTTCAATTTTTGTCTGTCTGTCTGTTTGTTCCGGGTAATCTCTGGAACGGCTGGACCGATTTTGACGGGACTTTCACTGGCAGATAGCTGATGACATAAGGAGTAACTTAGGCTACTTTTTTTAGACTAGCTTCGCCCCGCGGCGTTGCCCGCGGTTAAAACAACGAACGCGGGTCTCAGCTAGTATTACAATAAAACAGCAAAAATTTGTTACTTACCCCAAATAAGAATCTTTTTTTTTGTAAATTGTTACATTACCTTAGGTAAAATAAATACCTTTTCTATTATAGTCGATGAAGAAGACGAAGTAACCATCAGCACAGTGGCAGACATGATCAAGAAAGCTCACAATTTCACCGGTGAGATTGTATACGATACAACCAAAGCGGACGGGCAGTATAAGAAAACAGCATCTAACAAAAAACTTAGGAGTCTTAATAAGGACTTTAAGTTCACACCGTTTGAAGTAGCCATACATGATACTGTGGCGTGGTTCAAGGAAAATAGGGAGCATGCTAGGACGTAGAACATTGTGTAGTTATTTATTAATCTACGTACTCCTTCCTAAAAGGCCGTTTGTGACTCCTGTGTTGCAGACGTTTATGGGCGACGATGGTCACTTTCCATCAGATGACCCGTCTGCTCGTCTGCCCCCTCTAACATAAAAAGAAAATCTAATATATAAAATGTGTGTCACGGTGTGCGTGGTTGAACTCCTCCGAAACGGCTCGACCAATTTTCGTGAAATTTGTATGCATATCGGGTAGGTCTGAGAATCGGCCAACATCTATTTTTCATACCCCTAATTTTTTTTTTTTATTCTGAAATAATGTATATAAGGAAGTGTATCTAAGTGTTATACAGTGTGTTAGTAAACAGGTGTGGTCAAATGTTAAGCGTTATGCGTGTCCTAAAGCGGCTGTTGGTCTATTGGTTAGTGATCTTGACTGCTAAGCCGGAAGTCGTGGGTTGGATTCCCATCCAGGACAATTAGTTGTATGACCAGCACGACCATTTGTTTTGTGTCTTGGTGTAATTTATCTATAATATATATAGAAATATATAGGTATGTTTATCAACAGTCTGATCCCCATAGCACAGGCTCTGCTTAGTTTGGAATCAAAACTGCCCTGTTATTGTTATTATTTTATTATTTATCTCAAATAAAAGTGATTCTCCTGGTACACATTTCTAAACGGTTTATGAGTTTTCGAAACAGGTTCTTAGCTAGCCATAAACAACGTTTACTTAATCGCAGTCCGCTAATTCCCATCCAAAATTCCTTTATCATCCCAAAATGTTTTTCATATGTATTTTGTATAATTTTAGAGAAGGCATAGTAAATAAAAATAATAATACTTATAATAGGTCTTAACCTATGAAATTGCCGTTTTGTATGCAATAAGTGAAAGTACTTATTTTTTCAAACTTTTTTATTTCTGTTATTCGAAGTAATCACCCATGTAATCGACGCATCTTTGCCAACGCATTGGCAGTTTATTGATGCCCTTCTTGTAAAAATCAGCTGGACGGGAGGCAACAAACTCTTCAAAGGCATTTTGTACTGCCTCTCGGGAATTGAATTTTTTACCCACTAAAAAGTTGTCTAAATTTTGGAAAAAGTGATAGTCGGTAGGTGCAAGGGCATCAATAAACTGCCAATACGTTGGCAAAGATGCGTCGATTGCATGGGTGATTACTTCGAATAACAGAAATAAAAAAGTTTGAAAAAATAAGTACTTTCACTTATTGCTTACAAAACGGCAATTTCATAGGTAAAGACTTAATATCATATGTTACGTATGTACTGATAAAAACGATGTTATAAACAAAAATAACACACCAAAAGTGAGTTTTATTTTGTTTAAAAAACCTTATTAATAGTTAAAATAAATAGTTTTATAAAGCTTCTTTAAAATGAAATGAATCTAATCTAAATGAATTTTAGTAACATTGCAATTATTATAAAATAATTTATCTTTTTCAAAATAAGTTATTCTCAAATCCCTGTACGTCACAGTCTCACAGACTTTTGAGTGCTCCTCCCAGGTGTTTGGTCTGCCAGGGTATTGTTATCCTGGCTCAAAACTCTGAGCCTTGGTATTTGTTTTTTTTTTTTTCAAGATAGGGGCACTTGATAGTAAGCTACTACCGTCGTCAGTGGTCTTGCCTCCAGTATCTTGTAAGTTTTTGTAAAGCTGTTTAGCTATTATTATTTACCCACATTCCAACTAGTTACTCCTACAAAATAGGCTAACGTTGTCAACACAGGGAAATTGTAAACGGTATATTTAGTTTTTGTAAGTGGTAACACTGTACTTGCGTTTATGCTCCTGTTTTCTCTTATAGCTGCAATAAATAAATGTGAACCAAATTTAAAATGCGTTTTATTTATAACGTGAACACACAAAAATGTATTCCGATAGTCTGATTTGTAATTTGACTAAAATGACAGCTCCAATCGAACTATTTTTTTTAATGTTGCTAGCGTGCAAGCATGGGGTTGTAATATGGCTCAACTTTATCGTATTGTATTAATAGGAAAGGGTTTATTCCTCCATAAAATGATTATAAAATCTGCCATAAAATGCTAATTCTCATAATCACGGGAAGCGTCGTCCAGTTGCTTAGCTAGTTGTTTATACATAGCACGAGCACTCGGACCCCATGACGTGGATGCCGTCTGAACCCCAAAAAGAGATTGTAAAGATTAGTCATATTTGATTTAATAATAATTAAATTTAAGAATACAGAGTGTCACCACCCCTATTCATCCCGTGGGTGTCGTAAGAGCCGACTAAGGCAGAAAACTACGCAGAACAACGGCACTGGAGAGAGAAGGAAAACTTGAAACAAACCCTATACCAACCCGTCTGGCCAGCGTGGTATACTAGGCCAAAACCTCCTTTCTAAGGAGAGGCTTATGTCCAGCAGTGGACTTGTAAAGGCTGTTGATATGATATATGATATGATAACTATCGCCGATTATATTTACATCCCCTCAGGCGACCTTCTGATTAAATAACATTTGATTTACTTACCTGCGATACCTAGTACTACGGGTATTATTTTTTGCTAGTCAAATAAAATTAGGTGAACTGAGAAGTGAATAATTTAGCATGTATATTTAAGTTCAAATTATAGTATATATGTATATTGTAAACTTACGTATACAATATACATATATACTATAATTTGAACAAAAAAATATACACATGCTTATATCGCTAAAGTCAGAGGCGTATTAAAACACCCCTTTTTGCAGACTAAAATATTAGTGTTTGACAGTCAGAATGACGGGGATTGACACTGGATGTGATAGATGGCAACCCACAACACTCAGCGTAGTAGGAAGCTGCGTGGCGACCGCCAAAACCACTATATATATGTAAGCATGTGTATATTTTTTTGTTCAAATATAGTATATTATGTATATTGTGAGGCGAATAAAAGCACTAATATTTATCCATAACTTTATTTTAAACAGTTATCTTTAAAAATAACATTAAGACTTACATGCTTTTCAAAATCCTTCGCAAACATGCTAAGACAAAACTTAAACGAATAATAATCAAAATACTGTTTTTGCAAAGAATCTTTCTTTATAATAAATAAGTTACTAAATTAAATACTAAGGGCCCTAAGGCCGGTTAAAGCTAAAAGAGTTTAGAAACACTAAATAGGATTACCTAGTGAGCGAGTTATGCGTGTGCGCAGATGTAAGTAATATAAGTTCGACGTGAGCCATGTATTTAATTAATAAATAATGCAAAGTGTAATTGTATTAACTAAGTGTGTAAAATGTTATGCTTTATGCATTTATGTTTCAGTTTAGGTGCGTAAATTATTGGGATTAATACATTCAAGAACATCGAGTATCATGACGAGAGGGCTCACAGTTCATGACTTCATATTGTAATTATTGCAGTAATTAAGTAATGTTTAAGAGCACTTTACGCCAAGCCTTAATAGCAAAAATTTAATAGGTCTGTCTTTATATATGGAACTTATATGGCTAAACCGTGTTCATCATACGTAACGAATATCTTCTCAATGGCAGTTATGTAGGCGGACGTCCTTAGGTCCAGGCCAAGTTTATGTTTCTGATTCGCTGTCACAATGTTCTGAAATTATTAATTACTGATATTATTTTCCATTTTTTGCGGATATAGAGCTAGCGAGACACCTGATGGTAATTGACCACCGCCGCTCAAGGACACAAGAGTACAAGGACAAGGTTGTGTAGCCTTCATGTAGGGGAAGGTGGCCCAAAACGGGTAAGCTAAGAACGAAGATAAAAATAAGTGTTAAATCATGTTAGGAATTAGCTGGATTTACTTTATAAGATAGGGTATTTATCGAACTTGAAAATAAAACACTATTTGAAAATATATTGTATCCAATATTAATTTAATAAAAAAAATACAAATCCTTTCCAAAAACCCGTTTTGCCCGCATATGAGCCTAAAAAGGGTAACGTCCTTTGGGCAAAACGGGTAAGTCTAGGGTAAAACGGGTAAGTGTCATGATCAGATAAACTATAATCATAATTATAAAAGGCAGGAAGCTAATAATTGAACCTTATTTAACATTTTGGCAATTAGCATATAACAAATTCAGTCACATAACATTATACATACGTAAAATATCTAATCTTTATCTTTTATGAATAACATTAGATACAAAACTATATTTAGGCTCTTTTAATCAGTCTAGAGATACCTATTATTGAGATCAAACTTATAAAGAAAATAGAAACAATGATTAAAACTTTCATAATAATCAACGTTGTAGATTCAAAGTTAAATACTATTCCTGACAAAAATCACAAAAATAGGAACCTATACCAGAATAAGCAGTGCATGCTTCGTGAGCCCATTCTTTAAAGTCTCCACATTTGATCCAGTCTTCTCCAGGTGGATTCATATAAGGGTCATCACAAACCAAGCAAACATATTTTCTTTCCGACTTTTTCTGCGTACCTTTAGTATTACCTTTCTTTGTTTTGCTGGTAGAAGGCATATTTTTGATGTTTTTGCCAACTTTCCTTGCCGTCAGAGATGCTTTCTTTTCAGCAACTTTTGTACGTTTTTTCTTTTCTTCCTTTTCTCTTTGCTGTCCTTTTTTGGTACTGGTTAACACTTCAGCTTTTTGAATCTTCCGCTTGCGATTTGTTTTATTTAGGCTCAGTTTCGGCATTGGTTTAATGTCTACAGGTTTTACATGAACCAGCGATGCTGATGGCGAAGATACTGGTCCAAGAGAAATCGATTTCACTTGTGTAGAACATGAAAGGATGACGTTTTCGGCTAGTGGATCCTGGGCATCTGATTGATGTCTTTCTCTACGTCTTTATTTGATGACGAAACGGCAATGATGGGGTTGGAGGCCTGCTCATCTGCATTTGGCATTTGAATTTCTGCAGGGTTTAGATTTTTTTCTATTAGACATTGAGTGACAACAGTTGCAGTCTCGTCATCGATGGGGTTAAAGTTTTCATTTTCCAAAACAGATGGAGAGACAGTGCGGTCAGAGTCAAGAGATACGAGATGTTTCTCAACGTGGAAGTGCAGATTGGGATGCACAATTAGAGGTTGCTGAGTTTTCTATAGAGCCTGAAGAAGATGGTTCAGGGCGGTCCGTCAAAGTAGGTGGCAAAAAGTCTGACTCATCAAATATGTGACAATTTTTAGGCCATATTCCAGTTGATTTAAAGCCATTAATAGCATTTTGCGCACTAGCTGCTCTCATATATGTACCCGTTTTGCCCTACCCGTTTTGCCCGAGAGCACATGTTTTTTGTAAATTAATAATAACCTCAAAATGAAAGGTAAATGGGGCAAACTTTTTATCTTAAATTAAAGTTAGATAGTGCTTGAATGAAACGGTACTACTAATAATAAGAGAATAATAAAGGTTTTCGACTAATTACGAGACACTTACCTTGAATTTTTTTAACAAAATCACTTTAAAACTTTCGTTGCACACACCTACGCCATTACGCGACTCCGGCGCCTGAGCGAAACTGATCGAAACTCGTCAATGTTCGGCAACTCTCGACACAAGCACACATTGACACTTATGCTTGATACAACAATATACGAGGGCTTACCCGTCTTGGGCGGCCCATCCGTTTTGGGCCACCTTCCCCTAAGTACAAGAATTAAGACCGATTTTCAGTGAACCTCCACCATACATGAGCCCTACAAAGTCCGAGCGTCTAGGGGAGCCTATCAGATTAATTACATACCGAAAAAGGTGTATTTAAAAAAACTGACAGTAGGCAGTGGTAGGGTGACAAAGTTCCAAAAAAAAGCACATCTTGACATTCTTGAGCGCTGACAATTTTTTTTTATTTTGAAGCAAACAATGACTCTACTAATGAATCTACACAATTTTTTGTGCCTGTCCGATTTTGTAATTTAATAAAAAATCAAAAACACTTCTAACCTTCAGATTTTTGGCTAGCATGATAGGATCATCAAGCTGAACCGTCTGTATAAAATCTAACACGCTCGGAGTATTTCGAAGTGGCGATTTTTCGAAAATTCGCTTCGAGTTGGTGTCACTTTAAAATCGTCAGACCTATCATCAATGGGAGTAGTTTCGGCGTCTAAATAACATATCCCAAAACTATCTGATGCGCCCTAATATTTTTCTTCGATTTCCCCCCCTTACATTTTTGAAAACTTCTAAAAGCTTTTTCCGACGCTCAAAGTGAAAACTTGATTCTATTATTCTATCCTTTAAAATGCAATAGGTCACCATGACGATTAAGTAAAGCCCGATCATCATCATGGGCTCCCCCCTACTATATAATATCACTTCACTAGTTACTGTCATATTATCTTTTATAAGTTCATTTTTTATTTGGTCGTGCCAACCAACCCAATGCCATACCAAACTCTGCCGCATTACATAAACATACACCATGTATGATGCTGCTCAGCTTTTAATTATCAGGAATTAATAGGAAAAAAGCAGTCGCTGTCTTTAGCTCAACATCTGTTGGAAACTGCACAATTGCCACAAAGAATATCGGTTGTTTCTCTACATGAAGAAGAGTCGTGAGCTTACCTGACAAGCATTGTTCATGGAGTATTCAAGTCCAGAGTTAACTATGAGCTTCTCATTGGCACCACACATCATAGTCTGGAATACTGGAGATGCTTCGATCTTGGCGTTTACCTTTGCTTTCTTTAGCGACTGTTCCACGGAATCTAAATCATTATCATACCATTTTATTGAGTCAATCGAGTTCCTGTAGTTTCTTGATACGTGGGAGGGGGAGGGGATCCTGGCGGACTTTGTCAAATAGGGCTTACTTCGTAACTATCTATAATATTGTAGGAATATCACATTTATCATAATAAAGTTTACCTAAAAGTGCAGTGTTAGAATCCCTCCAAAACTTGATACTCAGTTTTCCGAAGCTAACGTGGTTAAGGTTCTTCAGGAACTCAAAATAAGACACAGTGACGCCACCAGAGTTTACAAGCAAGTCAGGAAGGACAAGTATTTTCTTTTCCTGCAGGGTCTTGTCAGCCGACGGCACCGTGGGCCCATTAGCTCCTTCTGCTATTACCTGTTACAGTAATTATCAGAATTCCGTCATTATGCATCGATTTTGGTTAATTATTAGTTGAAATATTTGGTCCCGTTTAAATTTGAAGAAAAAATACTAATGTTTTAAAAGGCCTAAACAATAAAAAAAATCACTGTTTAAATTCTTTCAATCACTCAAGGTTGCAAGCGTAGGGGTAGGGTAGGGTAGGTACTCGAAGATAGTGCCTCAAACGTGTTGCAACCATAAAGATAATATAAGAATAGAGTACGCAAGGAAAGCCTCACCGTCTCACGGTGCGAGAGAGATCGCTGCACGCACAGGCCCTCTCCATCTCTCTCTCTCTCACCGATCTCTATATATTATTTATTATTATTATATCTCTCTTATTATCTTTATGGTTGCGACACGATGGCTCGCGCACTAGTGCGGTGAAATTAATTGTGGGAAGCGGTTGCGCATCACGAATAACAAAATATCGTCCGACAGAAACTAAGTATTTTTTGAAATATTTGACATAATTATGTAATTTTTAATTTCATGATTTTATAAAACGAGTGGTAGCGTATGCGACTGCTGTACTGAGGTCTCGGGTTCGATTCCCAGGTCGGATCAAATGTGTGATCTGCAAATATTTGTTTAGGAGTTTGGGTGTTTTATAAGAACAATATATATGTAAATACAAATAAATAAATGCTTTTAACGAGTAAGTACTTATTAGTTTAAATTTGTTTTTCAAAATGATTAGTGTGGGATAGTAGCCAAGCAATGTCAGTGAACCTTAGAAAAGTGAATCTTAAGATTGTTACCTTACAGTTCAGTTTTGGGGCGACTTCATTGGTGATGGTCTTCTCTGATGCAGCCGCAACGAGTATGTCGCACTTTTCGTACAGTATCTCAGGTCCACATTCTTGTGCACCGGGAAATCCTTTAGCATTGCCTTTATTTTTTCTCATGTAATTAAACAGATCCTGAAAAATATAATGTGTTCATCAAAAGTAGTCATTTTTTTATTATATTTGGTAAACCCATCCCTATCTGCTTAGTACCGTCGCCCATGGATACCTGCTTGCCGCCCCTTGATTCCCCCCACTCCTCCCCCCGAATAAATTGAGTGAGTAAGGTAACTGGAGCACAAATCCTCCCTAGATATGGGCTCCAGTAATCGCACGAAATGAACGAAAAGCAATCAAAGAATTTCTAAATACCGTGAGGCCGTAACATCATTCCGGTCGAACCGGATTTGTATTTGTAGTCAGTCAGTTGATGCCCCTGTCAAAGGACAGATGTTCGCGTATGTGATCCCGCCACCGCTGAGCTACTACAGTCTGTCTCGTTTCACCAGGGGCGGCCTTTGGCGGTGGCGAGCACGGCGACCGCCCAGGGCCTCGCTCATGCAGGGGTCTCGCGCACTCGCGCATCAACCGAAGTAGGAAAATGTTTATTTGAATTTCGCGCCTTACGCCACTCGTTACTCGCGCCTGATTTACGTTCAGGGATTATCCGTGTTTCATTCTGTCTGTAATATCCTCAAAATGCTTCCAGTGTCGTCGGCTTTTGTTTTTAGATTAGTATTTTAGAGTATTAAATTTAGCTGCTACTTACTTACTGCATTGATTCACCAAGAAATAGGTACCCTTGAGTAAGGATTAAGAGACCTCATTAAAATTACTATTTTTTTAAATTCGGCTCTACAACTTATTTACTTCTACTAAATCTAGACAATATTAGTTTTTTCGATTTACGATTAGGACCCTCAATCGTCTCGCACACTTTGTTCTACTGCGTTTCACCATACGAGAGTTGCGGTATCTCTTACATCGTCTAGTACTTTCGTAATATCTGTTTTTCTTAACCCAAGTAAGAAACTTCCTTCGTCGCAATTTATCAAAAAACTACTATATTTCCAGAAAAGGTTGGCGTCAGTTAGCCGAGAGGCCATACCAAAAAGAAAACTAGCTATTGTGGGAAAGCATGTAAGTCCTACCGACAAAATTGATATCATCTACTCACCTGCGATTGAATTCCTTCAGGATTTTTAAGATTAACTCCGAACTCTAACACACCGATTATCTTTACTCCCTTTTTCTGCAGGTATAAAGCAGCATAAGCACCGACATTGCCAAAGCCTTGTATGATTGCAGTTTTACCCTAAGAAGAGAGATAATAAATTACATCAGCTTTCTGAAGAACCATCTCTTCAAGCTTGTTTGTGCTACAAAATTTATCTGTTAAGCGTCAATCAATCATGGGCATGTCCAAATTTTGTGGAAATTTCGAGAATGGCCCAATACTCTATTGATAATTAAATTATGATACACATAAGAGATATTTAAAATGAAAACAAGATTTATGTAGTTATTTTTAAGTAGGTTCTAACTTAAAACAACTCGTGTCGTAAAAAAATGTAGTATTTTTATATTAACAATGACACGTACGTATCGTTGTTATTATAAACATACGACATACAATAAATAATTATACTAATTACATAAATAAAATAGAAATTTTATATTTTTTGCTATAGAAAATTTTAATTATATTTATAGAAAACATATAAAAGTATGGTGTCCGTGTGGTGATGGATTAAGAATACGAAGTGTCACCACCCCTATTCATCCCGTAGGTGTCGTAAGAGACGACTAAAGCAAAAAATACGCAGAACAACACCACTGCAGAAAGAAGGAAAACTTAAAACAAACCCTATACCAACCCGTCTGGCCAGCGTGGTATAGTAGGCCAAAACCTCCTTTCTAAGGAGATGCCTATGTCCAGCAGTGGACTGTTAAAGGCAGTTGATGTGATATAAAAGTATAATTAATGTTCAGATTTGAAATAGCCTAGTTGTTCTTGGAACTAAAGAATAAGTCCACTCTATTTAAGTGTTCATTTGCAGAGTCAATTGTGAGGACACCATTTTACCCGTAATTAGTAAAATGAAGTGGAGTGCAAAATAACGTAATGTGTCTAGTGCGTTTCTTTCTTGGGAAATTAAACTTAAAATTATTTGAGTAAAAATTTCTCCCATTCTTCAATTTAATTATTAAAACGCGACTGAACCAATCACTCCTAAAGGAGTGTATAATACCAGGTTTTTATACAGATGAGGGGTTCAAAGCAGTCAAAATCGGCTGTGTATAAAACTTGATCCTATTGATTAAAAGCATGATTTGTTATTTTTGACTTTCAGACACTATTTTAAATAGGTCTACTAGTGTCGATATAAGCTATTACATTTAGACCAGTCTCCAAGCCGACCATGTCCATATATTCCTTCCTGTTACAAAAGTTCTCCAGGGCTATGAAAGTGCCGCGACCAGTCGCCTCGACGCGGCCATGGATGCCTCCTCCATTAATGGGTTTGCCCGTCACGCACGCGGCAGCATTTAGATCCTTGTAGCCTATTAAGTTTAAAAAAGAGTTAGGCCTAAATTGGATTGATTGGATGTGGTATTAAACCGGTAGTGACGAGGTAGTTTTAAATTATGTCTGTGAAGAATCAGTGACTATAGCTTCAAAGCCTAACAATTCATTATTCTGATATGACCTCTGAGTGAAGTTCCAAAGCCTTTATGCAGTGAAATGTTGGAGACGGAGTTTTTTTTTGGCTCCGTGCTCCTTTTTGTCCTAAGGATATTCTTGTATTTAATCATTTCCTTTATCTTTAGAGGAATGAAAGCCTGTTATCGGAAGCAAATCGGTGTTTGTTAAGAGGATTTATGCAACGACGAGATATTATTAGATTTGCTTCTTTATTTTTTATTTGAAAAGGCAAAGTGCTGGTTAGTTGATTTTGAGAATATTGACCAAGAAGTTCAGTAATAATCATTATCTTACCGAGAGTTTTGATATAGGTATCAACTATCCAAGACATCTCCCTGCCTGATGTTGCCATGTCGGGTGCCGGAACATCGATGCCGGCTCCTACAAATTAAAAAATAAAGAATCTCTTTATTTCGACTTCGCGAGTTTATAGAGTCTAGTAAGTTCAATTAATATATTTTATAACACCTGTTTTCGTTTTTTTTTTGACAATAATATTAAGAAATACTATCACCGAATGTGACGTTACCAATGTAGTTTTTCTTCGCTAATTCCAGAGTGTATCGCCTCGTGATCCTTTGAAGCTCTGCCACAGTGTACTTCTTTGGATCTATCGATACGCCTGAAAGCCATTTTATTTAGTTTTATTAGCGGTTCGTATATTTTAAATCCCATTCGGCCGTGTACGAAACCCTGTTTCGAAACCAGTTTCGAAATATGAATAACATCTCTTCTTTCGAAACTCGTTTCGATAAAAGAAAAATGAAAAACAATTTACTGTCCACTTACACACGATGAAAATATTATTTACTTACTTCGCTGGGTCAGCCATTCTTTTCTATTTTGTTGTTTTCTTTAATCTAGTCGATACTAATATATAAAAAGGCAAATATACAAAAAATAGAGTGAGAGCCCGGAATGACACCACGGCCTCACAGAAAACCAATGTTATTATTACTTGTATTGTTATTGTACTTATTTTATTTTTATTTTATTTATCCTTTCGTTGCGTTTCACCGAGCAGCCCAAACCTCCTCCTCTTCCTAACTCTGGGAGTGGAACTCAAAGGGTGAAAACACACGACCTGCGACTCAAGTCACTAGGACTTGAGTCGCAGGTGAGGATGGGCGGTGGCAGTCATTCCCTCAGGTGTCCCATCTGCTCGTTTGCACCCCTATGCCATAAAAAAAGTGTGTGTGTCAGCTCCGACGCACGACTGGAGTTTACTTCTTAAGAACGACTCGGCTGCACACAAGTGTACAAGTTGTACACACACATGATAAGAGGCGCACCAAAAAACGAGATCGTTCGATCACTAAATTTTACTCTTCATTTTTTTTCATACCGGGCGCCTCATATGTAAATCGATTCTTAAGGAGCTAACTCCAAAAGTTTAGAACTATTTTCTTCTGTTCGTCATCTGATTTACTATCTAAAAGGTATATTATTATATCTAGTAAGCATCTACGTTTTTCAAGATAAATATCTTTATACCGTACCTCCTTTAGCGCCGCCATAAGGAATATTAGAACAGGCACATTTGTAAGTCATCAAGGATGCCAGGGCCTTTACCTCCTGAAGATCAACAGCGGTCGAGAATCGAATACCTGAACAATTGAAGGGAGCCTTTATGGATATTACCTAATTATTTTTTAGCTTTTAGTACTTTTTATAAATCTATCTTTATCTTTATTTTCAATAAAACTGTTTAACTTTAAACGTTTTTATTTACAAGCTTTTAGTTTATACTTCTCTACTATGTACCACATAACATTATAAGATTTCTTTGCTGTTAATTTGTTGCAGACTCTCTCTCTCTCAGCTTAATGGCCAAACCCCTGTCGATGGAGCAATCGCCACGCCTTTCTATTTTCTCCGATCTGTTTGACTTTTTGATAGGCCACAACCCCCACTTACTTCTTTACTTGCCCCCTACAGGCCCTTGTTGAGATGTTGATCTAGGCCTTCCTCGTTTCAAAGAAGAAAAGAGACAGGAGATGCTGGAGGGTCTTAATCGTGACCCCTGGGGTCGCCCTTACCGCGCGGTGCGACAAAAGCTCCGCGCGTCGGGCCCCCCCCTTACGGAGACTCTCCAGCCCAGCTTCCTGCGAGAAGTGGTTGAGGGCCTTTTCCCACAACGAGCGGAACACACTCCCCCGGCGATGGCCTCCTTGGCCGGAGACGACGGGGAGCACGGGGAAGATAATGTTCCGCCCGTCCGGGATTCGGAGGTAGGGGCGGCTGTTCTACGGATCCGTTCCAAGAACACCGCCCCTGGGCCAGACGGGGTACCGGCCCGAGTGCTGGCCCTGGCCCTTAACCACATGGCAGATCGCCTCGGGGAGGTGTTCGACGCTAGCTTGGCGTCGGGACGCTTCCCTGAGTGCTGGAAGAGCGGGAAGCTGGTCCTATTGAGGAAGCCGGGACGGCCTGCCGATTCGGTCGCGGCCTATAGGCCCATCGTGCTGCTGGACGAGGCGGGCAAATTGTTTGAGAGGGTTCTTTCTGCCCGCATCGTCCGGCACCTCTGCGAGGTGGGCCCCGATCTGTCGGACGCCCAATTTGGTTTTCGGGCGGGGCGTTCGACAGTCGACGCCGTGTTGCGCCTGAGGGCCGTGACCGAAGAGGCCGTGAGCTGTGGCGGCGTGCTGTTGGCGGTGTCATTAGACATCGCCAACGCATTCAATAGTCTGCCATTCAGCTGCATCAGGGAAGCACTCCACTATCATGGGGTGCCAAAGTACCTGAGGCGGCTAGTGGCAGACTATTTAGAGGAGCGTACCGTCGTGTACGAGGACCGAGAAGGTAATTTGAGGAGTCGGCCCATGTCGTGCGGTGTTCCACAGGGGTCTGTTCTTGGACCCCTCTTGTGGAACATAGGGTACGACTGGGCCCTTCGCGCCGATTTCCCCCCCGGGCTGGGTGTAATCTGTTACGCAGACGATACCCTGGTGACAGCTCGGGGGGCAAACTTCCAAGAGGCGGCGCGCCTGGCCACAGGGGGAGTCTCCCTGGTGGTCGGGCGCATTGAGGCGCTGGGCTTACGGGTGGCTCTAGATAAGACGGAGGCCCTGTTATTTCATGGGCCCCGTCGTGGTCCACCCCCTGGCGCCTCAATCGTGGTCAACTCGGTCCTCGTACCGGTTCGGGCCCAGATGAAATATCTGGGCCTGATCCTCGAGGTGGCTCTTCGACGAGCACTTCCGACAGCTTGCTCCAAAGCTGGTCGGCGCTGCGTCTGCCCTAGGGCGACTTTTGCCCAATATGGGTGGACCCAGCGTCGCGACAAGACGGCTGTACACGGGGGTTGTCCGGTCAATGGCACTGTACGGTGCACCGGTGTGGGCGGCGGCTCTGACCGCCCAGAATAGGGTACGCCTCTGGCGCCCTCAGAGGGTAATGGCGGTCAGAGCCATACGCGGTTACCGCACCGTTTCGACGGAGGTGGCATGCGCGTTGGCCGGAACTCCCCCGTGGGATTTGGAGGCTGAAGTGCTCGCCGAAGTTTATCAGCGAATGGCTGACTCCCGGGCGGAGAGCGGATTTCGCCCTCCGCCCGAGGATGTGCGCGAGTGGCGCGAAGCCGCTCGCCGAGCCACGATGGCTCGTTGGTCGTTCCGGCTGGAGACTCCACGCGCTGGCTTCGCCGCCGTGGAGGCTCTCCAGCCGGTCATCGCCGAGTGGGCAGGGCGGCAGCACGGGACCCTTTCCTTCCGGCTGACGCAGGTGCTTTCCGGGCACGGTTGCTTCGGAAAGTACCTGCACTCGGTCGCTAGGAGGGAACTGAGTCCCGCCTGCCACCACTGCGACTGCAGTGAGGACTCGGCCCAGCACACGCTGGCGGTCTGCCCCGCATGGGCGGCGCAGCGCCGGGCCCTCACTGCAGTCATCGGAGTGGATCTCTCGCTACCGGCCGTAGTACGCTCCATGGCCGGTAGCGACAGTTGTTTTACCGCGGTCGCAACCTTTTGCGAGGTAGTAATCTCGCGGAAGGAGGCGGCGGAGAGGGCCCGGGAGGACGACCTCCACTCGGACCCGATCCGCCGCCGGCGAACCGGGCGGCGGAGGCCCGCCTATCACAGCCTCATGCCGCCCTGAGTGTGGCCGCGGGTGGACGGGGTGGGTTTCCCCTCCACCCGCATTAGTTTGGCCAGCCGCGAGGGGGCGGCGTCCGCGTGTGCCGGACGTCGCCTAAAGAGAGGAAAATATATTGAGACGGAGCCCGCACCAGGAGCGGGTTGGCGCTAGGAGGGGTCCGGATGTCTTAACAACAGCTGTTCCCGGATCCCTCCGTTACAGGCGCAGAGTGGCACACCGTGTGGTTTTAGTCGGTCCGAGTCCGACACACCACCCCGCCGCAAACCCCGGAGGGGTGACGGTCCGAGGGGATTTCCACACGTTAAAAAAAAAAAAAAAAAAAAAGGCCTTCCTCGTTTTCTTTTGCCTTTTTATTTTTATTTCCAGTATTGTTCTAAAAAAGTTTTCCTTTCTTATCAAGTGGCCAACCATTTTGCCTCTTGTTTTAAATAGCATTTAAAAAATCCTCTTCTTTCAACATGAGTAGGACTACCTCGTTCATTCTTTTCTCTATTCAACTGATGTTTATCATCCGCCGCCAGCACCACATTCCAAGTGCTGCCAACCTATCTCTAAGCCTAATTTTGAGCCTAAGTACACAACTGCGTGGTCTACAGTGCTGCCTTTCATTTTGTACGTAGTTGAAGCCCATGTCAAAATTGAGCGCAACGTTTTTCGTTGGGAAGCCGTTGCATGCTGTCAGCATATGATAGGTTGTTGTGGCGAACCTTAGGGAAGCCATATCTAGCAGTAGACGTCTTTCGGCTGAGATGATGACGATGATTATGTTTAGTCTTCCAATCGTTCTGTTACTACAACATATCTTCAGGTATTATCTGGCTTCAAGATCTTGAAAGCTATATAAGCTGTACTGTATTACACAAGGGTGATTGAGTTATTATATCAGCTCTAACCACCCTAACCCTAACGATACAGTCCTCGACACAATACGAAATCTTGATCCCGATTTTATATTGACGAAGTTATGTTTTAATTAGATGTTTAGATTTCGGTTTTGATTTAATAAGAAGAAGGAAGGAAACTTCTAAACTAAAACGCTTTCATTTGATTTCCATTGACCATTGAGAGTATTGAAACACTCGTATATAAAATCCACCGTTTTGTGGTGGTGCTCTTCTTCAATTTAATTCTTCGTCGGCTTTGCATGAGTAATAGAGTATATATACATATATTATTTGCCTATAACTTTTTTCCTGTTGTAGTATAGTATCAGTGCTTCCCATCGCTAGACTCAGATGGCAACATTGACAGAAAGCGGGTGCGCGCGTTTTAATTTAGTGATCACTAGATAAAAAGATACAAAAGATCAAATTGGAAACGTCAAAATTACAAATATACCTACATTAGAATCTTAGATTCAACAATCTTTGTTTTGTTTTATAGTGCATTTCGAATTAAACGAAGTAGAACTAGTGAGACATTTTTTATTCTCACTAGTTTGACCGTCGAACTAATGAGAAAAAAAAACTCACTAGTTTGACGATCGAACTAATGAGAACAAATCTTAATTAACACAAGTTCTCATTTGAAACTTTCAAGATACTGTATAAGTTTTGTTACTGTATGAACTTGTTTTAAGAAAGACTAATATTTAAGTAGGAAGTATTATTGTTGTACTTTTAAAAAACTCAAGTCGATAAGCGTGCAGTAATAAGGTTCTGAGGTTCATTTAAAAAAATTGGTCTCTTGTCCAAAATAATTTGGGAATCCCTGTTCTAGACCAACTGGTCATTCAAATATGTATAATTAAAATTGGATTAATTGGACAGATTTGGTAGGTGTGTTTATTTTTTTGAGTATTTATTTCATCATTTTAGATACCTCCTTTACAAGGCAGTCGATGAACACTGTGTTGAGATCGGTAGGCATGTATTATCTCGTAGTCGCCACTCTTTCTCTGCAACGGGAACTCAAACTGGAGAGAACTGTTGCAGGAACCCATAACCTGCAAACAATTCAGTTTTACGAGTAGAATCTCGAGGTCGAATATCATGCCACCACAATACGAATTACACTATGCAATATTTCTATATTTGCCACAAAGCGTTGAGAGCGTTTTTATAAGAATCATATCTAACACGAATTTCGTGATGTGGTTATTTTACAATGACCACAACTCGTATTTTTTCTCTCAAAGAGCGTTTTCTACCTTTAGGCTAGGCGTATACGTAAATATCCATGAAATTCGCAATGTTTGCCAGGTATGTTCAATTTATCTATTGAATAGTGAATACTTTTTCTTATGAAATTATATTGCCCTGCGATGATAAATTTTTTGTATCTATTTATTAAAGAACTGTGTGGTAACGGATTAAAAATACGGAGTGTCACCACCACTATTCATCCCGAGGGTGGCGTAACAGTCGACTAAACAACACGGAGCAAGCTACGAAGGAAAACTCGACACAAACCTACCCGTCTGGCCAAGCGTGGTGCAATAGACCAAAACCTCCATTCTAAGGAGAGACCTATCTCCAGCAGTAGACTATTAAAGGCTGTTGATGATGATTTATTAAAGAAATAAATATGTAATATTTACAAGGCCACTTTATGCTATAGTGGACTAATGAGCAGACAGGTCACGCGATGATAATTTACGCAATTCACGAGTTACAAGTGCATTGCCTAGTATCCTCCCAATCCTATCGATAATTAGGGATACCTATTGATCTCCGGTAACCTCCAAGTGCAACGACCGACTTTTAACTAAACGGGTTAGTTACTAATCAATTAATTTAAATAACAAATACGTCTTACTACTTATTACTGTAGAAAATCCTTATTGTTGCGAAACTCGGGGGTTTTTAAAAAGCGCATTTTTATGACATTGAATTTCAGAAAGTGAAATGACTATGTATAAGTACGTGTAAGTTTAGGAATCATGTTTTGCATTTGCTCAAATGGCTACCTTTAAAATGCCATCCAATCTCTGCTTCCTCTTCTTCTCCGACATGTGAGTGTGTTTGCTGAGATGGTCCATCAGTGAAGGTTCGCAGACACTCACGGCGTTATGGTAAAAGTACTGGACCATCTTATAGAACATAGGATTTGGGTCGGAGATCACGGCCTTAAATTCCTCTGGGATTTCATAATGTCTAACGATTATCTTCCAAGGGCTTATTTTTTTAGTTTTACACTTCAATATATTTAAAGTAGCAGGAAACATGATTGTATTTTTATTAAAATATTATTATACAAGTGCTCATGTACAATATTTTTAGGTGCACTGAAACATGACAAACGCTATTTTGTTTTTATTCTTTTGAATTATGATTTTCTTCGTTTAGTAAAAAGGTTGTAGACCTATCAATTATTACGGGCCATGTTTTTCGCGCAATTACGTCAATGTAGTTTGGGCGATCTTTACAAGCACAAACGGACCATTTTTTTTTAAAGTAATATTATTTATTATAATTACCGTGGGAGTACCATTCTTCGGCACAAGTGGACTTCAAGTTGAAAAAAAAAGGAGTAAAAAAAACCTTCTTTTGTTCCGTCTTCGGTTTCATTCCCAGGGAGGGATGGCGAGATTGTTGCTACAGTGTGTTTTGATCTATGACTTTAGAGTCTACACAAGAGACGACTTCAATTTTTTTTACGAAATAATGGCTTGTGTTTGAGAGGCAGGCATCCGGCTTTTTAAGAAACTATCCAAAAACCCTGCCAATGTTACACATTGAGGCAGTCAGAAATAAAAAAAAAAGCTAAATTAGGGTGCTTCTATACAATACAAGTGGTTGGATCGGGTAATGACGCGGGTTATTTACGTTAGTAGTATGCACAAGATATTTGCTCATAACTTGTATATAAGCCTTCCTTCCCAGATCTATTAGTTATTTGCCAAGTTCTTATCCACTCGTCTGTCGCATACTTTCGACAATTACCAACCACTCGAGCAGGCTGGCTTCCGAAGTGTTTACGTTTAGTGTAACATACGTCGGGAGTCTGCAACAATGCAAGTACGCATGCAAAAGTAATCTGACCTTAGACCCATAAGCCGTGGAGTGCGTCAAGGTGATATAGTCCGGGAGGTACCGTTGCATTTTAGGTAGTGTTTTTACGCCGGTCGGTTGCGCTCTTGTTCAATAGATGTCGAATGACTGATAAGTGAACCGAGCGTCAGCTGACGCACCCGCGGTGGGTGTAGGATTGAAAGGTTCCGGAAGTGGTGAAAAAAAAATAAAAAATTAAGTCATAGTACGCCGGCTGAAATTCATTTCATAAATATTTTACATCATACAGAGCTAAAAAAAAAATCGTCAGCTGCATGGTGGAGGGGGGATTATGCGTCAGCCGCTCGCTTGAACTAGTAAAAAAACACGTAAAATAAAGTTATAGTACGCCGGATGAATTTAACTAACTGATTGTTTAAATTATCAAAAGTACGAAAACAACAATCAGCTGCGTGCGTAGCGGTGGAAAGACCGTCAGCTGACGCACTAAGGATATAGATTATTCGAGTAATGCACAGTTTCTTTCAGGGTCCAGCTGACAGAACTCCCCTGTCAACCGGCATATTGAAAATTTAATGATAATCTCGAGAAGTTTATAGCATATGTAACAATATCGTACGAAAATATTTTGCTGTTTTTCTTGTTTTATTTTACATAGATGAAAGAAATGCATAATAGAAAATAATATGGAGAGTAAAATGGAAATATCATCAACTAATATAAAGGGAATTAAAAAAAAAAGAGATAGAAAGATAGAAATCGATATAGAATTATTCGTAATCGATAGTATCGCTATCGTCATCGTCCCCAGATGAATCGTTATCAGAACTTTCGTCTGTTAGATTGTTCTCTTCATATTTTTCGTGTTCCTGATCTCGAGCCTCTTCTTCATCACCGTAAATGAACAGGTTAATCATTAAAATTCGCATACCATAATATACACGCTCAAAGAAAGTGTCAACAACAAAAATTCCATACCAGCAATATTTTGCTTGCTATCCGTTATACTGCCGACTGATGGGGGTACTTGATATCCCTCGAACCATTTGAAAACATATTTGTCTTCTTTTTCTTCCCATCCCCAGTCAATGGGAGATAATTGAGAAGGCTCTTGAAGGTGAGCATGGCTCCAAAGGTGCGCGATGTATGAAGTTCGCAGTAAATGCTGGCGTAGCTCCGATTTACATGGTGGAAAGATAGCTCCATCGATACGGTTTTTCCACTTCAGCATATCGTTCTTATTATTAGTTTCGTAGTTTTTACTGAACGTGGCGACTCGTGTAGCGTTGACATCGTTTATCCCTTTGAATCCGTACAGACGACAAACAAATTGTTCAATCGTTGCGAAGACGTGGTTTATTGTACAATTCGGGATATTTGCAATATTACCCAATGCTTGCATATATGCCTGAGATTTTCGCAACAATTGTAGAGGCTTATTTTTTCCTTTCCTGTAAAATGCAGGATTGAAATCGCAGCCTGTGAGAGCATGAAACCCTGGCAACGCAGAGCACAAATTGGTTCCCAAATTTTCGTGTAATTTCGTAATATTTACGAATCATTGGGCATTTCCTGAACCAATGTGCATTGTAATTTTCAAATCATTTTGAATAGCATTCATATTGCCAAGCATTATGATAAAAATATACGTATCTGAGGATCTTATGGTAACGTGAGCATCGAAATCTACCTTACAAACGTGGAATACAATTTTTGTATCAGCTTCTTCGTGAGCTGGACAAGATAAATTATGATCAATGGTTCTTAGAACTTCATTACTTTGTGATTCATATTTATAACAAAACTCGTAGTTTATATAGATCGTTTTTTCGCCTATATAGCTAGCCATATAATTATTTTTCCAGTCGTCACAAAGAAATTCGACTAAGGCAGCTTTGAAGTAAACATTCTTCAATTCACTACCAAAATTAGCAGGGCGAACCTGATCAGGGCCATTTGCACGATACTGTTGACATCTTATCCCGCCTCTTAACAAATGCTCGTTATCTTTAATCGATGGCGAAAAATAACGGTCGAATGTTATTATAATAATCCGCGCATTATTTTTAGTGAACATTTGAATAAGTTTTTTCGAAATATTCCCAAATGTAGACGGAACGTCTTTCAAAGCATGGAGCATAAAAAAAAAACCATCATAAATTAGTACGTCACATCTTTGCGGTGCATTGTTATCTGTTTCTTTTTCTAATATTTTTAGTAAACTAAAAACTGCTATGGCTCTTACACCAACGTTGACGAGCTGAAATTGAATAGGTAGTATGCATTATTCCCGTCAATTTATTTGCAGCATCTGCATTTATGGTTTGTTCTAGCGTTAGATCAATAGGCTGTCTCGAAAATGGTTTGTCGGTTCTCTTAACTCCAAACGATCTCCTTTCGAGTTGCAACTGTAACCCTGGGTGAGTTTCGTGTACTTTCATCGATTTGTCGTGATATATCACGGTATACCGTGAATAATTTTGTTGATTAAAAGTGAAAAAGAGATTTGCAATTTTAGGTATTTGTGTTTAAAAGGAGACAGCGTAGTAGCAATTCTCCAATATTTTTAACTTTTACTGCGTCAGCTGACGGTCTTTCCACCGCTACCCACGCAGCTGATTCTTGTTTTCGTACTTTTGATAATTTAAACAATCAGTTAGTTAAATTTCATCCGGCGTACTATAACTTTATTTTACGTGTTTTTTTACAAGTTCAAGCGAGCGGCTGACGCATAATCCCCCCTCCACTATGCAGCTGACGATTTTTTTTAGCTCTGTATGATGTAAAATATTTATGAAAAGAATTTCAGCCGGCGTACTATGACTTATTTTTTTATTTTTTTTCACCACTTCCGGAACCACACACACCCGCACCCACCGCTACTTGAGCAGCTGATGGTTGGTTCACTTATTGGTCATATTAGATCAACCATCGATGACAATATCAGCCGACTTACTATGACTTTTTCATTTGCAACGGTACCTCCCGGACTAATACGATCTCACCCAACCTCTTCACGTGTCTTTTGGAGGACATTATGAAAACTTTGGATTGGGACGAGAAAGGCATTAAAATCAACGGCCGCAACATGTCACACTTGCGTTTTGCCGACGAACTGATTCTCGATGCTGAGTCCGAGGCAGAACTCGGACTCAGCATCGAAAATCACCAGTTGCGGGAAATCGCAGGCGTATTCAACAGGGGTGGGCTGCGTCGTCAAGTAAAAAATCCCGCAATGTCTGAAAACCAAGACATTCAACCAATGTGTTCTGCCTATTATCACTTATGGATCCGAAACATGGTCTCTTACAAACGAGCACATGTATGCCATAAGAGTTCCCCAAAGAGCCATGGAGCGGGCCACGCTAGGTATCCACCACGTGGACCGTATACCAAACGTCGAAATTCGAAGCCGCACCGAAGTCAAGGATGTGGGTATACGGATTACGAGGCTTAAGTGGAGATGGGTCATGCAATCCTTGGCCAGACGGGACGACAATCGATAGACTAAGGCAGTTACCGAATGGTGGCCAAGAGATATGAGTCCACGATCCAGAGATATGCGATATGCGTGCGTGAGAGACCACCTGCCCGATGGTCGGACGACATTGTGAGGGCGGTAGGAGAGCAATGAATCCGGCTGGCACGAAACCGCCAGGAGTGGCGTGATAGAGAAGACGCCTATATCCAGCAGTGGGGGTAACAGGCTGCTTAGATAGATAGATAGAACTTGTATATGTTGCTTGCGCGGGTTACATGTATGTACATACAATTTTAGATTCAAAACAGGTCAGTACAAGGGTAGCTGGAGCAAGTAATCAAGTTAAAATGCCTCGACAAACGAGAATTCCTATGGAATCGTTTGTTAAAAATGTATTTCTACTAGAGGCAATAAATTTAGTGAGCAATCGTACGGGTTAACTACGCGGGTGGCTCGCACTGGTACATGCTCGAGTCGTTGGACCCGCTTAGTCTTTTGCGCGATAACTTGCGCAAGTGCCTCGACATGCGCTAGTTACTTGCATCGTGTAGAAACACCCTTAGATAAAGAAGGACAGATAAGATCAGATAAATGTGGGTAAGTACAAAATAAAACTACATAATCGATTTCTTTAGATGTATTAATCAGTTTAAAATAATTGTTCACTTATCGAGCCTACATATCGGGTTACTTTGGACCATCTGCAGGTCGACTTTAGGACCGACAAGATCTCTGATATTGTTGAGGCCATATTTGATCATGGTTGGTCGCTCCAGTGAAAGGCCCCAAGCGATTACATTCACATCTTCTGGTAGGCCCATGGGAAGTAACATCTCTGGTCGGAATACACCCGAGTTACCGATTTCAATCCATTTGCCGAGACCTGTGCAAAGATATCACTATTTATTTGACATAAAAAATATATTTTCAGATTTTGCGAAAATGGCGAAATGAAGGATGCTAAATGTTACTTGAAATGAAACTACTTTTTAATAAATGTGGGAAAATGTGCCAGTTCCCGCGCAAATTAAGCATAATGACAGATGTCTTAGATGTAGTACTTATAGATGTTGGCATCACACACCATGGAGTTTTCGAAATATGTTTAGAAATACTACATTCAAGGTGCTGGCTGTCGCAAATACTACTGAGAGTCCGTAAGAGAAATCAATCGAGACTAAGACTAACTAATGACAAATAGACTACCAATAGAACCACACATAATACAAGTGTGTGGTTAACTGGTTATTACCGCTCATTACAGCATTCGTCGCCTAATCAACAACACCGCCCAAGTTATTTTGACTGTCTTTATAGGAGAGTTGAAAACTGTTTAATTGATTAATTTCCAGAGCTTATAACTTAGTATTAGTTAAAGATGTTCTGTTTATGGATCACAAATTGGAAAAAAAATAGTTTTTAATTCCAAACACGTTTAAAAGTTAAAACTACAAATTTTCACTTTTGGTAGTGTTGTTCGATTAGCAACGTTAAGTTGTTGTAGTTGCATTTTTATTAAGATACGACTACAATGACATTTTGTGGATTGCCGCGTTATTATAATGTAAAAATAGTGTTGTATCCTTAATGATCAAATTTAGTAATTTATCCTGATCAGGATAATCAAAATTAACGATTTTTTCCATATCTGAACATATAGTATCTTGTGCTACGTACTAAAGCGTGTATTTAATCTTTAATTTTTAGTCCTTTCCTATTATTAGTGCAAATCAATAAAGTCAAAGTAAATCGACTAAGTTGATCCATATTACAAAGTTGCTTGCACGCTTGCAACATTAAAAAAAATTGGTGGTTTGGAGCTGTCACTTTGGTCTATCTTATTAAAAATCAGAAAAAGAAGCTAGGTAAAACTTACCAGTGTGATAAGCAAAAATTTCCATACTGGGTTCAGTATAGGGGTTATATGCAGGTTTGAACTGCAGCTTGTCGAAGCCGAGCCGTTTGAAGAAGGCGTCCAGCACACTGATCAAGTCTGCCAGTCCCAAGTCCCGGTCTGCAACGACCCCTTCCACTTGATGGAATTCAGCTAAGTGGGTAGCGTCCAATGTTTCGTTACGGAATACCTGATAAACCAATCAGGAAATTTAAAGTATTCCAATAGTTGAAGAACAAAAATATTATAAAATGTGTTGAATTTAGTCCTGACTTAATTCGAACTTTAGAATGGCATATTAAAATTTTGCACACACTAGGTATTTCAATTATAAGTCGATCGCGTAATATCCCTAACCAGTTTACCTCTCTAAGTAGGAGAGATTATGTTAAAAGAGACGGAAGTGTGTAACAGAAAGAGCGTGTTATTTGAATTAACCAATGAGCGCTTAGGGTGTTAGAGTTGACTACTAGATGGCAGTTGCGGTGTCAGTGTTAACACAATCACATGTGTTTGCAGGGTTTTTCTTTTTTAAAGACAACTCCCGCATTAGGAATATATCCTGTGTCGCGTGGGACTTTACAAACACATGAAACGGATACAAAGAACACCCAAACTCAGAACAACAATTTGTAGATCACACAAAGTGTCGTCCCATGTGGGTATCGGACCCACAACACTCAGCGTAGTAGTGAGCAGCGTGGCGACCGCTCACCACTACGCCATCCGCGCAGTCCATCTGGTCTAGTCATCTATTTGGTACATTTGGTGTTTGATGAAACTAAAAACAAATATTTCAGCAATGTAGCAAGATTGACACAACACTCAGCGCAGAAGGAAGCGGCGAGGTGACCGCTTAAACCACTACGCTATCCGTGAAGTCATTTGGATTGCTATTCTATACAAATAAATAAAATTGGAGTGTCTGTTTGTAATATTAAAATAACCGCTTTTTACTAAATGCATATGTATGTTTACACGGTACATATGCCAAAATAACATTTTTTTCAATTTTTGTCTGTCTGTCTGTCTGTTTGTTCCGGGTAATCTCTGGAACGGCTGGACGCATTTCGACGGGATTTTCACTGGCAGATAGCTGATGACATAAGGAGTAACTTAACTATAACAACAAACGCGGGTAACACCGCGGGTCTCAGCTAGTATTATATAAAATTGATATTATATTGGCTAAAATAACACTCAGTATAAAAAGTCTGCACCTACCTTGTCAATGCTGAAGTATTTTTGTGGTGTGAACTCTTTCTGCTGCGCCAGTTTGTACAGCATCCGGGCGCTTACTGCCGTTGTATGTGTCCGCAACAGATTCTTCTGAGCTTCTTCGATCTTCCACTCATATCTGTAGCCCTGGTTCATAAAATAATTAATATTTTATGTATTGCATATTGAGAACTTGTAGATGTATCCAAGATGAATTTTTCGAGTGATGAGTTTTCAATTTCGAATCATCAATCATCATCATCAATCAAAAATGCGAATCTGAGAATTTCAATTGCAACCGCTGGCTAAACCTTACGAGATAGATCGAAATAATGCACTACGGAATTGTATATCTTAAACAGGTCTTAAAAATCCGCGACGGTTTTTAATAATATAATCTCTATATATATAAAAATGAATTGCTGTTCGTTAGTCTCGCTAAAACTCGAGAACGGCTGGACCGATTTGGCTAATTTTGGTCTTGAATTATTTGTGGAAGTCCAGAGAAGGTTTAAAAGGTGAATAAATATGAAAATGCTCGATTTTTTTTTTATTCTGAGCATTTTTGAATTGTTTTCATAAAAAAAGGATTCCTTTTGTTTGTTTATTTTATACAAAAGTTTAGGTCTTTTATTTATCAATTGAGGCAGTACGAAGTCTGCCGGGTCAGCTAGTATTTAATATTTTTCGGACATTGACACACAACGCCATCTAGTTTCAAACTAAGCAGAGCTTGTAATATGAAAGCTAGATTGACTGATAGAATACTTACATCCTTTTTTTTGTAAATACATACATATTTTACATAGAAAACACCCAAACTCCGAAACAAATATTTGCTGATAATACAAACATTTGGTCCGACCCGGGAATCGAACCCAAGACTAAAACAGCAGTCGCATATCTATCTCCTAACGATAACCAACATTAATGATTTTTATCCTTTATTTTATATATTTCCAAAAATTAACGGGTCATTTACGAAGCTATTTTAAACAATACAGTATTATTCCTTATCCAATTAATCGTTTAACCGACCAGCTTTATATCACTTGGCGTGCCAAGAGCGCCCAGCTCACAAATCAAAAAATAAATACCTACGACAAAGAGGGTTGTGCAGTTGTGCATTACGATAATATCGACGAATACCTAATATTGCTATCTTTATTCGCTATTATTATAAATAAATCATAAGCAACAGTTTATATTAAACATAATTTCTACGAGTTACTACCTACACGGACCAAATTTGATAAGCCACACAAGTCAGTTAAAAAAAACAGAGAAGGTATTTATTTTTAGTGGTGGTACCGCGGTATACCCCTCTGCGGAGGTACGTCGGCTAAGTAGACCATATACGTATATAAAAAAAAAATACGTCAATAATAATTTATTTTACATTTTTCATATATTTTTAATTATTTCATATTTTATATACGCGGATGAGGCTTGCCATCTGTACTAACCCGTACATAAATAGCTACATAAAAAGCTTTTTTCTTAAAGAAATTGAATAATTACACAGTACAACGTACACAATACGTTTTCAAATAACTATTACTTTTTTTTTCTAATAAGTAATTGTTATTTGAAAACGTATAATGCAGTATTTAATGCAAATTCCTTAGCTTAAAATTCTAACTAATATGTCTCGTCACTTCCGTTGGATAAATACGACACGGGCGTAGTACACAAGTCAATACACTTTCTCATGGATAATATTAGTAAATTTACCATTTTGAAAATAGTAATTTTCGATATGTTTATGTTTGACTAAATAAAAGGCGAGATAGAAAATTTATTCGAAAAATTACTATTAAAAAAAAACAGCTTAATAAGTTTATAAATCGAAGATAAAACACAAAGGGTTTTTAGTCGAATATATACGACTCAGGCGGAATGGGCCCGAAAATTTTTGACGGATAAATCAGATCTGGGCGGTTAAAAGGTTAAATACATTAGATACGTTGCGGATTTAATGGTGATCGGAATTGCGCTGCACAGCATACTATACTGTTTGCTGTACAGCGCAATTCTGTATTTATTATAATCGCGCAATATATCTATACTAATATTATAAAGCTGAAGAGTTTGTTTGTTTGAACGCGCTAATCTCAGGAACTACTGGTCCGATTTCAAAAATTCTTTCAGTGTTAGATAGCCCATTTATCGAGGAAGGCTATAGGCTATATATCATCACGCTAAGACCTTTAATGAATGAAGAATCTTTAAAAAACGGAGAAAATTTATTACTATTGAGAGACGCAGACGAAGTTGCGCGGGTCAGCTAGTTTAACATATAAATACAGGAAAAAGTTAAATCCTCTCAATTCTTTATTAAAATCTGTGGATAAATATTCATCCTTTTACATGACAAGAGCGAATAACATATTCGAACAATGCATGGATGTAAAATCCCTTTTGTAAGTAGGTATTTTTTCTATCAAATGTTTTTTTTTTCAATATTTACTATTGTAACGGTGCATTTCGCACCATTACAGTAAATTGAATCATAGACGTGTTTTTGGTTTGTTAGTTGAATTTTATGACGTTTCAGCGAGTGCCGATAGTCGATGCTGATCATCTATGGTAGTTATCGATTTAGTTTTTCTTGTTCTGGCAACATTTGGACGCGTCATTGTTAAAAGGCATTTATGTCGTCACTTTTGGTCTTGGTCTGGGTCGAAGAAGTTTAGATTTTTAAAATGTAGTCTTTTTGTTGTAACGAGGGCATATTTCTTATTATATTGTTTGGCCAGCCTCGTTAAAGACTCAAATTATATTGATCGAATTGTTATTTTTCATTAAAAGGGAATATTTATAATGCCGCTGCTTAGTTTGTGAAACATTTTGGGACCCTGATGAATCAGGGTTTTTTTTTAGTTTAAATCTAAGTTTTTTTTAGTTTAATTCTAAATCTTTTGTTTAAATCTAAATTTTCTATTTACACCTTAAATTCTTATTGGATTGGAATGTCATTGCGTGACATTTGGATTTTGTCTCTCTGCCGGCCTGACCCAAGGGTTTAGTTTGCTGCGGAGCACCTATAATGGTAGAAAAAGCTGTTTAGCTGCAGTCCATTATCAGGAGCCTTCGAATGCTACCCCGCCTCTTCCACCGCGTGGGACCGGAATGAGATGTTTTAGATTTGGTTTGACTTCTTTTCATTCGGACTGAGCCAATGTCATTTGGTATGCTTTTTTATTATTTTGTTTGGCGTTGTGGCGTGGGATACTGCAGGCCCCCCAAGGGGTGTTATTTTTACTAGAGAGTAGGTCGATGCCACAACTACGCTTAGATTCATTTCTTATTGAGTCTTTATGTGACCCTTAAAACATATTTAATTTTAGTTTGGTTTATTCATTTATTTGAAAAGGATTGCATTAACGACAGTACTAATTTGAGTATAAGAATTACCTATTGTAATTAGAGTCTTAAGATACCATGTACTCTACAGACACTACGGGATAATAAACTGCCACTAGAACGTATCATCTTTGTATTTATTAGCTGCCCCCCGTCCTAGATTAAAGGTCTAGCGCTGACCGAGTCGTCCGAGGCATTTATTGTTTTTGTGGTTGGTTCTGTGTTCTTTTTGTTGGTTTTCTATTTGTGATGCCACCAGTTAGTTTATTCGTTCATAACCGCAGACCCACACACACACAAATAAAAAAAAATTTTTTTTTTTTAATATTACACTATTTTAGATACTAACCTGAGAACCATATCCACCTTGACTATGAACCTTTTTAACTCTTTCCAGATACTCCATAGGGAAGTCAGTTGTACGAGCTGGAGACGACATGAAGAATGTGTCATGGGCATCTCTAGCAGGATGCTGTTGTGGCTGGAAGAGGGCATCAAAATTCCAGAAAGAGCTTTCAATGTATTGGTTAGTTGGCATCTCTGTGAAACCCATTTCTAAGAATATTTCACGGAACTCTGAACGGACTTTGAGCAAAGGATGGAGGTGACCACATTCTGGTGGTTGGCCTGTAAATAAGAATATTTGATTTAAGACTTTATGATTAGCTGACAATTTTTCTTCTTGGTGACTACCACTGCTCAACCCACCCACGGAGCCACAGCTGACACATCACAAAGCTTCAGGACACAACTCTCTGAAGCATTTTACGAGTTTTCGATTGACAGAAACTTAGTCATGAAAATCTGTCGCTGGCTCACAAACAATGTGGAGATGTTCGAACTAGAGAAAGCTTAAGTGTACTAGTAGTCTTACATTGAAAGTGAGTTTATTTCAATCAATTGGTCGGTTATATTTAATAACTATTTTCTGGCTGACTGCAAAAAGACAGTAAGTGCTCAAGAGAACCATTATTGTTTTATATTAATGTATTTATAAACACATAACTTTTAATAAAATAGTCCGATTTCGTTTTTTTTAGATAGTGTGATACTTCAAAATTAGTCCAATTTAAATTTTATTAAAACCGCCTTAGTAGTTTTTGAGTTGAAGTTTTCTTATTGCGTTAGAATATTTGTATCAGGTGATTCTTTACAGGTTGGTAGGTACCTAGTTCTAATTATTATAAACTAATCACTTTTATTAACTTAATTTACAGGATAATGATATTGTTGTAAAGAATGATCATTCATCTATTTGTCATGCCAACTACGCAGAAAATGAGATACTCTTAGATGATGCCAGAAATCAAGTCGAAGAAATTTACAATGCATTTTGAAAAAGCAGCAATGGCTTCTATACATTCTGTACAAAAAACTTCTACAAAAAGTAACTTTATAAAGGTAGCTAATTACCTTAGTTCAACTCAAATTTCAACTAGTTAAACTAAATGGAACAGGTGTTTAATTTTACTACTGAGAATAAACATTGTGTGCATATAAATCCACCAGGGGATCACACTTGATAATAGGATCACTGCAGACAAAACTTCCAAATAAATCCTCTCAGGGATTAAAATGGATACAAATATTTCAAATAGATTCCCTAGGGGATCGGTGTGGACAAAAAATCCAAATAAATTCTCCAGGGGATTTAAGCATCCTACTTAAGGATCCTAGTGGACAGACGGAGGAAATGTCATCAAAATCTGAGCTCTTGAGGTGTAAGCTTGACAGTCATCTGTATAACTGTATTATAGATGGTTTTATAAATGACAATATCAACAATTATTACCTGATTGTAAGAAGTTGACTTAATATATAAACCTTACCTAAAGCATCAAAATTGTATGGCTTGAACTGTAAAGTTTTCCATGAACCTGACAACAACATCTCACTCGTTAAATCAGTTTCAAGTTTCTTAATAGTTGTTGCAAACTGTGGCCCTTTTGACAACATGAAACTTGTCAAAGTGACCGCTTGAAGAAGTTTCCGTTTCTTGTAGTCATTCCGCACATTGTCCGCTAAATTGTCTACCCCTTTTTTAATTTCAATCAAGTGTTCTTGTACTGTGTCCGTGATGCTGTTTACTTTACGTTTCACTATGGGTGCTCCGCCAGACTTATCAATGGATATCCAACCGGCGGACATTGCTTTGCTAAAACCAACTTTAGCATTTGGAACAGTCTGTAACAAAGATTTTGTTATTGTTATCACTTTCTGAGATTTTAATTTTATTCTTTCTGAGAATTTGAAGATTGTAGACAAGTGATAGTATATGTAGTGCTGATGGGAATACATTTTTTTCTTTAGTCTATTTTCCCTAATTTTTTGGTTCATGGTGTATTTATGATTTATGTTTTAATTGATTGTAATGTGTTTTGTGCATTTAATAAACAAATATCTATAAAAAGGTGCAAACATATTCTATTACAAACATGTTCCACCTATTGCATCATTAATTTATATTGATATATGTATTAACTTTGATTTAGCCTACACTTCAAAATACCTTCATGACTTCAGCCTGAGGTAGGCCGTTTTCAGGAATACTGTTATACAGGACAGCTTCATGGCTACCTTTGTTAGAGACCTCTTCTCCTTCTCCTGTTAATTCCCACTTTGTACTCTTTAAAACTTCAGAAATAACCATTTCAAGGGCCTCCAAGCTTTTGACCGCTCCTACCACTTTTTGGTGGTCTTCGTTAAATTCGCTAGACAATTTTAAAGTGTCAACTTGACCACATTTCTCTAGATAATGTAAAATTCTTTCATTTAGTTCCATTTTATTTTATATTAATAATTTCAAATAAGATTCAGGTTATGTACTTATAAGCCACGGGTGGACGTATAAACGTCAACTTCAACAACAGTCAGCTGAAAAGAAACGTCATTTGTAATAAACAGTTCTAAAAGAGTTGCCGTTTGAAAAATAGTGACTGCACTATTCTGACTCGCATGCTGAGAGCATTAAACCAAACGGAGATGCCACTACGCGCATTCTCACCTGCCAAAATAGTATGAGTGCCGATCCAAGACGTCATTTAATACTAATAATTTTCATTTATTAGTAATATTACGTTTGAAAAATAAATTAACAATTTACCAAAAAAAAAATCTTTTTCATCAACGATCTGTTCTGGGATAATATTTCAATTTGAGTATTCTGTTCTAATTAAATTAAAATCTATTTTATAATTCACTTTGTTGATACATATCTTCTATCTATCATATGAGTTATTTATTGATAGGTTACTGTTAAAAATTCATGTATCCAATGTTTTCTTGTCAAACTCTATTACAAAATAAGAATAAACAAAGAAGTAAAATAAGATGATACCAAACAAAAGCAGGAGATTGATACAGGGCGGATCCAGAACGGATCTGAATGAAATCAGAAATAGATTTCAGTCTAAAACAACACACAATCGTCCCTGGAATAGTCTGCCATGGGTCGTGGGTACGGGATCAGTTTTTTTTTAATGTAGAATTACCTTACATTAAATACAAATTAGGCCAAAACCTTATTTCTAAGGAGAGGCCTATGTCCAGCAGTGGACTATTAAAGGCTGTTGATGTGTGATGTGAAATACAAATTTTATCCAAATTATAATAATGGTTGCTGAGGTCGTAATAACAATTGCTTGTTCAAAGCTGTTAGACTTAAAGATCATCATATTATTAGTAAACATGATCGTAAATACATAATGAATTAAGAAAAGATAAGCGTTATATTAACCCTCATATATAAATATTTTCGCGTATATAAAATCCTAAACCTCGGTACTAAGCACATAGTTTGATACTTAGTATCAACTGAGTCAAGCTGTAGACCATGAAATATAAGCCTAGAGTGAACTAAAGCTCCAATGCGTTGTCTTCTTGAAGATCAGACAGGGGTGATCCCCGAAAGCATCATTTCTCGGTGATTACCTGCGACAGCCAGTATGAGAGGGTCCCGAGATGCCCTCCATAATGGGTCTTACCACCGCAATAGCTTTGCCCTCGCATTTTAAATATCGGATATTATATGGATTTTCATTTGAATGATATTCTGTAAAAGGCAATTTTAATCGACATTAAATGCACAGCGTACCCAACGTATTTATTTAGATAAGGAATAATACTGTATTGTTTAAAATAGCTTCGTGGAATACTCATTATTTTTTGTAATTTGTAAAAGCTATAAATGGTTACTATGGGTTGTCTTTAGGAGATAGACATATAAACGTTTTATAGATTTTTTAGATATACAATTTCGTAGTGCATTGTTTTGGTATATCTCGTAAGAATTTGCAATGGAAGCGAACAAAAACATGTTTTTATGACGAATCTTTGAAATTCTCTTTACTATAGTATGCATGTATTATTCATATAAACCTGCCTTTTGAATAACTCTAAAGGTAAAAAAGTTTAGTAGCACTAGTGTATAGTAACATTAACATAATAAAAACACATGACATGTTATTCTTCAAATGAAATAGGCACTATTAAAGAGATCTAGGTACTTACTTCGATATCACAAAACGGATACACTGATAATAGTATTAATTACTTCACTATTGAATTATTGCACTACCTACTCACTACAACTACTTAGCCATTTAAAAATAGCTTGTATGAGGATACATACAGATCAGTCCTAAAAAATTACAAAATGAAATCTGCCCTACGAAGTATTCTTCATTAAAAAGAAATTAAAATCAATTTTCCTGTTAAATTATGGCATTTATAAGAATAGACGATATTATTATGTTACATTTTAAATAAAGCAGAAAATATTGGGCTCACAGTTCTGTCGTTTTAGTAAAATTCGACTTTCATTTACTTTTTAACACTTAGCTTTTGTGTCATTCGTCATCATCAACAGCTTATAACAGTCCACAGCTGGACATAGGCCTCTCCTAAGAAAGGAGGTATTGATCCACTATACCACGCTGGTCAGAATGGTTGGTATAGGGATTTTGTCAAGTATTCCTTCTCTTTGTGGTGCTGTTGTACTGCGTCGTTTGTTTCCTTAGTCGGCTCTTACTACACCCACGGAATAAATAGAGGTGGTGACACTCTGTATTCTTAATCCGTCACCACATGGACACCCTCACCACACGGATATGTGTGTGTGCCTGTCATTGTTACTTTTCAACTAAATCACAGAGGTATTTGTATTTGTAAGTGAAATATATATATATATTTAAGATAAATTCATGTACTGCAGATTCTTCTTCTTCTCTTAAAGACATTTATGAGTTGTGGGACGATAGGAATGTTGGATTCTACAGATTTGCCTAACTTTTTTAAGAAAATCTTTACTAAAGTCTTAAAAAATAAAAAAATAAGTTAAGGTACGCGTCTGGATTGAGGGCACAAGTTATTTAATCATAACAGTTTTTTTATTCATATTTAAGAAATTCATGACCTTTAGATTTTTACTGTTTTTTTATAATTTCCCTATAAGTTTTATTTCATATCGCAAGGTTTTAAGAAACGGGCCCTCGATCCAAATGGCCATAAAAAGACGCTGCGTTGTTCAATGACCCTAATCTCACAAGTTAATTTCAATATATCTGCACTGTATCCATAAATCTATAATAATTATTCAATTGCACTTGAAGTTACTATTTATAGTTTGGTCAGTTAATAAACAGAAGCTTCCAGATCAGAAAATTATACGTCGGCGTCGTCGTGAGTCATGGATTTTAAATCGATATTACTTGAAGCAATCGATTGGGTTGATGGTTCGGTTGTCTCTATTTTCGTCAGACATGATGTCAGTCAGACGAAAATCGTTGTGTTGAAAGCTTGTCGGTTTCGTTTACAGCGCGTGATCGTGCCGGCTTTGGTAGAAGAATATTCTGCTGATTTAATCATTAATAGAATTTGATCGTGTTTAATATCTGTAGTCAGCAGTTACGGACAAGGTAAAATATTAATAATTTTCTATAATTGAAAGGGTTTTATGTCCTGCTCTAGAACATTTAAAAAACACCGGGTTTTGTTTTGATAAGAACGTTATCGGATCAAAGGTATTATTTATTGTTCCTTAAGATTACACGTAAAATTTGCAGGATTCTATGACTATGTATGTATTAGATTAAAATACATCCATTTGATATACTGATCAGAATATCCCATAATAATATTTTAACGTTCCGGACCTACCCACATATTTTTTATTACTCTGATGTCTTTTCTTAACTTTAAAATCTTTTTAATTTTCGTATGTTATTACTAATACATATTACTGTTATTTTCAATGGTTAATGAAAGAGTTAATAGAAAAATAAAAATATGTCTTAAAGAATAAATGCATTCTCCATTAAATTGTAAAATAATTTAATTAATTTTTTTATATTAAATATAATTTGATTTTAATTATTTTAATACTTAAATCATTTACTGTTTTATGATGGTTTCATAATTTCTTAAAGTGTGACATACACAAACAAACAACACTTTTAACATTTATTTTTATCTTAATTACTACTTATTATTATTTCTATATAAAATTTAAAATATAGATAAGATAACTACCAAATTTTTTTATCTTAATTGATATATTTTTTTATGTGATTACCCTCCATAGGCCATCTTTTAAATATTTGTGTCTGTTATGACTTCTACAAAATTTTCTGCTGCTATCTGCTCTGGTTCATTTATCTATACGTGCACCTTCTCACTTTTCTCCCCTTAGCATCTTTTAGATTCACTTCAATATGTCCAATGACAATATATGTATATTAATAAAGAAATTTTAATATAAAGGTAGGTAAAGTTATCTTAATATGAATATTTTGGAATTATTTTTGCATGAAAATGTTTGTTTTTAAGTTCATCTTTATGTCACCACTTAATTTAATTAAATAGTAGGATATTTTTTTAACAGATGGTCAGTTTTTATAAAATATTGTAAGTAAGGGCTTGGCAGAGCCATCAGGATTTTTAAGTGATTAATACATTTTGTGTTTTTAATTTATTTAGATTAGATTAAAGTATATCAAAAATGGAGTAAGATTGTAAATTACACTAATTAGACTTTAAAATGCCTGAAGAGTAGGTAAAATATTCCTCTATTTTTTAAAATTTTTAACCATTGCATTTAAATTAGGGAAAAGCACTTTTAGCACTAAAACTGGCAACATTGTACACAGCGATGTAGAAAACAAAACAATATTGAAAGTTGTTGGTACTCTAAATAAGATTATGCAACTTAATCTGAACTGAGTTTGGACTAGGGTACCATACAACTCGGGCAGAAGATTATGTTTACATCATAAAAATAAGATTCTTTCTATGATTTTGCCACACTATGCCACACTATGCGAGTACTTTAAATCATTGATGCATCTTCTTGTATCTTCCCAATTTTATTGGAGACTGCTGCATACCGGAGAAGCCGGGACTACATACTTGTATATCCGACCTGTACTTAGAGAGGCCACAGGTATGGAACAGATTATGCAACACCTACTTAAAGCATAATTACAAATATCTACATACATTCAAGACCAAGTGACTATTAAATTCCTTAGCCATTCACTGCTTCATTGCTTTATATTTTTTTACAGTAAATAAATATTTTTCGAGCCATGCTTTGGCAAATATGGGTAGGGTCGACCAGAGTGTTACTTTGTCTTCACAGTGCTTTTTACACAGATGGTAGTCTGAAACCGAATAGTTTCTGGCCCGTTAAGGCCTGTAAATACTTTGCTCAGAAGTTACCTACAGTTACGGTGTCGGTGTCTCACTTCGCCGATTGTGATTGCTTATAACTAATAGATCATGTCTGATAAAAACGCAGTAACACAGTAATAACATATCCAGAATGATTATAGCAAACCAATAAGACTCTCTGTGCTCACATCATAAGGTTTTAGTTTCATATCTTGACGTGCGGTCGTTATATTATTCTTACCTCCGACATTAAAGGCAACTGCGAACTTGCGAACTGAGTAAAATGAATTATATACACAGGTCACATAAATTATGCATTAAAATCGTAAAAACGATTTAAAATGCCAACTTGGTGTGGATTCACAAGTTAATATACAAGTAAAGAATATATGAATAGTGTACAAATATATTATACATAAAAAGTGATACTAAATTTGTATACCTGTACATATCGCGTTATACTAAATCATGATGAACGTTTAATAACGTTACTTAACGTTAACTGTGTTCTTCATACCTACCCTTTTAAATAAAAAAGAAATATTTTAAATCATCAATTACGGATTTCTGAGGTCATCAACAAAAAAAAACCGCCGAATTGAGCTTCCTCCTTTTTTTGACGTCGTTTATAAAAAACAGTTTGTCTATGATAAAATAATCTCATGTTATGTGTCTATGATGAATTTGAAAGCTTATATCTTATTTGGTTCTGTAGTGGGTAGCAATATTGCTGGCGTAGGATGTATTTATTTTACTTGTACCATATTAAAGCAAATGTTATAGGATTTAAAAACTTTTCAAAATAATTATTAAAATGCTCGACTCACTTCAGAACCGATTTGTGGTGGCCTTTTATTAACCCCCGACTCAGAAACGACGGGGTGTTATAAGTTTGACGTGTATGTGTGTGTGTGTCTGTGTGTGTCTGTCTGTCTGTGGCATTGCAGCTTCCGAACGGCCGATTTTGTTTTTTTTTTATTATAGAGGTAGATTAGTCGGGAAGTGTTCTTAGCTATTTTGATGAATCGGTCCAAGATGGGCGCCGCCATAATATAGCGGATTACATATTTTTTCACAACTCCCTCAATATGGGTATTAAATGAAAGGACTATACACTACGACAAATTACAAATCCCAGATGTGTTTCGTGAGTTTTATAATTTTTAATTTATTATATTGAACCGGTAAAAAAATAAAAATCGAGAGTGGGTAGGTATATCATAAATTATTCAATTTGACAATCGACCCATCAATGATGAATTTATACTGAGAACGAAACTCGAGTTTCTTCTAGCCATCAAGTCGTCATAATATATGCATATCCTGCAACTTTGTATCGTTTAAAAGAAATATTAATATTCAGACATTAATATTTCCGTGTCAATACTTCTGTCGAAATATATCGAACTGGTTATAAATGAGCCCTGAAATATTTTTTCAGATATTAATATCGCTTGTAACTTGTGACCGTTGAACTGTGAACATAACCTTCTAACCAATGTTAGTTATTACACTTTTATTAATTACGCGACATTAAAATATTAACTTCACTTAAACATACCTACATTTTTTCGTTATCATAGACAAACTCATTTTTTTAACCCATCCTGATATAGGCTATGGTTAATTGGGTCTAGCTAACTTTTATCGATATGACCACAAAACTTAAAAAAAAACGGTTTTAAATGAAACTGTAGTTTTAAACAAACACCCACTAAAAATTATAAGTAATTTATCTTACACTCGGTGCTTTTTTTCTTCAACTTTAAAAAGGAATAATATATGATATGAGACTCACAAATAATAAAAATCCCTACAAGTGCGAGTCGGACTTACCCACCGAGGGTGCCGTACAAATTTGTAGGTAGGTACATATTATAAATAGTTCAGAAATCGAGTTTCGCAGTTTTTGAAGAGCCTTTCCCGGATTCAGTTTCTAAAACCTAGAAATACTAATATTATTGTGTTTTATAAGTGACGTTGTACCTTGATTGATTACATACTTAAATAAAGACTATATTTTCTTAACATTTCATTACAAATGTATACTTTTTAGATTTTTCCTTCCACCTGTAGCATGAGATGATGTTGATTGGCAAATTTTCAAAGTTCTAGGTCAACGGTAAATACTCTATAAAACTTAATTCCCTTGAATGTTATGATTTGCGTTTTTGGCGGCATAAGCGGCGGTATTTTTTTTATGTTAACTTAGAAGTTTGATTTTTTACAGCTTCATTTGACTGAAGACCTGAGTATATGATTTCAATTTTAACTCGATACCTCCACGCGTTGTCGAGGTAAATGGTCTTGACAGACAGACGGACAAAAAAGCGATCCTATATGGGTTCCGTTTTTTCCTATTAAGATACGGAACCCTAAAAAAAGAATCTGTTCACAAATGATGAGCTTCTGAATTCGTTTAAAAAGTTAGTAAAATATAAAGAGGAGTCAACTTTAATTTCGTCAAAGGGCCTCGATTCTGCTATTTCAATATTGTATCAATAGACAGTCGATGAAATGTCCTCGGAATAGTTTTGAACTTTTCGTATTATACTCACTATGTAAGACCAATATAAACCTCCTTTCTAAGGAGAGCCCTATCTCCAGCAGTGGACTAGTATAGGCTGTTGATGATGATGATGATGATGATGAAGACCAATAAACTGCCACTGATACAAATGTCGTCGACGTCTTTGTAATAGTTTGGTAAATGGCGTGTCAATGGAACGACAGTGGCTTGTACGATGAAATAGAGGAATTGAGGCCCAGTTTGTTTGCTTGTCCTCTGATAAGTACCATGAGTCACGATAATTGCCATTTGTTATTTATATAAACATCATTTTAAATGACATTGTATATCGTATTCTTTTCGAGTGCAACGTCCCCCGTCCGGGTAAATATTTCGCAATAATAATCTAAGTCAAGGCTTAAACGACTTAGCTATGTGCTTCTTTTTCTAAGAGCAATAAACTTGTGGCCAGGAAGTCATATCAATCGCAACTATCGCTAGTGATAGGTACCTATGATAAGTTAATTAATGTGAAATATAAGCAATCTATATCTATGAATATATTCACAACAAAGTCGTGCTAGTTACACCATTTATAACTCAAGGACGGCTGGACCAATTTATATCGTTTTTGTGTTTTTGGATTTGCCTTCGTCCGGAATAATAATAATAAACATCAGTCAGACATTAAAAAAACATCAGTATAGCCGTTCATTTGACGGGCCTGTTGGTCTAGTGGTTAGTGACCCTGACTGCTAAACCGGAGGTCGTGGGTTCGATTTCCACCCAGGACAAATATTGTGTAAATAGCACCGTCATTTGTTGTGTCTGGGTGTAATTTATCTATAATATGTACATATTCAGAAATATACAAGTATGTTTATCTGCAATCTGGTTACCATAGTGCAGGCTCTGGCTAGTTTGGTATCAGACGGCCGTGTGTGAGTGAGATATATTATTTGTTATAAAGAGATCGACACAGCAATGAAAAGAGTAAGTCTGGTCTCCAAAAGATACATACACGTAAAAACACACATGAGTTATTACAATCACTCAGACTGCTTTGGAGGACATGCCAAATGTAATATTTTATTTAGATTTATTATCCAAACAAAAAATTAAACTTAATACCTAATTACGAATTAATTACACGCTTTATATTAGCTTCACTTGTATGTTTGTAACCGATTCCTTTGGGCGTGATTTTGACTGACTTAAACGGTCAGAATTCGTTCAAACTTTGTAGATATATCGAGGACCGATGACTATACACTAATTAAAAAAATATATAATTTAAAAAAACCAAAAAACACGCTTTCTGTAGAAAACCAAAGTAAAAAAATAGAAAATAAATTTGAAAAAAAAAGCGTTGGGTGCTTGTTGTCAATAGTAAAAAGCACCCCACGTGCGTGTTTTTTAGTTTTTTAAAACTATAATATTTTTTTAAATCCTAAATCTGCCAATTCATCGACTGTTAGGCGGAACAGAGTTCGCCGGGTCAGCTAGTTAAACATAAAAAGCATACTTTTTTTAGTTAGACTAGTAGTAGTAATTAGACTCCAAGTTTTTAAGATATTGCAAAAAGCAATTTTTTTATTAGTACTATGTAAATATAATTACTAGTTTTTGTCTGGAGAACAATACAATTTACAATGGCAGGCAATGTTGAACGCTAATGTTTTACACGCAATATACATCTTAATGAGTCTCTGGTTTATTTTGTTTGATCTATGCTTAATGAGCGTGGGTGCGTTTCGATTGCTCCGCCACGATATCGAAACTGAAACAAGAACTTCCCCAATAATTTGTCAAAATCGAAGGGAACAAACCAAAAATTTGTCAAAGGTAAAGAAGTTATAAAGGTTTTCTTCACGGAGATCTCAGGACTTACTTAAGTTAGAGATTAAGTTGTCAAAATTTGTCGAAAAAAACTATAAGCTACATTTATTTTTTATGAAATTTTTACCTTGAAAGTTGTGGCCGCGCAATTTTATTTTTTTATTCATTTACCTATGAAACGTGATTCACATATACACATTCATATTAAACAGTAGAAACGGTAAAATTTCGAACAAATAAAATATTTCTATTGATTGTGTTCTTAGAGCATAAAGGGTAACTTGGCAACCCTAAATTCATTCGCACATAAACAGCTGCCGCCAATACATACGGTGCCTTATTTTGGTCTTAGTGGGAGTTCTGCCGACTATTTTTATACGTCCATGACTGCACGCACAAAATATTTGTTCCGTAACCGTACATACATCTGTTAATGCATTTTAGAACAAAACATACACTTACCTGTGGTAAATTTCTTTATATTTGTTAAACTTTTTGTCGTCATTTTGTACACTTTCTGAATACCCAGAAAGGCATTTTATGAATTTTCTCGAATTAATTATAGACAGATAGTCTCTAAAATCACATAAATTTTTCCTTTTGATAAAAGTAGGTTATCATCATCATCAACAGCCCTTAATAGTCCACTGCTGGACATAGGCCTCTCCTTAGAAAGGAGGTTTTGTCCTACTATACCACGCTGGCCAGACGGGTTGGTATAGGGTTTGTTTCAAGTTTTCCTTCTCTCTGCAGTGTTATTGTCCTGCGTAGTTTTCTCCCTTAGTCGCCTCTTACGACACCCACGGGATGAATAGGGGTGGTGACACTCTGTATTCTTAAGCCGTCACCACATGGACTGGATAAGATGTAAATTGGTCTAACTATCCAATAACTCTTGCAAACTTAGTATTGTACGAAAGAGCAATATCGAAGTAGCCGCTACGCTTATGTCTGTTTAAGTAATACGACCTTTTGACTTTGTCAGCCCAAGGTTAAGTCAACACTTATGTGGCTCTATAAGTGATGACACTTAGGTATTATGTAACCAACACAACAAAAACTATTTTTGCCTACTATGAAGTGTCTGTGAGGTAAAAAAAATTTTTTTTAATGTCATGCACTTAACCAGTTATGTAATTATAAAGTCAGTAATATCCGTGTGGTGAAGGGTTAAGAATACAGAGTGACACCATCCTTATTCATCCCGTTGACACCAGAGCCGACTAAACTTCGAAGACAAGGAAAACTTGACACAAACCATATACCAACCCGTCTGGCCAGCGCGGTATAGTATGCCAAAACTTCCTTTCTAAGGAGAGGCCTCTGTCCACCAGTGGACTATTAAAGGCCGTTGATGTCATGTGATGAAGCCAAGAATGGAAGTACATATAAACGTGGCTTATTGATAGAAACTTCCGTCCCTTTACACGAATCACAGATTACACGAAACCGAAAATAAATATGTTACATCTTGAATCTTTCATTCCGTAACTCAATTTTATTGCCGTTTTAAATATTGTCTTGACTAGACTGGCCTGTTGGTCTAGTGGTTAGTAACCCTGACTGCTACGCCAGAGGTCGTGGGTTCGATTCGATTCCTACCCAGAACAAATAATTGTGTGATGAGCACGCTCAATTATGTGTCTGGGTGTACTTTATTTATAATGTTTATGTATTTAGAAATATATATGTATGTTTATCAGCAGTCTGATGTGTGACTGTGTTACAGTACAGGCTCTGCTTAATTTGGGATCAGACCGCTCTGTGTGAGATGTGAATATATATATATATATATATATATATATAACGGGTGTCCCAAGAAGAACGCAATTTTTAAATCTGGCAACATTCGAAGTGTCATTGTTTGACATTTGAACAATTGTTATTGTTTGCTAGTAGAAGGTACGAGGTTAGTAAAAATGGAGCGCTACACGAATGAACAACGCATTCTCATTGTGAAATTGTTTTACCAAAATAGTGAAAGTTTTTCGGCTACAGTTCGCAAATTGCGATCAATTTGGGGTCGCAATAATGCTCCAAAAGAGTCAACTGTAAAGAGATTAATGGATAAATTTGCCGAAACTGGGTCTGTTAGTGATGTAAAGACAACAACGCGCCATCGACCAAGTCGTTCGACCGAAAATGTCGCAGCTGTACGTGATGATGTCGCTCAAACTCCATCCACCTCAATTCGACACCGAGCTCAGCAAATTGGTGTCTCCAAATCCACTTTGCAGCGAATTTTGACGAAAGATTTGCATCTTCATGCATACAAAGTTCAATTGACTCGGGAACTAAAGCCAGCTGACCATGGACAGCGAAGGGAGTTGGTTAATTGGGTATTGGAGAGACAACATGAAAATGCTGATTTTGCCGATAAAATCATCTTCAGTGACGAGGCCCAATCCTCGAGTGATTCACGAAAAGCAAATGCATCCTCAACGTGTCACTGTGTGGTGTGGTTTTTGGGCTGGAGGAATCATTGGACCTTTTTTTATGAAAATGAGGCAGGTCAAGCGCAAACAGTCAATGGTGTTCGGTATCGTGAAATGATAACCAGTTTTTTCTTGCCTAGAGTTGAAGAAATGAATGTGGAGGGCATGTGGTTCCAACAAGACGGCGCCACATGTCATACAGCCAGAGAAACAATTCAATTGCTGCATCAGTCATTTCCCGGTCGTGTTATTTCGCGTTTTGGAGATCAGAATTGGCCGCCTAGATCGTGCGATTTAACACCATTAGATTTTTTTCTTTGGGTTTTTTTGAAGTCGATGGTTTACGCGAATAAGCCGACGACGACTCAAGCCTTAAAAGAGGAAATTGGACGCTGCATTAATGAAATACCGCAGCATTCATGCAAAACGGTCATTGAAAATTTCATTAAAAGATCGCGTGCATGCCAGCAAAGCCGCGGCGGCCATCTGCACGATATATTGTTCCATACATAACCTCATTCTGTCTACTTTACGATATAATAAAGCTTCACTATTTTTGTTTACATATCTGTGTTTTATTTAAAATTTAAAAATTGCGTTCTTGGGATACCCTTTATATATATATATATGTATAAAACATTGGGCACACAATAGGTGAGAAATATAGACAAAACAGCAATTTACTTATATTTTATTTTTATTTATATACTCGTATTTGTTTTAATACACTAAAGCTATTATTGATTTGACTGATATTTCACCGCAGGTTTAAGATCAAATATTGCTTTCATATTTTACCTAAAATATATATATATATATATATATATATTCAAAAGCCAATTCTGAAAATATTTTTATTTTACTGACCAGTGTAATTTAAACTGCCACTGTATAAACATTACTTACCTTGATAGGTCAACATAATTTTATACTAATCATTCTGCATACCTGCTTATATCTTGATCACAGATCTATAAATGTTATGTATATCTGTGGGTATCCCAATTTTATTTGGGAATTTTATAAGATGAAATTATTAGTCTTAAAGAATAACAACGATAATATTATATCACTATTACAAGTGTTTTTTTATTTCTTTTTCGACTTGCTAAATCGTAGGCAATCGTAATTGCATCTCAAGATATTAAAGCCACACATGTCATAGATAAAATAAATCGAACGTCAAAAATGCGCGCCTAAATCAAATTTGAATGAAGGGCAGTGAACTTTCTAACCACACATACGAAATGTAAGCGTTTTAGCGTTCAGTTGCTATATAATATAAAATCTGTTTCACAGATGTCACGTTTAGATGTGGTAATATTCGGTGCGACGGGGTTCACAGGAAAACGGACTGTTATTCATATGGTGAACTTTGCAAAGAAGTATCAAATTGGCTCGTGGGGGATCGCGGGACGATCAGAAAATAAACTTAATGATGTAATCAAAGAAGCTTCTCAGAAAACTGGTAAGTAAACATTATATGCTAACTCACGTGTACAGTTAAAAATTATTCTTTCATTAGGGTCAAGGTTGTTTGTGAGATTGTGACCATATGAATATGATAAAAACTTCTATAGTTAATCGGATTTGGCAATGATAAGTTTTTTCTGATCTAGATGGCAAAGATCAGACGGGTTTACCGCAGGAGAACCGTGCTTCGGCACAAATGGGCCACAGCCTCACAGAAAACCACTGCAATTCTTTTGTTACTTTTCAACGAGTGAGTAAGGTTACCGTAGACCAAACTCCCCCCTCCCTGATTCATGGAGGGAGGACTATGGAGGAGGTGTCCATGGGAGGCGGTAATCATTTCCCATGAGGTGACCCGCCTGCTCGTTTACCCACCTACGCCAAAAAAATGTATGTAGAAAGTTTATAATGATCAGAGACGCATTTAAATAAACATTACTGCAAACGGCTGAACCAATTTTGACAAAATTTGGTATGGTGGTAGCTGACACCCAGGATTAACACAAAGGCTACTTTTTAGTGTGTTCCCGTAGGATGAGCAAATAATCACTTTTTAGTGCATCTGGTAAATCGCGGGCGCAGCGAGTATTAAATAAATAAAATTTTATTCGTAATGATAACGTCGTTGAACAATTTTTTTTGTCCACGGTTGTAGAAAGAAAGAAAGAAAAATAATTTATTCGTGGACCTAAGAACATACACTCCCAATATAAAGGAAACTTAATACTGGGCTTAAGCGAAAATACATTTTTACGCGTACCTCACGTGTAAGTCGTATAGGGCCTGGTTCACCGTCTGTTTGACAGATGCTAAGCCCAGCGCTGGACATTCAATTCAACAAATGTAATAATTTTCCGGCAGAAAATTCCAATGGTTTTCGACTCAGAATGATGGTCTGAACACACTCTTTCAGCATTCCTTACGCTGTTACTAACATTCTGTAGATAAAATACATTCAGATACAAATAATTGATCGTGCTCATTATACATAATTCTTTGTCCTGTTTGTGAATCGAACCCACACTAAACCAGATTCACCAGTAAATGAAGTTACGAGATCCTGTAACAACTAGTCTAGTGACTAGACAGTCAAGCCAGTCAAGAAATAGTCATGAACATACTAAAACTTTTCCTTACTTGTTATTTTGAACTGAAAATATCTATTAGCGTCTGGAAGGATGTTCTGGAGTTCATTATCTTATATTAGTACATACCGCTAACATTACATCACTGCTTAATACACTGACGTCAATGCCTCAGTCATATTTAGATGATTTTTTTCTATGAATATCAAGAGTAATTATAAATGTATCTGCATCTTTCAAAAGGAATAAACTTCCTTGTTTTGCAACATTTCGATATAATGCTGGTCTCCTATTGGTCGTGATTCATAATTTATTTGCTGATCAAATCTGTACAACGTAGTTGCATTTTTATTTAAATATGTCGTTCTTGGTCTAAAAATTGTTAATTGATTTAGAAATAATAAATTAACTAGGAGTTGACCACGATTGAGGCGCCAGGGGGTGGACCACGATGGGGCCCATGAAATAACAGAGCCTCCGTCTTATCTAGGGCCACCCGTAAGCCCAGCGCCTCAATGCGCCCGACCACCAGGGAGACTCCCCTTGTGGCCAGGCGCGCCGCCACTTGGAAGTTCGCCCCCCGGGCTGTAACCAGAGTATCATCTGCGTAACAAATTGCACCCAGCCCGGGCGGGAAATCGGCTCGAAGGGCCCAGTCGTACCCTATGTTCCACAAGAGGGGTCCAAGAACAGACCCCTGTGGAACACCGCACGACATGGGCCGACACCTCAAATTACCATCTCGGTCCTCGTACACGACGGTACGCTCCTCTAAATAGTCTGCCACTTGCCGCCTCAGGTACTTTGGCACCCCATGATAGTGGAGTGCTTCCCTGATGCAGCTGAATGGCAGACTATTGAATGCGTTGGCGATGTCTAATGACACCGCCAACAGCACGCCGCCACAGCTCACGGCCTCTTCGGTCACGGCCCTCAGGCGCAAAACAGCGTCGACTGTCGAACGCCCCGCCCGAAAACCAAATTGGGCGTCCGACAGATCGGGGCCCACCTCGTAGAGGTGCCAGACGATGCGGGCAGAGAGAACCCTCTCAAACAATTTACCCGCCTCGTCCAGCAGCACGATGGGCCTGTAGGCCGCGACTGAATCGGCAGGCCGTCCCGGCTTCCTTAATAGGACCAGCTTCCCGCTCTTCCAGTACTCAGGGAAACGTCCCGACGCCAAGCTAACGTCGAACACCTCCCCGAGGCGGTCTGCCATGTGGTTGAGGGCTAGGGCCAGCACTCGGGCCGGTACCCCGTCTGGCCCAGGGGCGGTGTTCTTGGAACGGATCCGTAGAACAGCCGCCCCTACCTCCGAATCCCGGACGGGCGGAACATCATCCCCCTCGTGCTCCCCGTCGTCTCCGGCCAAGGAGGCCATCGCCGGGGGAAGTTTGACACAAACCCTATGCCAACCCGTCTGGCCAGCGTAGTATAGTAAGGCCAAAACCTCCTTTTTAAAGAGAGGCCTATGTCCAGCAGATGACTATTAAAGGCTGTTGATGTGATGTGATGTGAATAAACATTTCAATATAAAGTGTCAAAATTGTATTTTAAGTTATAAATAAATTTGAATAATTAAGTAACTAATTGAAGATCATCTCAACTAGTAATAATGGAAAAATATTCTTATTTTCTTGAGAGAAAGTCACTTATTGCATAGTAGCATTTCTTCACTAAAAAGTCATGAAGGCGCTTCTTAAATATATTATTAGCTTGTTAAATTCATGAGGTATCTCTGATACATGACGGGCGCCATGCTGATGGCAAGATGCTTCAGATATTTGCTTTAAATATGCGAAGTCTATCGCGTGTATTTGTCCTCCTACTTTGTGTAACAGGGTCTGCCAAAGTCTCAAATAATTCAGTTATGATGTTATTATAGCCTATACCCTTCGTCAATATATTTATTATTAGGATAGCCTATTGGCTATCCTAATAAAATATTTTTTCAATTCCAAATAGTGGTTCCTGAGATTAGCGCGTTCAACCTACCAACAAACTATCCAGCTTTATAATGTTAGAACCACCTATGAAGTTGCGAGATTTTGGTTATTTTTTTATTTTTGCTAATTAAAGTACTGGCTCAAATTATATATACAACTTTGCCATTTTGAATGCCGTTTATATATCTCTTTACTGTAGAAGTATGTTGGACGGGTGGCGACGAAGTCAGCGAAAGCATTTTGTACTGTCGCTCGGGTGTTGCTAATAATTCGATTCAGAATTCCCTCATTTCTACAACGATTCCGATTCAGTAGTGCCATGCATGCTTCGACGCGTAAGTCTCGCTTAGTTCTCATAGTGGTGCTTAAATGAAAAACACTGCTTAATTAATTGGAATTGTTTGTTATCACTGGCCGACAATATTTTAATTTTTATAAATAAATAAAAATATTCCATCCTTTGCTTTTTTTTTGTTTATTAGACCAACAATATAAATGAAGTTTGAAGTTATGGTCTGTAGAATGTTTTTGTTCATATGTTTTATGTTTATCGCACACACGACGAGGATAATTGCCTTACCCACATTATATTTCCTCATATTTTCACACCTGTAAACACTAACGAAGAGTAATAAGTTTAATTAAAAATAATATATACTGCGTAACTTATATTAACTTACAAATCTGACTCTAACAAAAACATATTAAATCACTGTATTGTAAGGTGTAATTTAAAAAAAGTCATGCGCAGACGCAGCCACGTGTACGTGCTATTTGAGTCTAGTTACGCCTTGCACAAAATTTGAAACATTGACTATTTTTTTGTTATTCTCACCGTAGGTTGAAAATCAAACGATTACAGTACAATCGCGCCTGTACCTTCGAAGGAGTAAACAGAATAGTATTAATCATACACATTTTGCTAACTAAAATTTGGTGCCTAGTTTATATTTCGTATATTGCCCTTTACCGGGTACTTTATAAGGCCAAAATGAGGTCTATATTGATCTTAATTTTACCCATTGTTCTTCGTGAAGGTACGTTACGGGTAGAGCAGGTGAAGGAAGAGGTTCTTGACGCCTTACCGTGGGAAAGCAAATATTATTCGGCACGTGTGGACCACCACGACCGTAGGAATAACCAAGGTCTTATCGCTGTCAAGGATTTTTTTCCATGCTTTTCACCGAGTGAGATGACATGAGCCTAAACTCCTCCTCCACCTTCTGCAACGCGCTCTGTGACTCTTTCGAGGTGCAGGTGTCAATGGACCGCGTACCATAGTGATGAGCGTGGTTAGGCCCACAAGGTGGTTCGACGACCTAGTGACGGTCGCGGTAAGCCGTAGTTGCGAATCTTAAGGAAGCCTATGTCACACTCAAGGGGGTCATTTACACGCCGTAGATGGCCCGAGGTACGTCGAGGTATCAGGGATTTCCTAGGGTATACCTGGTTGGTTTTCGTTCGGTTCGAGTCCGACATAACCACCGGTGGGTAGTATCTGAGGGGAATTCCCCACAGAAAAAAAAAATGAGATGCCACTAACATCTTTTAATAAAACCAACCAACATAAATTCAGTGTCAATAGACTGTCGATATAGTAATATAGGTCATCAATGGTAATATGAACAACATTGCCATATCATGAAAGTTAAATATATCATTTTGTTACAAATTTATAATGTATCGTTACCAAACTATTACAAAGACATGAATGTCGTCGATGTCTTTGTAATAGTTTGGCTATTACAAAGACATCGACGACATTGGTATCAGTGACAAGTCATTGGGAAGCCATTGGTCTTATATAGTTAGTAGAATAAGAAAAGTGTAAAGTATTCTGATGACATTCCATCTACAGTCTATTGATACAATATTAAAATAGCAGAATTGAGGCCCTGCTCGTTTGCTGCGTATACCATAAAAATGCCAATGATTGGGGACTGCAAGTAATATGCTGGATAGAAATGGAACCATGGAATTTAACATGTCTTGAAGTCTGAAACCTCAAATATTGCAAAGTAAAAAAAAAACATTTATTTTAATTCCAGCCGCAGATCTGAGTGCTGTGAAGATTATAACAGCTGATGTAGGCGATGAAAAATCTCTTAAGGACATGTGCGTCCAGGCAAAGGTGTTGGTTAATTGCTGTGGCCCATATCGAATGTACGGGGAACCAGTCGTGAAGGCCGCCATTGATAGTAAAACGCACTATGTTGATGTTAGTGGTGAACCACAGGTAAGGAAATATTACATGTCAACAGACCACTTTCTGTTAGAGATTAACAAAATGAATAGGTATTATAAGTAGCGGCACGAAACTCTAGCGGTGACAGTTACTGCGCAGAAGTCAAAAATCAGGCATCTTGTGGGGTAAGAGGGACGAAGGGCGGGCGTGCGTAGCGCCGATTGGCTCTCCAGTCGCATTACGTCCCCCGCACTGATACGACACGCCGCGTGCTTCCAGAGTACAGTCGCGTTCTGAGTTAATGGAAAATGGTATATGACGTACATTGTTTTTTGAAAAGGGAATCTGATAAATTGTATATAAATAACTGTCTGTATATATTCTTATAGCTTTTACCCGCGGCTTCGCTCGCAGTTTTATCTTTCGTAAAAAATATTATTTTAATAAAAAGTATCATATGTTACTTCTAAAACCTCCAAGAATATGTGTACAAAGTTTCATGATGATCGGTTAAGTAGTTTTCACGTGAAAGCGTAAAAAACAAACTTACATTCACATTTATAATGTTATATAGTATGATTACTTACTTACCTTTTGTACCTATTGTTGAGAAAATAAAGAAATTCAAATTTGACGACTCTGGCACGTGAACAACTTTCAGAAGTTACACTCTATAACATTAACTATTTACTAAAGTTAATATTTGCGTGCGCGATAGTACCCATGCGCGGCTATCCCTTCCACGTTCCGCTCAGCGCTAGACTTACGTGCCGCTAGTTATACGTAGTATTATTTTTTTGTTGACGGGGTGGGAAATCCCTTCGGATCTCCGGCTCCTTGGGGATTTAGGAGCCAGGAGGATGCGGTGTTTCGCGTTAAAAACCACCCCAATGGCCGGATGTTTTTTCAGGTAACGGAAGTGATATTACGTACCTTATAATATAAGTCAAATTAGCATCTATTTCATCATCATCATCATCAGCCTATCGCAGTCCACTGCTGGACATAGGCCTCTCCCATTCGATCTCCGATTCGATTTAGATCGATTTTGGGCTTCTCGCATCCAGCTCCTGCCAGCCATCTTGCGCAAATCGTCATTCCACCTGGCCTGTGGGCGTCCTACACTACGTTTACCGAGACGCGGTCTCCACTCAAGAACTCGTTTTCCCCAACGGTTGTCGGTTCTGCGGCTAAAATGGCATCAGCATCTATTTATTCAATGTCAAAACTCAAAAGGATAGTAGCGGTACATTTTTGTATGAAATACTATGCCGTGACGTCATACCTAGCTCGCTTGTCAAATCGTTAGAAATTACATTTATATATAATTTAACAATTAACGATTCAGGTGAAACAATTGCTTTTTTACCTGAATCTTACTTGTACCTTTACTTTACTTGGTACTTGGTACTCTTACCACAGGCTGACTGGTTTTGTGGTGCACGCCCTGCGTCTTTGGAGTCCTTAAAGTAGAAGTTTCTTTTTATAGACATTTTAGGTTTTTTTTAAATTCAGCTTTGTATTAGGAATGATATCCGTGTCGGAGTGTATTTTGCGAACATAATAAATGTACACTAGAAATAACAATTTTTTTTTGTGCCTTGTGAAACTTGAACCCATGACAATTACTGCCATTTTATGATAATGCTGCAACTTTGTTTTATTTATCCAGTGTTTGTGTTGAAAATAACAATAAAAAAAAATTAGCTACTGTGCCCGCTCTGCTTGAAATCTATCTGTTCTTTCTAATATATAAAATTCTTCGCGGTGTTTGTTACCAAAACTCCTCCGAAACGGCTGGACCGATTTTTATGAAATTTTGTGTGCATATCGGGTAGGTCTGAGAATTTGCAAACATATATTTTTTATACCCCCATATGATAAGGGTGTAAATATTTTTTAATTATTCCTAGAAATAATGTATATGGCAAAACAACGTTTGCCGGGTCAGCTAGTAGTTCTTTGAATGTTGCCATTTTCTGTAGGTACGTAGGAAGCCCACTTACTGTACAACAACATTTTGTCCTTTTTATTATCTACTTAATTCTTCTGTTTTATTCGATTAAAAGCAGTGTCATAATGCACAGTGTATCGATTAATAGCCCAAATTATAAACGTTTAATCCGAAGTTTTTACATAAAACAACAATACATATAAAATACAATTCCTTACGGTTGTAATCTGTTATTTCTAATGTTTCGTACTTTGTGTAAATAAGGAATACCTTTGTTTTAGCGTCTAAAGTGCTAAAATATTCCGTGTAATAACGGCCGCGACACGTGACTACTACTAAATGCAAGGCCATTATCAGTTTTTCTTAGTCACGTAGTGTTTTTCCGTTAAAAGCAAACACATTTGCTTTGTAATCTGCTTTGTAATCGTTCTTTAACCACTTACCAGGACACTCAGAAAGTATTATGAAAACAAGTTTTTATGCCAAAAGCCCTGGCTGATTATAATTACTTATTTTAAAAAATGTGATATTTTACAAATAAAATACCATCGTTCGAATTTCAAATTTCCCTCCACATTTTTTTTGTAAGCTAAATTGAATTAGCTTGTCTCATTGTAAAATGGATCTTCGTCAAGAACATTTGTGTGCCAGTATTTTTTTTGTGATGTGGCCTTTTTAGTTTCTCCAAAACTTTTTCTTTTTTTTTCCAATTAAAGACTTTTGTAAACCTTTAGTAATAGAATAGAAAAAACTTTATTTACATAAATACTTAAGAAATATCCAAAATCGTTAAATTATCCTTTATACTTAGAAAAATAATTGTGCGTTATTAATCTAAGCCTACATTTTTGTTTTTTTTTTTTACAAGAGTCCCATCATATTTATAAACGTGTAAGGGTGACCTTATCGCTAAAAAGCGTACAGACAGCCTTTGGACGGCCAAAATGACGGTAAATAAACGAATTCATGAGTATTATTGATGTGAAAATATTTCGATAAAAGTAAATAAAATAATATTAGATGTGTAATACAATGAAGCCAATTGTTAATTGATGGTGGCAGTTCATGGAGCTCATGCAGTTGCGTTACGACGAGGCGGCGCGCGAGGCGGGCGTGTTCGTCATCAGCGCGTGCGGCTGGGACAGCATCCCCAACGATATGGGTGTCGTGTTCCTACAGCAGAACTTTGCAGGTAACTTGAGTTTACTATAAACACTAGCTCTTTCCAGCAGCCATATAGATTGTATCAGACTATCATTTATCCCTGTATCTCATCATCATGTCAACAGCCTTAAATAGTCCTTTAGTCCTCTCTTTAGAAAGGAGGTTTTGGCCTCTACCACGCTGGACAGACGGGTTGGTATAGGATTTGTTTCAAGTTTTCCTTCTCTTTGCAGTGCTTTTTTCTGCATAATTTTCTCCCTTAGTCGGCTCTTACGACACCCATGAGATTGATTAATAGGGGTGGTGACACTCCTTATTCTTAATCCGTCACCACAAGGACACCTGTATCTAGTTTTATTCAATTCCTTCCAAACTATCTTTGTCGAATACCTTAACATTTAAGTAGTAACTATTACTAATTTACTACTTTTTGCACAATTAATTGTTATAATTCATTTATTATTATTTTTCATCTAAGTGTTTAACACTGTTTGTAATTAATTATTTTTGTAATGTCCGTTTTGTGGTCCTATAATTAAGGTCCGTGTAGTGACGGATTAAGAATACGGAACCTCACTACCCCAATTCATCCCGTGGGTGTCGTAAGAGCCCACTAAGGGAGCAAAACAACGCAGGAGACCAGCTCCTCAAAAAGAAGGAAATCTTGACAAAAACCCAATACCAACCCGTCTGGCTAGCGTGGTATAGTAGGCCAAAACCTCCTTTTTAAGGCGAGGCCTATGTCGAGCAGTGGACTATTAAAATCTGTTGATGAAAAAAATTTTTTTTTCCTATAAAACTAGAATGTAAGGTGTATTTCTTGTTTGAGATCCAAATAAAATGAAATTTAAGTAAATTGACTGAGAATCGAATCAGCGCGTCTCATAGTTGATCGAAAATCAATTCTATAAGAATATAGCACTGAACTATGTAGCTCTCCATTTTGGTGTTAGAAATTTAAGGACTTACAAGGGTAAGCTAACGCATTGCAAGCCTATATCTCTCAAGTCGCGTCGTACTGTCTCTGAGCTAGTATTACTATACAAACTGTTTCTTCCATAATTGATTGTCCAAACCTCGTCAGTAAAATCTGTATAAGTGTTCCAACTAGAATCCCACGCTACCCTCGCCTGCTATTTAAGGTCCCACGGGCTCGGAAGAATTTAGAGCAAGCACCAATTACTAGACTGATGACTCACGAATACAACACCATTTCAGTTCCTTTGGTCACATAGACATCTTTTCTAATAATCTGGCTAAATTTAAACAAAACGAACTTTAAAAAAAAATGGCAGGTAGGTATGTCAACAATTAAACGTATTCAATACAATTGTTTAATTGCTCACATACCTACCCTACTGCAAATTTACTATTGTTTTTTAATGCATAATTATACCTAAATAATTTTGCTATTATTTTTAATCTACAAAGGCCATTAGTGGCCACTGTTTTTGTAATGTGCATGTTGTCGTCTCCTATAACTGAGGAAGCAACAAGACATAAAATTTTATTTGCTATAAAACTAGAATGTATGGTGTATTTGTTTTTGGAGAACCAAATAAAATAAAAATTAAAAGTTTCTGATAATTATTTTAGCACTAAAAGAAACCTATAAAAATACATCCGACATTTAAAAAACCTCTGCAGCTGTAACGATTAAATGTGATTAGGTACTATAACTGTCTGTAAATACTCGTATTACGTTTTCGTTGCGGTTTTAACTATTTATTGATTCTTCAAACCAGCTCCATACAAATTATTCGTAAAATTGTAACTCATTGATTTTCGCCCCAAATTAAATCTTGCCAAATATTTGAGCAAGATTTAAGACGTTAAAGACATCCGTCGAGTTGGGGGTTGATATTTTTTTTACATAAAGGTTACATTTTTGTAAACACACACGCAAAGTTTCAATATGCGGAGGCGTGTAGTTTTTGAGATTTTTTTTATTGAAAATAAATTATTTTTGCAATATTTATGTCAATCCCTACCACAGATTATATAGAATTCTCGCCATTGAACGTTTCATTTAGCCTACGGTTAAGTTGTCATACGTTCGGTAACATTTTATTTTATATAAATTTACGTAAATAATTATATCTTGTACTCATTTCAATAGTTTTCATGCACTCATATATTTAACAGTTTATATGTATTAAATTATAGCATTATTTTCATTACGAGCTATTAAAATGTGTAGTGTTTACCGTCTTTTGCCGGCTTGTGGAACAAAACGTAAAACTGACGCCATTTATAAATTATTAATTAGTATTTAATTTGTTTTATTTAACAGTACTTATTAGAGCAGATCACAATTAAAATAGGTTGATTCAAATTATGTCAAAGAACCGCGTTTCCTGTCCTACCCCGGAGGCGCGTAAGAAAAGCAACCTTCGCCCGCTGTAACAAATCATAAGCATCGGACAAGTCGTAGCGGCTGAGGCGAGGATGGATGCCTGCGATTTGTTACTCAAGGACGTAGAGGCTGCTCTTCCCGCAGCGCCAGAGACGTCGTAGTCTCAAAATAAATACAAAAAATCCTCTGAATCCGTCCCCCTATTTTTTTTATGAAGGGGGAAACCCCCTTCGCCTTCAAGGGGTTCCCCCTTGTTCTTTACACTTATTAATTTTAATCCATAAAATGAGGAAAATTGCCTCAGAATTAAATATTTTTTTTGCAACTTTCCTTTATAAGGGGTAGGTAGTACCCCTCCCCTCTCCCCCCTTCAATTCGACGGACGTCAATGAAAAGTCGTACCTACTGGTAAATATAATCTGTAGCTGTATTAGAGACTTCCTATGTCCATGGAAGCTGATTTTCGATCCAATATGCGCTGATTCGATTCTCGGTCAATGTAAATATTTCTATGCATGAATTATTTTAATTATTCTGGGTATTTTTATTTGGGTATGAACGCATTATAATAATAGTAAATCAACTAAATAGGAGAATAACTGAAAGGAAATTTTGTAGGAACATTAAATTCAGTACGATCATACCTCCGCACGTACGTACCACCAGAGGTCATGGCGAAGGCTGAGGGACGTGGACTCGTTAATTATGGCACCTGGGAGTCACTGGTCTACAGGTAATACTCATTATTTCTTATTTGAATAATAATAATAGTTCACACATCTCATATACGACAGTCTGATCCCCAACTAGGCAGAACCTGTACTATGGTAACCAGACTGCTGATAAACATATAATTCTAAATACATAAATATTATAGATAAATCACACCCAGACACAGGACAAATGATTCTGCTCATCACAAAATTGTTTGTCTTGGGTGGGAATCGAACCCACCGGACTCTGACTTAGCAGTCATAGTCACTAACCGCAACATTAATGCATATAGGTTATCTGTAGTTTCATTACCTTCCTTTGTTTTATACCCATCATGTATCAGGATTGGTAGAACTCGCTCCTTATTATGACATGGACGCAAAGGACCAGCCAACCCCCTCAAAAAATAATATCTAATAATAATAATAAAAACTTTACACATCTCACAGACGGCAGTCTGATCCTAAACTAGGCAGAGCCTGTGCTATGGTAACCAGACTGCTGATAAACATACTTATATATTAAAAAAAACAAACATATTATAGATAAATTACACCCAGTCACAGAACAAATGATCGTGCTTATCGCACAATATTGGGTGGGAATCGAACCCACGACCTCAAGCTTAGCAGTCAGGGTCACTAACCACTAGACCAACAGGCCCATCGGAAAATCTGGGGAGCCTTCAAAGAGCGGTAATTAAAGCACTTGTGTCTTTTGATTTGCCATCTTACCATCAGGTGTCCTTATAAAAATGACAATGACACCTGCAACTCGAAGAGTTTAAACATGTGTTGTCCCTTCGAGTCCCTCCAGAATCATGGTCCGTCGAGCCGTGACAAAAAATCCCACAGCTGATACTGTATTACTTCTGAACTGAACTAAAACTTTATTAGTATTGAGTAGTCAGTAAATGTTTTGACTTTACAGTTTGGGACTGATCCCTCCCATACGACCACCACTGTAACTCCTGTACACCAGGATCAACAGCAGTGACCCACAAACACCGATTTATGACACTCGGGATGTCCCTGGAAAAAAATTAAACTGTCTTGGAACCCGCAACGAAATTAATCAGAAAAAAAATTGGAGGAGTCCACTTCCCTTCTTAGCAAAGCGGGAGACAAAATGAAGTAAAATAGGCACATACCCTTTTAAACATGGAAGCACCACCACGTGGTAACTTTGCTTTTATTCTATAATGGCACTAATCCCTCCCACACAGCTACCACTGCAACTCCTGTACATCACAATCAACAGCGACCCACAAACACACAGATTTATGACACTTGGGAAGAAATTAAACTGTTTTGGAACCCGCAACGAAATTAATCAGAAGATAATTGGAGGAGTCCACTTCCCTCCCAAGCACACCCATTTAAACATGACTTTACAGTTTGTGAGGTAAATATTGATATTATTGTATATTGGCTTTCAGTGTTCACCACAGCAATGAGCTGCGCCCACTGCGGAAACAATTGTACCCCGAGGCCCTACCTCACTTCAAACCAAAGCTGACTAGGGCGTGAGTTGAAATTTATATTATTAATGTTTTTATATTTGGAAAATTTAGAACTAGGTTTTGCCCGCGTCTCTGCCCGCGTGTATGTCGGTTATCGCGGTAAAAAAGCCCTTTCTTAAGAATCATCATCAACAGCCTTTAATAGTCCACTGCTGGACATAGGCCTCCCCTTAGAAAGGAGGCTTTGGCCTACTATACCACGCTGGCCAGACGGGTTGGTGTAGGGTTTGTGTCAAGTTTTCCTTCTCTCTGCAGTGTTGTTGTCCTGCGTAGTTTTCTCCCTTAGTCGGCTCTTACGACACCCACGGGATGAATAGGGGTGGTGAGACTCTGTATTCTTAATCCGTCACCACACGGACACTCAAGAATCAAATTATTTTCATCTGAATCGGTGAAGCGGTTATTGATTTCACATACAAACTTCTACCTATTGCTAGGATAAAACTATCCTATGTACTTTCCCGAGACTCAAACTATCCCTATACAAAATTTCATCGAAATTGGTTCATCGGTTTAAGCGTGAAACAGTAACAGACAGACATACACTTTCGCATTTATAATATTAGTATGGATTTCTTAACACCGGTTTTCTGTGAGCACATGGTCTCTGGTTAAACCACCTCGTATTTGCCAAAGCATGGCTTTTCTATGGCATAGGAGGTAAACAAGCAGACGGTCTACGTGATAGCGAGTGACTACTGTCGCTTATAGCCATCGGCTCAAAGAGTCCGTGGCCGCTCTTTGACTGCAAGAAACGGGAAAGAGGAGATTTGGGCCCGCTGTTTGAAAAGCAAGGAAGAAATAACCTAATACTTTATGAAACCGTGGTATTATTTCGGTGGAACCGGCCTATTTGTGCTATTCAAGTTGCATTTGTAATTATTTTTTTCACTTAAAAACCTTGTTCGGACGTTGACATCTATACAAATAAATAAAATTGAAGTGAATGTTTGTAATGTCAAAATAATAGGTTTTTTTCATGCTCACATGGTTATTTGCACGATACCTATGCCTAAAAACTAGTTTAAATAAATATGTTTTTGGTCAGTCTGTCTGTTTGTTCCGGGTAATCGCCACAACGGTTTGACCGAGTTTGATAATATTTTGCTACCTGGTAGCTGTCTATATAAGTAGTCACTTAGGCTATTTTATCTCTCGGAAAAACCCTATAAAATTATGCGCGGTCCGGGAATCGAACCCACTAAGGTGGCTTTTTAAATTCCACGCGAACACCAGTCGCGTCCACCAGCTAATTAGGTAATAGATAAATAGATTTGTTTTAACCTAAAAAGGTTTTCCAAATTATCATTCACATCTTGGTTACAGATTGGTCCACAAGAAAGACGGTGAAGACTATTACCTCCCATTCCTGGGAGCAGACGAGTCCGTGATCTACCGCTCACAGCGCTACATGTACCAATGGGAACAAAAGCGCCCCGTACAATTCAAAGCTTACTTCAACTCCGGCAACTTCTTCCAAACGGGCCTGGCCATCATCGCAGCCATGGTCTTTTTCGTGATGGCCAAGATCACATTCACTAAGAACCTTCTTCTGAAATATCCTAAGTTTTTCTCGATGGGATACGTGACTAAGGATGGTCCGACTGACATTGTTATGGAAAATTCTTTCTTCAGTTTTGATCTGATCGGCGAGGGGTGGGACGTGGGAACTGAGGCTGAGGGCAAGCCCAATAAGAAGGTTGTGGCTAAGGTTTGTATGTTTTTTTTACACTTGCTGAAATAAATGAGTAATATTTAGATTGTAATGAGGTGTGATCGCCTGCTTGCTATGATATATTGCGTGTTGTGCAGGTGCGCGGCACCAACCCCGGCTACGGAGCCACGTGCGTGGCGCTGCTGTCCGCGGCCGTCACCCTCCTCACAGAGAGAGAGAAGATGCCCCTCCCGTGAGTACATACGTCTCATTTGAATATTAACCACCTATCCTAACTTCTTACGTCAGACGATCTCGTGCAACATCGAAACGCATGACTTTTGTATCTTTCTCCAGTCACCAGATAACTCATAATTTTAGAAGACGTATGTTGATATCCGGTCTGAAACTACAAAAGTCGAGCGATGGGTTACCTAAATAGCCCCTAGTGAAAATAATAATAACTACACACATGACACACACACCGTGTGCTGACGGATAAAGAATACAGAGTGTCACCACCCCTATTCATCCCGTGGGTGTCGTAAGAGCTGACTAAGGGTACAAACTACGCAGGACAACAGCACTGCAGAGAGAAGGAAAACTTGACACAAACCCTATACCAACCCGTCTGGCCAGCGTGGTATAGTAGGCCAAAACCTCCTTCCTAAGGAAAGGCTTATGTCCAGCAGTGGACTATTAAAGGCTGTTGATGATGATGACACCCATGACACACACGGCCCTCTGATTCCAACTAGGCGGAGTCTGTACTATGGTAACCAGACCGCTGATAAACGTACTTATATATTTCTAAATACATACATATTATAGATACATTACACCCAACATAGAACAAAGTTAAATGATCGTGCTTATCACACAATTATTTGTCCTGGGTGGGATCGAACCTCGACCTCGACCACGACCTCCGGCTTAGCAGTCAAGGTCACTAACCACTAAAACGACTAGAATATCTTTTTTAAACAATCATGTTACAGAGGACAGACGAGTCATTTGGGCCTGAATTCTACATTTTATGTTAAAGCCACTCATTCCATTGACACGCTATTGAGATGCCACTGAGACACCATTGACATCAGTTAAAATATCAGTATTCTACTAACATCAATTCAGTGTCAATAGACTGTCGATATAGTAATATAGGTCATCAATGGTGATATCAACAACATTGCCATACCTGAAAAATTAAATATAAAATTTTCTTACAAATTTAAAATGTACCATTTACCAAACTGTTACAAAAACATCGACGACGACATTTGTATCAGTGACAAGTCATCAGGAGGTCATTGGTCTTACATAGCTAATAGAATAAGAAAAGTGCAAAACTATTCCGATGACATTCTATCGACAGTCTATTGATACAATATTAAAATAGCAGAATTGAGGCCCCGGTCACTGATCACAGCCCACAAAATTACTGGCCTTTAAGTATCCCCAAGAATTAGCAATAGGGAATTATGGTCTTCAAAAACCTCATTCACCTCAGTCTTCTGTGAGGCCGTGGTATAACTCTGGTCAAGCCGGCACGTAGCTGTCCCACGGTTAATTCTTTCCTATTATATTTTCAGTGGCGGTATCCTGACCACGGCAGCTGCGTTCAAGAACACGGACATCATCAAGAAATTAAACGAAAATGATCTCACTTACAAGATCACAGAGACCACCAAAATATAAATAGGTTTTTTTTTTCAAATTTTTATATCACCTGTTAAACAACTTTTGAATAGGACGAAATATTAATACCAGGTTACAAATTACATAAACGGTGCTTGTTTCATCTAACACCAATGTCCACTGAATGCTTCCTGACTCCAATGTTTAGGCTTAATTCGAAATTAAGTTCAGATTATTTATTATCCCCATTCCGGTTAAATAAAACTATAGGAACGCTATTTACTACGATCTCGGCCAACCTGGTCCTCCCTTCACCAGCTCGATCTCTCACAGGAGACGAAAAAAATTTTTGTTTAAAAATACCCGAACACTGTTAGTTTCTGTAATTTGTGTACTTATGCAAAAAGTTAATTTTTGAATCTTCAGTTAATCATGAGATTAAGAAATAGCCATTTTTTCGAAAATCCTTGTTAATGACAGACGTTTATATTTAGGGGATTCTTAAGGATTCACAATTAGCTTCTGTCCTTCAGAGACGGGAGGGGACCAGGTTTTTCAAGCAGCGTCGCAGGCGCACGTATATTTATATTGTAATGAAAAAATATTTTTAGAAATAACAGCACGATATGCGTGTGTAGTATACCAAAGTATGATATCAAAAAACCTTATAGCCTGTGATTAACATTATAGACGGTAAGGTTAATTTACAGCAATATTTTTAATAATTGAAAAATTGATCACTCAATTTCCCAATTGAAAAGAAAGAATTTGTTATTTGTATTTTTTAATGATTGTAATTTAAATTAAATAGTAAACACTTTAATTGGTTCGGTACTCTAAAGTTTTACTTCTAAATATGTTTGATTGTAATTATGTACTATAAAATACCTACTAGGTACCTCATCAGAGTAAGGAATTGTCACAGGTTCAAGTTACCAACAGTTAGTTTATAATGAAGCGATTATTTACAACATACACACGCTATGTAATCTTAAAACTTACCAATGCTGTTATAATTGTATTACCATGCATTTAAATTATTTTTAAGTTTGTTCCTTGTCATACTTGTGCTGCCATCTTTCCGCAAGAATTGATATACTTGTTCAGATTATTAACATGCTTGTTACATAGATGACGCTACTAGTCGTTAGTTTGGGTATTTAGATTATAGATGGGGTTACTATACTGTACAACGGTCTCAAGTTTTGGTATTTTATATGTAGGTATATAATTTAATGTTAATATATACAATGCGTTATTAATTGTGTTAAATTAGTGTTTAAAATGTGATTTAACAATATGTACAGGTACTCGTCTGCCTTATGAATGTGATGTAGCAAGATATTTTTAAATATAACTTCTTAAAAAAAAAAACTTTTTTTTCTACGGCTACGGCAAAGCACAAAATGAGGTTTTATATTGACATATTATATATGCCAATATTTTCCCTAGAAACTACTAAACGGCTAAAACGATTTTTCATATACAAGTTGTGGGAGATAGTGCTCCTTTATCCCATCTAAAATATGCCCGGGTGGTAACTTAAAAATCCCAATACGTCGGGGTATCAGGGATTTTCTTCCTAGGGCACACCTGGTTCCCCGGCAACTGGTACCCGAGACGGCGTGCGGTTTTTGGTCGGTTCGAGTCCGACATAACCACCGGTGGGTTGTTTCCGAGGGGATTTCCGAACAGAAAAAAAAAACAGAAAAAAAGGGTTGTAAATCCCTGGTAACCAGAAGAACTTACTATAAACCGTGAGATCTGGGTCAGCCTGTGTGTGAAGTATCTATTTTGTCCAGGGTAGCTAAATTTAAACATTCCTAAGAGAAATAAGTTGAATAATCCCAGACCACAGGACTTCTAAATTATTGATTCTTATAGGAATATTAAATATCACTTAGACAGCACCCCAAACTTGACTGAAGGGTAGAAAACGCCTAAAGGTTATGGCAGACAACAGGCGATTGGGGATAGCGACGAGGCGTGAGTCTTCTATATTAACTGCCTTTTTTTTTTTTTTTTAACGTGTGGAAATCCCCTCGGACCGTCACCCCACCGGGGTTTGCGGCGGGGTGGTGTGTCGGACTCGGACCGACTAAAACCACACGGTGTGCCACTCTGCGCCTGTAACAGGAGGGATCCGGGAACAGCTGTTGTTAAGACATCCGGACCCCTCCTAGCGCCAGCCCGCTCCTGGTGCGGGCTCCGTCTCAATATATTTTCCTCTCTTTAGGCGACGTCCGGCACACGCGGACGCCGCCCCCTCGCGGCTGGCCAACTAATGCGGGTGGAGGGGAAACCCACCCCGTCCACCCGCGGCCACACTCAGGGCGGCATGAGGCGTTGATAGGCGGGCCTCCGCCGCCCTGTTCGCCGGCGGCGGATCGGGTCCGAGTGGAGGACGTCCTCCCGGGCCTTCTCCGCCGCCTCCTTCTGCGAGATTATCTATATTAACTGCCTATGCTAAGCTGCCTAAAAAGCATTGTTGTTCTGCCCCGCCAGCAGTCTTTTTCTTTCTGTTTTTAGGTGTGGATGGTGGACGGCCCTAGGAGCCTGGCTATCACCCCACCAGGATTTGCAATGGGGCGGTGTACGGTAAGTTGTAATCGAACCGACTAAAACTACACTTTAGGAAGGATCCGCGAGCTCCGCTGTCTGCCTCAACCTTTAATCATTGTGTAAATCTGTATGTAAAGGGTAATAAAACTTCAATAAATGAAAATAGGTACAATTAATTTAATGATAAAGAAGTAATCATTATCTTATTACATGATATACACCGAAACTGACCTAACACGAGACCGTTATATACAATATCGTCTGTACACAACATAATTACAAAATTAAGACTAGTATCAACATGCTAGAGGATGCTTAATGCTTACAGACATGTACACTTCATTATAATCCTTTAAAATAATTGCGACGGAGTTCTTCAGTTTATTCTCCAAAACTCACAAATTCTAGTTACGCAACTGATGGGCAGGCATCTAATATCCAGTTCTCAGGTGCCAGTGGTATTTGTAAAAACATTGTATGCTTTATTCTGACTTCAATGCCAAATCTGTTACGTAGTAGAACAGTACGCCTTGTTGACAATGATACAGTACAAAAAAGGTTCCTTTAGCTCGATTTACGTCCAGTTCAAACGTATTTGTATCAATACAGCGTGCCAAAGTTTTTGCTGTATCGTATGTACTCATACTGGGTTTCAGTTTCAATCGCAATTAATTGGGTACTTTTTAATAAGGTACATATGCTAGAAAACATATCTATTATGGGAGGGCCAGTAAGTAACATTACGAAATTTCTAGAAGTAGAGTAGAAGTTATAATACAGAGGAACAAAGAAAATGACAATAGTCACGAATTCAAAAGCGAATAATTTTATGAAAAGTTTTAATTATAGGTGTTAAAAGGAACGTATCCAAATCTCGAAACGAATATGATTCATAGACGTCTCGAGGGTCTCTCAATAAATTCGACGATTGCATTTTCGGTCATTATTTTTTCATTATTATTTTCGGTCAGAAACAGAAATTTATTAAGAAATAATTTAATAGGAAATTATAAGTCTGAGGTAATGTTACTTTCCGTATCCAATAAATAAAAAAACGAACTTTGGTCTACCTATAGAGAATTAAAAAATAAATTAAAAAAATACAAATCCTAATGATATTATATATTTAAATATTTTCTTAACAGATGTTTCTAGATGCTTTTTTTTTATTAAAACAGCTTATTTTAGAACTAACCTAATAATTTCAAATGTACACTTTATTCTAGGATTTTTTTATTTATGTTGACACATCCTTGGTATATACTAATCAGGTTAATTGAGCCTTTAATACATATTATTATGTAAACCTCTTTTGAATTAAGTTTCTTTTCTACCGATCTAAATCAATAACCAATCGAATCCCAAATTTTAAGACAATATCATATTCCTGTTTCGAATATATATGTTACAGAATAAAAAAACTAGAAAGCCTAACCTAAAACACAAGAAATGTGAGTGTTAAAAGACTTATATATTATCTGTGGGAGTACTCATAAACTATTTATATTGACTTTTAATCAATGTAGAATCATTCATAGTTTTTCCTAGCAGAATAAACATGATGCTGTAAGTGGTACCACGGATAATCTTGGACTCCTGATAACTGTAACATAAAATATAACCCACTCGAACTCTTGGTTTGAACGGCTCACGGCCAGAATTCAATCATCATAAATCAAGTAGGAATTGTCTTTGGAATTGATAGCTATCCATTTAGCTGGACTCGCGACTGTTCTCACTAGAACCGACAGCACTGCTTTGTGACGTAGTAGTAGTAGGTACTTCTGGGGCGACAATCAGACCCTCTTTGATTCGTTTCTTTTGTTTCATCCGTCGGTTCTGAAACCAGATTTTGACTTGTGTTTCGTTGAGTTGAAGTGCGGATGCTATCTCTATCCTTCTCGCTCGTGTTAGGTATTTGTTAAAGTGGAACTCTTTTTCTAGTTCCGTGAGTTGTTTGTTGGTGAAGTTTGTCCGGCCGGTGTTGTTGATGCTTAAAAGGGGGTTGGCCATCATCTGCGTGCCTGTGGGTGTGCGCATGCCTTCCTGAGGGCTGCTGATACCGCCTTGGGTGACGTATTCGGCGGGTGGGATCATTAGTTTTGGTGCTGTAACAAAAGAGAAAATAATTTGTTAAAAAAAATGAAAGATGGCTATCTTATTTTATATCATTTCTCGTATTTCTTAGTCCAAACTCTTATAGCCTCATCATGCTTTAGTTTAAAGAACCAACTAATAACGACCAGTAAGGGTCGATGTATAGAGTTGCAGTGTTTTTTTGTAATTCGACCCGCAGTTATTATTCCATTATAGTTAAAATGTAAAACGTTATGTTGATAGTTTTTTTTACATACTCTATAGTACAAAACACACATCCTTATAAGTAAGTATATATTGTGGGGTGGGACCATTCATGTGTGGGGTGGGTTATTCAATTATACATCATTTTGAAATGAAACTTTATTTCACATAAATACAATAAACTAGATATCTGGTGCTTGAAATTTATTCCTTTTACTTAGTAAATGACATGTGAAAATGATGTTGTAATGTTACACTTTGATTTATGAATAATTTTAATAAGTCACCCAAATTATTAAAATAAGGTAATATCTACGAGCATTAAGCATTTATTTCGCAAGTTACAGACTGCTTAAAACATGTTTTGTTGAGACTGCTGTGCATGTGCATTTTGTGTGCTTCAATACTTTTTCTTAACAAAAAGGGCAATGACTCGCATTATTGGAATAAAAAAAAGTTTACAAAATATTGTCAGTTGTGGACGTTTTGCGGACAATATTGATATCCTTTGGTTTGTTTACTCAAACTCATTGCAGGGATTATCTTTTTAAACCGAACCAAAGAAAGCTCGTGGGAGCCAGGTACATTTATGACAGGTGTCATTTGCGTCCGGACATGAAGAATAAAATAAAAGATACTTCAATATTAGCTTAGAGTAGACGCCCCGCTGTGCGTTGGTGTGTGACCTGGGATGCTTGCTTCACGCAAACCGGAGGATTTGACGGACAATATTGTTGTGTAAACAGATACAAAGTAAGGTTATAATATTCTCTGAATTGAATTGAGAGAACGTATAACTATTGAACAGGTTTTAATATTTATTTTACAGTTAAAAAGATAATTTATCTAGAAGTCACATATGTTAGTACCTAGAAAGTAAATAAGTACTAACATGAGAAACATTCGATAAGAGCCTCAGTTATTTTATATTCAAACAAACATACACATTCTCTTTAATGTGTTCATAATTTATATACTAAATGTATTAGCATAGTCATATGCATGACGACCTTGTGATATATGTAGGTAAGTGATGGAAATTATTGCTCCTTTTAAATCATAATCATATGATGAAATGATAGATTTTAGTCACGGCCATTTCACCCGTGACAAATCACTACTGGGATTCGGTCATTGACAAAGATAAATGGCTTCAAAAACTTGAGCAAAGAAAAAACAAACTTTTTATCAAAGACGACCCTTTTTTTAGATTTAGATCTTTCTCGAGTCTGACGCTAGGGGTAATCATAAGGGCACCAGGGACTTCCTTTCTAGGGTATACCTGGTTCCCCGGCTATTAGTACCCGAGACGGCGTGCGGTTTTAGTCGGTTCGAGTCCGACATGCCACCCATAGGTGGTATCCGAGGGGACTTCATCAGGGGAAAAAAAAGGGGTAATCATAAGGGCACCAGGGACTTCCTTTCTAGGGTATACCTGTTTCCCCGGCTATTAGTACCCGAGACGGCGTGCGGTTTTAGTCGGTTCGAGTCTGACATGCCACCGATAGGTGGTATGCGAGGGGATTTCCGCACGGAAAAAAAGGGGTAATCATAAACATAAGTCACAGTTTACAAATCATATGATTTATAACAGGTATAAATAGGACATTCGGGCACTGGGTATTAAGTCCCTCTGAACCTTAAAAATAGATGTACCTACATCATTAGGTCTCCTTCCACGAAGCTCTTCGTTACTGACTGTACCTTTAGACGTGCGACAAAACCAATCAGAGCACAACGCCACGTTCAAATTATAAAACAAATGGTTGCTCAAATTTGTTTTAAAAAACAAATACTTGCCCACGTATTGCTTTTGTTTGTTCTTTACATTTTAATTAAGTAGAACTGACTTTAAACATTACTAGATATCCTTGAAATCAATTAATTAAGAAATGTTTAATTTCCTACGTGTGATATATGCAGGAAAATATTTTAAATTAGACCATCAATTAAACTGGACCGCACCTTTATCACAAAAAGCCGGTTTTTTTGTCAACTACCTAACTCGTCAACGATGTCAGTGAAAAAACCACCACCGACTAAAGAACAATTGGAAGGACTAAATATTAGGGTACGGTATTGGTTTGCATGGCTCCAAACATTGTACCATCATCATTATCAACAGCCTTTAATAGTCCACTGCTGGACATAGGCCTCTCCTTAGAAAGGAGGTTTTGGCGCCCTACACCACGCTGGCCAGACGGGTTGGTAGAGGGTTTGTTTCAAGTATTCCTTGATTTTGCAGCGCTGTTGTTCTGCGTTGTTTTGCGCCCTTAGTCGGCTCTTACGACACCCACAGTCATACCGTTATACCGTTGCAACTTAAAAAATAATAGTGTGTGTGCTCCTCACACGAGCAGACAGTGTCACTTGATTGATAGTTAGTTCTACGACAGTTGCAGGTAGGGCTTGGCTAGCGGTAATTTTACTCATTCAGTGAAGAACTATGAAAGAATTACTTAACAGCGGTCATCATCATTATTCCGGTTGACCCGGCTCATACCAATACTCCTATGTTGCGATGCACAGCTCTCCTGCGGTTAAAATATGTAATTTTAGGGATTTCAAACTTGTCCGTGTGGTAGCGGATTAAGAATACGGACTGTCACCACCCCAATTTATCCCGTGGGTGGCTTAAGAGCCGATTAAGGGAGGAAACTACGCTGGATAGCAGCACTGCACAGACTTAACATAAACCCTATACTCCCGTCTGCGCGGTATAGTAGGCCAAAATCTCATTTCTAAGAAGAGGTATATGTCGAGCAGTGGACTACTATAGGCTATTGATGATGATGAAGATGAATACTATTGACTGTACGGATGGTACAAACCCCACATGGGACGACACTTTGTGTGATCCACAAATTGTTGTTCTGAGTCTGGGTGTTCTTTGTGTTCGTTTCATGTATGTTTGTAAAGTCCCACGCGACACAGGATTTATTCCCAGTTCGGGAGTTGTCTTTTTAAATAACAAAAAAAAAAACTTGTTTGGATTAGTTTAGTTAGAAGTTGAGAATTAAGGAAATTATGACGAAACTCCGACCTACGATTTTTTTTAAATTCTTAGGTACCTTTATGGTGAATTAATTTGTAGCGGAGACAAGGAATATAATAAACTCCTTTAAATTGTGTAAATTAATAAAAAAAAATTCAACTCATGAAAAGTATAAATATATTTAAGGATTATGAAATATTTACGTATAAAATGATGCAACCGAATTACCTGCATCTACCTACTGATTAGATAACTATACACGTAAGGATTTAATGGCGGACGTATTTAATTGCGTTTAATTTTAATTTCACATTTATATTTTTTTTACTTTTGAACACAGTTAAATCTTTCATGGGAATATGGTTAAAAAAAGGCCTATTCCATGAAAAGGCCATCTCCATCAACTATTTTATCAGGTGAGCTGGTTACAAACATTTTATTACCTAATAAAACATACTCGATTCGGTTACCGAGATTTATTCGAATTATTTACTTTTGAAGAATTTTTTATGTCATAAATATCTCTTTCACAAAACTAAGCTAGTTCAAAATTGTTATCGCTCAGATGTGTGTGCTTATTTTGATTGTCTGTGGTAGCTTTTAATACTTGCTATACACATATTTTTTCAATGTAGCAACCGTCACGACCGTTAGACGAAGTTACGACTGTAACAGAGATTATAGCTTTGCTAATCGTATAATTCGCACGAATTACACGATTAACAAACATACATACATACCTACACTCACGTCTACACCTTCCAAGGGGTAGACAGTGGCGTATGAGGCGGCCACATTTTGCCGACTAATAATTTTAGTCCTACACTGGTGTAATAAGGGGAAACAATTGTCGTAAACCGGGTATTTTAGAAATTGTATGGTAAAACTGGGAGTATATCCAAAGATAAGGGTTGTTTAGGGATTAAGGTATTTTGCTGAAACGGGTGGATTAGGGAGTGTTAGTAATAGCTTGAGCAGAACAGGTTTGCATACCTGTAACTCGAAATGGCTACTGCCAGAAATCAGTATGTAGCAGTATTCCATCCTCCGAATCTTTTTCTTCTTTCGTGTGGTGACGGGTTAAGAATACAGAGTGTCACCACCCCTATTCATCCCGTGGGTGTCGTAAGAGCCGACTAAGGAAGAAAACTACGCAGACCAACAGCACTGCAGAGAGAAGGAAAACTTGACACAAACCCTATACCAACCCGTCTGGCCAGCGTGGTATAGTATGCCAAAACCTCCTTTCTAAGGAGAGGCTTATGTCCAGGAGTGGACTATTAAAGGCTGTTGATGATGATGATTGATGAATCTTTTTCCCAAACTTGGTTGGGGTGGGTTTAAGTCTATTACGACACGGCTGAACTTCGATTTTTTTGAGAGACTGCCATGATGGCAGTCTCAGGTCTGAGACCTTCGCAACCCAAGTACTAGGCGATATCGAACTTCTGTAGAAATACTGTTTTTTTTAGGGCTGCAACTAACCGGACAACCGGTATCGGATCAGTATTATTTGTCAAAAACAGGTTGTTCTATATTGTTATATTCTTTGTTGATAATAATACTTATTGGTAATATAGTTCTGTCACATTTGGCGCCGGACAAGTGATACGATATCTAATAACAAATCTGAACCCTTTCGGTCCGTCCCGCTGTCCATTTGTCCAGATAATACCTTTAACACTTGTTACTTATTAACTGAATTGAAGGGGAGAAACTAATATTACGATTTAATATATTTCCCATGTCATTTCTGTTTGCAACTAAATATTATTAATCTATGGTTAATTATTTTTGATGAAAACTAAATAG